ACCTATCCTCTGACCACCTGCCACTAATAGTCACAATCCACGCGCAGCCACAGCCCTTGCCCATTAGGAAACAACTACTGCCAGCAGGATCAGATTTAGGAGTCTTTAGGCGCGAGCTCCATTACTCTTTGCACATAGAAATGGAACTTAACACTCCTGAAGACGTGGACTACGCAGCAAACAAACTGCAGGAAGAAATAGTCAAAGCTGCGCACCAAGCCGCCCCCACCATCTTGCCAAACAAGACAACAGTCTCCGTACAACATCCCCCTCACCTTGGAGGCCCAACACCTACTAATACACAAAAGATGGGCCAGGAGACGCTGGTTAAGATTACGCACGCCTGATGCCAAATCCATGTACAACGAAGCCACGAGGCATCTTAAAGCTGCTCTCGCCCTGCTTCAAAAGAGGTGTATCAGCGATGCGCTGGTACGAGCTGAATCGCCCACTGACGCAGAGTTTCAATTATGGAAATTTACAAGAAAGCTCAAACGGCAGCCAATACGACGTCATCCCATTCGGAGCATTTCTGGTTCCTGGCACATTGGAGACGAAGCTCAAGCTGAGGCTTTTGCAAACCACCTTCAAGACCAATTCACGCCGGTGATTACCGCAGAGGCCTCAGAAATCGAAGCAACAGAAGACATCGTTCTCTCGCCCCTCCCAGCTGAAGACCAGATAACTGGATGTACAAAAGAAGAGGTTCTTGAACACATCAGAAGAGTGAAGGCAAAAAAATCCCCTGGATATGATCTAATAAACGGCAGAGTCCTTAGAGCACTGCCTGACTCCACCATAGACTACATAACTATGGTGTACAACGCCATGCTCCGCATCCGGCACTTTCCAGCCTGCTGGAAGCGCGCCGTGATTGTGATGATTCCTAAGCCTGGCAAACCCGTGGGAGAAATTGAGTCGTACAGACCAATTAGCCTGTTGCCAGTACTCTCCAAAATATTCGAAAGAATATTTCTGGAACGAGTACTGACACATCTGGGACGCCAGGAGGCCATTCCAAACCATCAGTTTGGCTTCAGGAGACAGCATGGAACACCGGAACAGGTTCACAGAGTTGTGCACCATATCCTTGGAGCCTTTGAAGAAAAGATGTACTGCTCTGCCGTCTTTTTAGACATCAAACAGGCGTTTGATCGAGTTTGGCACCTGGGACTGCTGCAGAAAGTGAGGACCACCCTTCCAGCCCCATTTTTCGCGTTGCTATCCTCATACCTTATTGGAAGAACCTTCCAAGTGTCAAGGGGGCAAACAGTATCCTTGACTAGACCAATTATGGCTGGAGTACCACAGGGTAGTGTTCTAGGCCCAACACTTTATACTTTATTCACAGGAGATATGCCAACTCCCGAGCCAAATATAGGAAGTACAGATGCAGTACTCATAGCGACCTATGCAGATGACACCGCCATCTTATCACGTCACGTATCTGCGCAAGAAGCTTCAGACTCACTACAAAAATATCTGGACTCTTTCGGACGCTGGGCAAAACGGTGGTGTATCACCATTAATGCACAAAAGTCTGTACATACTACCTTCGCCACTAGAAGAGGAGATTGCCCAAGCGTTGCATTGGGGCCCACTATTCCCAAAGCCTCAAAAGTAAAGTACCTTGGTATCACTCTTGACAGAAGGCTGACTTTTAAAGCGCACATAAGTCAAGTAACCTCAAAATGCAAAAGCAAGCTAAAAACCCTCGACTGGATGCTGAGAGCTTCAAGCAAGTTGTCTTACAGCAGCAAGGCCGCCATCTACAAGGCAATAGTTGTCCCAACCTTCGTATATGGTATCTCTCTATGGGGCTCCTCGGCGAAGACTACAAGGAACAAAATTCAGACCCTGCAGAATAAAGCACTACGCAGATGGACTGGAGCCAGCTGGTTTGTAAGAAACTCAGTCTTACATAGGGATTTAGCAATTCCCACAGTTGCTGAACTCATTGGGCGACACAGTTCAAGATACGCGGACAGACTTGCAGCGCATCCTAACCATCTCGCAAGCAACCTGGCTATAAACAACAATAGGCGAAGACTGAAGAGATTGCATCCTCTAGACAATATTAGAACTAATTAAGATAGTAGCTACAAGTGCAGAATAATTGGCATATCTGCCCTCCCATTAGTTAAGGTTTAGAGCTAAATGCGCTATAGAGTCTAAGACAATAAGCTGCAACAAAATAAAGAAATAAAAACGAAAAAAAAAAAAAAAAAAAAAAAAAAAAAAAAAAAATAAAGAGAGAGAGACAGTTAGAGGGAAAGAGAGCGATGATATGAATATTAGATTAGACAAATGGCTTCTCCCATTGATTGGCTCGGATTGCATTTGCATGCGATTCGATGCGATGCGATTCGAAATTAAGATTCAAATTTTTGATTTCTAATTCGATTCGATTCGATTTCAGTGTCATCGCTCGCTGAACAAGTTTCTGTTCATTGTTTATGATTTTCTTTGTTTTTTTTTCTTTCTTACAAATTTTTATAGGCTGCTCAAGAAAGGGTTTTATCTGTCTGGTATACCCCGTAATCATTGGCCCTGTTATCATGGGGTCAGCTCAGCTGTGTGGCAACATAGGCACACCATCGACAGCTCGATAAAAGCTTCAGAAAACATAATGAGATGTAATTCGATTTCGATAGTATAGAGTAAATAAATTTTGAATTTTTAATTATGTTTAAAGTGAAGGAAATTTTGAAATTTGAAATCAATTTTTGTGATTTTGAAATTTTCAGATTTAAAATATTTTAAACGAAAAACATTTCGAACAGAAAAGATGGAATGGAAAATATGGGATTTTCTCAGAGATGCTTGACGTTAAAATATTGTAAAATATCTTCAAATTTAGATGCGCAAAATTAAGCCAAAAAATTAGTATATAAAATAATATTTTTATATAGTTTAAGCCAAGATGTCGAACAGGGTAGCTGCTAGTCGCGTTAATAACTTCATGGAAAGGCGCTCCCTCAGCTGTCTGCATGGTTGTCCCAGCGAGCCCCGCCCCATTCCCCCTCATCCGCATTGACACTTTATAGTTCAAGGTAAGTTGGCCAGTTGCTAATTGATTTTTTGGTTTTTTATTATTATTTTTATTTAATTAATTTGTTTTTTCGTTAATTTTTGGCCACAGAACATCTGGCTAAGAGTGGTATATGATTGGCTTGTGATTATAAGCATTTGTCCTATCATTAAGATGCTTATTAGCATTGTTATTACTGTTATCATCATTATTAACATTGTCATTATCGTAATTATGCTTAAAGTTTCGCCCGCGCCCAAAATCTGTATTTTTTTGGTTCATTTTAATTTCAATGCAAATTAGTTCAAGGCCGCGAAATTATGGCATACGAATATACCAAATTATATAAATATATATATATATCAATATATGACATATATATACATATATATTAGATATGTATATGTAAATCTGGATATTGCCTCTTTTTTAGTTTTACATGCCGCATCTTGATTTGGTACTCGGGATTTACCAGCCGACGTGTTTAACAACAACAAATACAACAACAATTGCCCCAAAAATCAATAAATTAATTAATAAAAATTCATAAAAAATGAAGAAAAAATTTAAAGAAAAAAGGAATAAATGAAATGAAAAGAAAAATGAAGTTGATGCTCGCAAGGAATGCGACAGGCCAAAATGTACACACTGCCAGATACCCTGTTTTCTATTTCATAATTCCGAAAATAAAACGTTTTTTAAGCAAATTTCTGTTTTAGCTAGTCTCCATTTGTAGACTTGGAGTCAAACTTAAAAATAGTCTCCACTTATTAATTGTCTTGCAAGTATTAAAGTCTCCACTCATGGTCTCCATTTCAAGCATGAAACAAGTCTCCACTTGTAGATATGGTATTAAAACTAAAAAATCTCTCCACTCAAGTAAGTCTTAAATTTTAAATTATCAATCAAGTCCTCAGAGAACATTTGTTAAAGAAAAAACACTCCCACTGATGATTTGTTGCCCAGAAAAGTCTCCATTTGTTAAGTTGTACTCAAGTGTCAGCAAAGTCTCCAATTGTTCGTTTGTCAGCAAGTCTAAAGAGAAGTCTCCACTTAGTCTTTTATATGTTTGCACGTTCTAAATAAAAGTCTCCACTTATTGGTCTGCACTCAAGTCTAATAACTCTCCACTGGTGCATTTGCAGTCTAAAAATCTTCACCTCAACAGTACTGCAGTTACTTAAGACTAGGGTATCTCTCCTATTTATAGGTCTCCACATATTTCTGCTATAAGTTCGGCTAGTCTCGCATAACAGTTCACATGCTCGATCTACCCACTTTGCGCAATTATATGTTTACAGGGTATATACCAAAAGGCAACAACAACAACAAAATCAAAATGACTGCGACGCGTCGTCCACAGCCGAAAGACCCAAGAAAACCTGTCAAAAGCCAACAACTAGCGCCGGCAGCGCTGTCAGCACGGGCTGAGGTATCGGCAGCGGCAGCGGCAGCGGCAGCGGCAGCAGCAGAGGTAGAGTCAGAGGCAGCAGCGACGGCGGCAGCAATGACAAATTGGCTGGCAAACCAGAAGTGCGCCATGCACTCTTTGCATATAATTACGAACATGGCCTGCCCCAGACCGCGCTCCACTGCTCTCCGGCCACCGCCACGCCTTGCCCTGCCTCGCCCCCCGGCTGCGCCGCCGCCGCCGCCATTTACAGTTGGCTAGTTGGCTTAGGGCGGGCGGGCGGCAACCTGTTGTTCGTCGCTGTCGCTGGCGTCGGCTAGCGTCGCTGTGGCAGAAATCCAACAACAGCAGCAGCAACAACAACAGATAACAGAAAAGAGAAGAAAACAACAACAACAACAAGAGCAGCAACAGCAACATCGACTGCCACTGCTGGCAGCCAGAAAATATTGGATGGCCGGGTAGGTTAACTCCATGCACACGGCATAAGTAACGTTCAGTCAGCCTCTAGAAGTCGATCGTGATCGGTGGCTTAAGCTTAACTCCAGCGCTCAGCACTCTCAGTTGTGCCCCACACACACATATACACACCAAGAGTCTTCACAGCTACACACACATACTCACTCACACACACACACACACGCACACCCAGTCCTCCCCAGTGTCTGCAGCCAAAAAATAATAAGAAAAATCGTCGTGAATTTTTTGTTCGTTTCGCGCGTTTTCAAATTCGAATCAAACTTTTTTTTTCCAAGTTTTATAAATATTCACACGCACACACACACACACATACATACAAAATGAAGTACTTCAACATGTGAGTGATATACATACATATACATATGTATTATATATATTTTTTTTACAATTTTATTTGCTTTTTTTTAACTTTTTTTTTGCTGACGTGTTTGAAATATTTAAAAATTTATTTTTAGCCTTTTCGATTTGTGTCGAAACAGTCTCGGCTGTTCCTGTCCAACTGGTAACGCCAGTGTTGCCAGCTATTCTTAAGCCTGTGCTGAAATACTTGCATACCTGCAGCGCAGCTGAGGAGTTCCCCTATAGAGTCTCCGTCAGCAGACCCATGTAACTCGGGCACTGCCAGAGCTAGCACTCTGAAACTTGGTGTGCAGCATCTGGAGTGCAGCTGCAGCATAAATATATCAAAATTGCAACAAATTTAATATAGCTACCCCTTAGCATGGCTAGAGCTTTACCATCTACAGCTACTCTTATACATCTTAGTCTTAATAGTATTTCGCTGTTTGACTTCATCGAGCTACCTCTCTATGCAAAATTTGTAGTTTAAAAATTGCGTGGCCTAGCTCATGCCTTAATCAGCTGTTTGCAGGGTATTTGCTAGTCGTGTCGCTGGCATTATTGTCTTCCTATAATTTGGGCACGACTTGTTGCTTGAAAGTAGGTGCAACAAATGTGTGTGAACCGAATGCCTGAACTGAACTTTAACACGCTACGTTTCAAGCAAAATGCCGAAGTTGATGATCATTTGTTGTTGTTGTTGTTGTTGTTGTTGTTGTTGTTTGTGTTGCTGTTGCAGCAGTTGCCTTGTGACATTTGCCGGCACAAAGAAATGGCAAATGGCATTTCCCAGCTGCGATTGCCGTTGCAATTTGCAATTGCAGCAGCAACTTGCTGTGAGATAAAGTCTGTCTTGCTGTCTGCTGCTGTCTGTTGCTGTCTGTCCAGCTGTCAGCTGCATTGATTGAAAGAAATGTTTCAAGGTCGCCAGCTGATGCTGCCGTCTGCTATTGCTGCTGTGCCCATTGTCGTCTGCACGCCACCAGCAGCAGCAACAGTTGGGCTTTGCAAGTGTATTGGATTAATTACCAGGCAATTGCAGTTGCAACTGTTGCTGTTGTTGTTGTCTCATAAATTAACGGTTGCACTTTTAATGCAAGCTGACGGACATATACACATATATTATATATATTTATATACATATATATATATATATATATATGTATATATAATATGTATGTTAATCGCATAGCGCATGGCGCGAATTAATCACGCCAGCAACAACAACAACAGCAGCAACAGCAGACAGCAGCAACAAGCGCCAATTTGACGGCAAGATCAGGATTTAAATTTAGTTTCGCTTGCTTTTTGGGGTGTTGTAGCTGCTGTTGTTGTTTTAGTGTTATTGCTGCTGCTGCTGTCGTTTTACATGCGTTTCATTTCATTTTTGGCGCACACAAATCGCTCGCATTATGCAATATTATTTAAATAAGAGAGATCAGATCATGTGCATGCCAAAAAGCCAAACCAGAATACACACACACACACACACATTTTAGTGGATGTTGCGAGCCAAAAATAAAATTAAAAAAAAAAGTTTTGTAGACAAAAAGACAATTTTCGTCTTTTGGTATTTTAAACTTATTTTCAAGGACTGTGCGAATTGGCAACATGATGTGGATATGTGTCTGTGTGTGCATTTCATAAGCCAAATTCAATGTAAGCCAGCAGCAGCAGCAACAACAACAGCTACATAAACTGTAACACAAATCAAAAGACTCAGGCAACGAACTTGGCTTGGCTTGGCTTGGCTGGCTGACTTGACTAGCTGATTGGGCTGGCTGCAGCAGCGCCAACAACACGTACACAATGCACCGTTATTGAACCCACTTAACAACAATTGCACGTTTTTTTTTTTAGTCTCTGAAGTGTTCGTAATTGTGTTTGGAACTATTAGAAACGCCATGCCAAAGCCCCCTATACATATACCCATATGCATACATATTTAGATATATATTTAGCTATGACTATGGCTAGCGCAAACTCCAGATATAGTGGGGCAATTAGCATAGTGACCCGTTTTGTGTGGCTGAGGGCATGGCTATTGCCAATAAAATTCGCTTTTTAGCTGGTTTTTTTTTTGTTGGCTTTTTAAAGTCTATGGCGTCATCGCCATGAACTAATTCCGCATATGCGAATCATAATCATGTGATATATATATATATATATTAAATATATATATATATAATATATATATGATATATATATACATGTTTAAGCAAATCAAAACTCTTAAGAGCTTTTTTGCAGTTTTATTGATCGAGCTCTTCGAGGCGCTGACTTGAAGCGCAAACACTTTGTGTGAACCAATTGCTTTCTTTACTGTTGCTTTAAATACCCTGCAAAACACACACATACATATATATATACATACTATATTTATCACATGAGCTAGCTATGCAGTGTAAAGTATCTCTTATATTTTCTATTTTAATTTCTTCATTTTGCAAAAAAAAAAACTTCAAAATGTGAAAAGTGTTTACAAAATTTTAAAATATTTATAAGAATTTGGAAAAAAAAAATTCGCTTTTTTTAAATATTTTAGCTCTTTTAAAAATATTTAGTTTATTTAAAAATAATTTATTCAAAAAAAGATTTACTAAAAATATAAATTTATATTTTGTGTTTTACAAAATAATTAACTAAAAATATTTTCATTAAAGCATAAGAATTTTTTTTTATCAACAATTTAAAGGAACTAAATATTTTGCAAGTTAAATAAATATTTTTTTTGTTCTTCAAAGAAAATATATAAATTGAATTTCAACTAATGGTTCAACTTTTAGCTAAAAGAACTAAAAAACAAAAGCTCTAAAAATTAAAAAAAAAAAATGCATAAATTATTTAATTTAATGAATTCAGCAAATTATCTTAGTTTTTTAGTTACTAAAACGAAATATTTTTTAATGTTTTTTTTTTTGGCTTTTTTTTTGTTAAAAATATTTCTAAATTAAATTTGCATTTGTTTTTTTCCATTTGTTTTTCGCACTTAAAACACATATAAAAATTCAAATCATTTAAATTACGAAATGGAACCAGTTCCGTTCGCAAGCAGCTGGAGTTGAGCGTGAGTAAAAGTTAATACGGCAGAAGGTGCAGTCAGTTGCTGTTAGAGGGTATGTGCCTGTCGGTGACTGCGCTTAATATAATGACTTCCATAATGATGCTGCTGCTGATGATGATAATGATGATGATGCAGCATCATTGAACAAGTGGTTCCGCCTTCCACTTATTGATTCTCGACAGCTTTTGCTTATCATAAATTTGCAACTAATGTTGCTCTTATATAACGAGGTGTGTGTGTGTGTGTGTGTGTGTATGTATGTGTGTAGCATTGTCTCAAATAGTTTTTGCCCCCCGCTCGAGCTCTAGAAAATGCCAAAAAGCAAACCGGTTGAGCCCAAAGCCAAATGTCATATAGACTTGGACAAGGCTTGACTTGAATTTCGATTAAGAAGTAAGCAGAAGCAGCAGCAGCAGCAGCAGCAGCAGCAGCAGCAGCAGCAGCAACAGCAACAGCAACAGCCACAGTTACTGATTCCAGACACGCCAGCAACACGCACCCACAACAACAGCCACACGCCTTTCACCTTTCCATGAGGCTGTGGTTGCATAAGTCCAATTGAAATGCAAAGAGTCGCTTGGACATGCCTCACTGTTGACCCTAATCAATGCGAAAAGATGCAACCTGACGGCAACAGCCACAGCAACAGCTAACGGCAATTGCAGCTGTTGTCTTGGCTAGCTGGGCGCTTGTAGGCTGTGTGGGGCGTGGCTGGGGCCTCTCCCTCGTGCAGTTGCATTTGAATGCAACTGCTTTGTGGCTTGCACATTTTACCGTTATTAGCCAACAGCAGGCGCGCATTTAAATTTATTCTGGCTGCAAGCAACGAACAACAGGTTTTCCTTGCTGTTGCTATTGCTATTGCCGTTGCTGTTGCCGTTGCAGTTGCTTTTGATGCCTTTTGCATAAGCACCTGTTGCCCAAAGGAGGGGCGGGGGTGGTGCTGTGGCTGTGGGTGTGGGTGTGCAGCCAGCCACGCCAGGCAGAGCTAACCTTAGCCTATGCCTAAGCAGCAGCAGCAAGCGCGAGTCCAGGCCAGAAGTATTTCAAAACGAGTTCGCTGCCTAAGTCTTTTGTTTTTCGTTAAATTATAAATTTAAAATCGAAAGTGAATACAAAAAAAAAAAACACAACAACAACCAAACAAAAACAAAATGTGAAAAATAAAAGCCAAAACCCGTTTAGCTGACCTTTAAGCATTAATAATTGTTAGCACAGCGCATGCGCTAAAAGAGGAAGAAGCAGCAGCAGCCACAGCAGCAGCCGAGGCATACATATCTTTATGGTCTAACCGATATATACATATGCATATACATATAGTAGATAGATATAGTTATGTATGATACGTGTTTTTCGTATGTCTTTTTTTTTTATTAACCAAGTCCGGTTCAGGTTCTCAGCACAACCCGTTCAACCAGACTGAAAAGATATCATGCATATATATAAATATATAAACTATTATATATATATATATTATATACATATATATATATATATATATATATATATATATATATATATATATATATATATATATATATATATATATATATATATATATATATGAGATGGCAGCTAATTGAATATGGGGGAATTTCAATTGAAATTGTGCCTCGTGCTCGTTGGGCAACATATTTCGGATTGCGAACTGCGAGCTGTCAGCTTTTATTTAATTTTACTTTTTTTTTGCATACTCTGTTGCCATTTCAGGGTATATTGGTTTCTTGACTATGCATGCAATAAGCAAAGAGAGGCGTGGCAGCGTATATATATATGTATATATGAATCAGTTGAATAAGCCAAGGCTGTTCGGCCTAGCGCCTGTTTTACTGCCCCTGCTCCTGCTCCTTCTCATATCTATTCATGTATATTTCCCATTTTGGATGACTCTCTCCAAATAGTAGAGATAGGGTATCTGCTAGTCGTGTACTGCAAACTCTGCAAAGCCCAGCCGGCTTACTGAATTTGCACATTCAATATAAATATATATACACATTCATAGTGTTTTCTAACCTCAAGTAGCAAACATAACCTCACAATGTTTCCCTCTTAAATACACGAATTGTATTAATAATCATATCAATCTTGCTACGACACGACACAATTGTTCCTATGTAAAGTGGCATATAAATTTTAGATTATTTCTTGCCTTTGACACAACACATAACCTCAAATATCAAACATAACCTCAATTCTCAGTGAATATTTATCTCCTTAAGCTAGTTTAAGCCAATTTGAAGACTTACATAAACGGCTAATAATAATAATAAATTGAGAATTGCAAGATTTGCATGACTTTTTTTTTACTTACTTAACACATAACCTCAAGTGTTCAATATATTCCCAAATGCTCAACATAACCTGAAAATTGAAATTGATTTTCCTTTGGTTTCTCCTTAAAATAGTTGCCTGCTTTTCATCATCTGCGCACTGTGCTACGGTCTGGTTGCCGCCCAGGAGGAGGGTGCGTCAGCTGGCAACGCTTCGCCGGCGAAGAGAATCGCTGCGCTGCGTCGTCCAGTGGGCAAGGCGGCCAAGCCAACGACAACGACAACAGCGGCGCCTGTCAACGACGATGGCGCCGAGGAGGATGAGTACAATGAGGAGGGTGGCGCCGCCGCTGGCGATCATGGTAGCCAGTATGGCGATGAGCAGGAGGAAGGCGGCGTTAGCTCTACGACCACCACAACGGAGGCGCCCAAAAAAGTTGGCCCTGTGATCCGGCCATTCCGTTCCAACGATGATTTCCTGAATTCGCTGAAGCGTCGCCAGCAGAACGCCAAGAAACATCGCAACGAGAAGACGCCAGCCAGCAAACCAGCCGCCAAGAAAACCGACGAGGAGCCCGCCGATCATGAGGAGGCTGCAAGCGGCCAGGCACAAGCACCTGCTGCACCGGCTGCTGGACCCGCCAAGGGCTACAAGGGCAATTCGGCATGTAAGTGATGATAAGCCGCAAATTCTCGCCAGCATGCAAATTTTGCATTCATCAATTGACCTTTCCAGTAAATCGTCGCAAGTTGACGAAGCCTGTCAAGGCGGAGCCGGAGGTGGATGCCGCTGCCGAAGAATCGGAGCAGCAGCAAAAGGAGGAGGAGCCAAAGCCTAAGCGTCCGCTCAGCAGTCGCCTGGCCTTGAGGAAGCGCAACTAAGCTAACATACATGCATACATACTTCTACACACTTTTTTAAGGCACTGTAACTTAACAGTTATGTTTCACATTGTTTCTCTCCCTCTCTCTCTCTCTTGGTCTTTCGCTCACATGCATGGCTAGCCAAGGACAACTCGAGCTTGGCCTGCTAACATGCACACATACATACATATAATATAATCAGCTGATACACATACACACTGTCTCTCTCACACTCATTGCTAGCTAAGGGCAGCTCAAGCTCTGCCTGTTTAGTTTTTAGTACATTTTTTTTTCAATGTGTGGCGTCTTTTGCATTTGTGCCGGTGCGCGTGTGTGTTGGAGCAAGATTTATTTATGTATTTTATGCACAACACACACAAACGCACTTGCACTGCTTATCAGACACACACACTCACACTCATATATATACCGCAACCTTTTCCCACTTGCCTTTGTGCGCTTGTATTTGTGTATATATATTTGTATTGGAATATTTATAGCTCATATATCAGCGCGCGCACACACAAACACACACACACACATTTATTTCACTTAATAAACAAACTAAAATAAAGCAACAAGAAACAAACAAACAAACAACCATTACAAATAAATAAAAATATTACAGAAAAAATATTTTTAAAAAATTTTTTTGTGTTTATTTTTGACATTACGCGTTTAGTTAACCGGTTAAAGCGGGTTGAACCGGTTCAGAATGCCTGAAGCAAGCAGCAAAACTTATGATATAGCCAAGAGCAAGGATTGTAAGTCCATTTCAGCTGAACCGGTTATAACCGGTACAACAGTATCTTTTTAAACAAGCGCGCCATCTATGGGCGTTTGCTCTAGTATACGCAAATCCAGAACGACCTATAATTGAATATAAAACTACTAAATTCTATAGATGAAAGTAAGACTAAATTAGATATTTCAGCTACTTCTTTAGTTTTGTCTCGATCTTTGCTTTGTATATACAGAACCTGGACTTAATTAGGGTCAAGTTTTGGTTTGTATTTTATCGTATATATACATATATATTGTAGATCTCAGAAGAAAAGAAAACTGTCAGAATTTAAAAACAACGTCGTTTCAATACCTGTGTATTTTATTCGTTAATAATTACAGAACACTGTAAAAAAAATCATCTTAAAATGGATTTTTTTCCAATTGTATGTGGGCAGGGGAATGTATTTCTTCTTCTTCTTCGGTTTTTAACAGTTCACAAATATGGAAACCGGAAACTTTCGACAAACGTTAAAAAATGTAAAAATTTTGTATAATCAAAGCTTATGTATGATATAAATAATTGCTATACATAGAGCTATATATAAATATATATATATATATATATATATATATATATATATATATATATATATATATATATATATATATGTATAAATAACTATTCGTTGAATGTGAGCAATATATATATATTTGCATGATTCGTTGTCTCTCAATACTTAGACATTAAGTACTATATATTCGCTTCATTATTTCCTTTGCTTTTAAATATATTCGAACAATGTTTATATATATTTATAAAGAATATATATTAATTTAAAAAAAATAATATTAATAATTGTGTAAAAGCATTTTTATATATGACAAGAATTTTGCCCGCTTTTTTTTAGAGTTTAAAATTTGCATTTCGAACAGATCTTCAATGCGAATTGCATATATATATATATAGAACACTAACGATCGAGTATTCGCTTTTACCACATGGCTCTTCAGATATATATATATATATATATATATATATATATAATATTTCAATGTTTCCTAGTCACAAGGCACATTTTCGTTCGAGCTTAGTTATAGACATAGACATAGATATAGAAATAGATAAAGACTTTTATCTATCATATAAATTACAAATTGGGGGCGTGGCTATGACTTATGGAGCGTACTTGTTTTTAACTTTTTAATAAAAATATGTTTTAGTTTCTATATATATATATAAAATATTTGCTGTAGCCAACATAAAATGCTTAAAAGAAAGTAAACAAATAAAAGATGGATATGAGCATGAGTATGGATGATGTGGATGAGTGTGTGTGGGATGTTACAGGCGTGGCTGGTTAACAGTTTAAGTAGTAATTGCCGTGTAGCCGTATAAAAAAAACGAAAAAATATGGAATAATACTACATTTAAGTGGAGCTTGTAAACTAGAAAGCAGAAACAAGAGCAGCATCAGCGGGAGCAGCAGCAGCAGCAGCAGCGGGAGCAGCAAATGTAACCCAATCGGATCATCATCGTCATCGTCATCATCATCAGGTGTGATGCCTCGAATTGCGCATGAGTGGCACCAAGAGAGACGGCGGTCCCGCTTGCCGAAGAAACGGATGAGCTAACAGCTCAGCGGCCGTGGCACGCTGTGCCGGATCACGGACGAGCATGCGATCCAAAAACGATTGCAGACGTGGCGATACCTTGTGGGCATTTTTCAGATTTGGTGGCTGCATATCACGTATGCGTCGCATCGCCTGCAATGGGGGCTCATTGAAGAACGGCGGCTCGCCGTCAACCATTTCGATGACCATAATACCCAGCGACCAGATGTCCACGTCGGGGCCATACGGCAGACGGGAAATGACCTCCGGCGACATCCAGTAGGGTGTTCCAACCAATGATTTTCGTTTGGGCAGCTCCTGCGACACTTGCGCACAAAAACCAAAGTCCGACAGCTTCACCCGACCATCGGCGGCCAAGAGTATCGAATCAGATTTGATGTCGCGATGGATGACGCCCTATTTTAAATGGATGCGATTAGTATAAAGTCGGAAGGCATATATGGTTACCCTAGCTCTCTCTCTCTCTCTCTCTCTCTTTAAAAACCCTTCTCTCTTTTGTCTATCTTCTAAGCTGGTCTGTAACTCTCTTTCTCTCTGACTTCCTCTACGTCTCTCCCTCCCTATGTATATCTCTCTTTCTCTGACTTCATCTCTTGCGCTATATCGATCTTTATAGTTCTCTCTCCTACTCAGTATCGCCCTCTTCTAATCTACATTACTTTAGCTCGTTATTTTTGCTCTGCTGAATTTCCATGACAAATAAAATGTCGATTGGAAGTGTTAGGTAATCCCTATTTGTCATAGATGCCTCATGAACAGAAAGTATATATATATATATATATAGCTATTTACTACATATAGTTTAGTTATATATCTAAATATATAATATGAATGTACAGAAATTTTAAAGAGCTGCCTGGTTAATCCTATTATTCACATTCAACTGAACTTCTATTTGCAGACAAAGGTTTGGGTCAGCGAAATTGTGGTTGCCCAAAGCACGTACCACCCAGCGACCCAACCGGTCGGGCACCCACTTAACTGGCTATCAGATTACCTATGCGACGGGCGACATTTGGAAATGGAAACCAAACCACAAAACGTTGCAAAAGAAGAAAGCGCAAAAGAACTAAAATAGAAAGGCATTGAAAGAGCGCAGAGAGAAGTGAAAAGGCATTGGGCGAGGCTTTTGGCTGACAACTTGGCTGCTAGCTTGTCTGTTAGCCATGCTGGTCACGCACCTGTGAATGCAAATAGGCCAAAGCTTTAAGGCATTGCTTGCAAACTGTGGCAATTTGCTCCTCATCCATGCGGGAATGTGTGACAATGTCGGTGAGTGCGCCGCCCTCCAGATACTCCATGACCACCCAGAGCTCGTCGTTGACCAGAAAGCTGGAGTATGTCTCCACGATATTGGGATGATGATAGTCACGCATGATGACCACCTCATTGAAGAGCAGCTCGCGTCTCTGCTGCTTGCGCAAATCCATTTTCTTTACAGCCACTTGACGACCTGCCACAGGATTGAGAGAACGGGAGGCAGAGAGAGAGGAAGACGTTAATATATATATACATGAGATCAATTATCAGTGTCGAGGATTAGCCACTCACCTGTTGACTTGTCGGTGGCTATGCACACAGTGCCCGTTGAGCCTTCGCCTATTTTGTTAAAGTGCTCGAGATTCTCGCGCGGATCACCAGCGGAGACAACCATTTGCAAGGCAGCGCGGAATTGCTCGTGCGTCAGCCTCTGCTCCTGCTTTGGTTGCGCCTGCGCCTGGGCTTGGGCAGCCAGAGCGGCGGCGGCAGCATTGCCACTAGAACTGGAGCTGGCACGCGAAGCTGTTGCTGTTGCTGTTGGTGGTGCTGTTGTCGCTGTCTTGTTGGCATGTGGATTCTGATTTGGTTGTTGCTGGGAGGCAGGATACATTGGGTAGCTTTGACCATTGTTGTTGTTGTTATTATTGTTGTTGTTGTTGTGATGCGAACTGGCCACAGAGCTAACTGGCGAAGTTTGCTGCTGCTGTTGCTGCTGCTGCAGCTGCTGTGGCATGCGAAACGGATCGGTGCGCACAGCCAAAGGAGCTGTTAGCCCGCCATTGGAATGTGGATGCGGATGCGGATGTGAATGTGAATGTGAATGGATATGCTGACTGGTATATAAAAGATTATGTGGCATTGGTTGCTGCTGTTGCTGTTGTTGCTGCAGCTGCTGTTGCTTGAAGCCAGGCGTGGGCGTGCCGGCTGGCAGCTCCTCCTCTGGCACAGCGGGCGGTACATTGGCCACTCGCCTCACACGCGGCGGACTGGAGCTGCGCAACGAATTGGAGCGGGCCACATGTGAAGTCTTTGGCAGCAATTGCTGCTGCTGTTGCTGCTGCAACATTGCTGGATTGTTCATCATCAAAGCGCTGCTGCTACTGCTATTGAGCGATGTTGTATCTGCCTTATTGTTGTTATGATGCGGACGCACAATTGTCTTCAGATCCAGTATTTCAGTGGGCGTTATCTCTGAGGGATCAACAAGGGGCAACGGGCGATTGCTGGACTTCAAAATTTGATTGTTGCCCACTATGGAGGCCCATTGCAATGGCAAGCCAACATATTTATTCTCTCGCTTGTCGAAGCCTGTGTGCACGCGATGCTCAAAATTGCTGGGCATCGAGATCAGCGGTTTCTTCTTCTTCTTTGTGAACATTTTAGCTTGTTCCGTTATTATGGCGCCGTCAATTGCAAGTGCCAGGGAGTTGCTAGTTCCCTCGTTCTCTCGTTTGTTGACTTTTCTTTTACCCGCCCTTTTGGCTGGGCCCGTCAATAGGCGACGACAAAGTCTTTAGCCACACTAACACATTCGCACGTACAATACACACAAATGAACACAGACAAGCACATACACTCACACTCAGGCGCATACAAACACACAGCGACGGATGCGATTTATGTGGATTTCGTGTTTAGCGCTTTCAATCGACTTTCACATGCACAATTTGCATTGTTTAATTAAATGCTGCGAATATTTATCAGTTAACATAAATACACTTTACACCAAAAAAACAAAAAAAAAAACAAACAAACACAATTTGAAACCTAATAAAAATAAACTTAAAAACTTATTAATTGCCGATGCTAGCAGTTATCGTTGGCTCTGTTGCTACGAGAGAGCTGCAAAACTATCGTTCATTGCACGCGATACTATCGTTGTCATGACCCAAATATGTAAGTTTGTACGATAGTTACTAGCACATTTAGTGCATTCTTTAAACTGAATTTTACAGCACTTCGCAAACGTTTGCAGACAAACGGTCACACTTAAATGCGTTTGCATTGACATTGGCTTGATTTTCAATAAATATTTTTTAACTTGTATACAAGAAAATGTCGAAAGCACATCCTCCAGAGCTGAAAAAGTGAGTAATTATAGCCTGTTGCTAAAAGCATGTGGGTGCTAACTGGTTATTTGATTCCTATTTATCAGGTACATGGACAAGCGCATGATGCTTAAGCTAAATGGCGGCCGCGCTGTCACCGGCATTCTGCGAGGCTTCGATCCATTCATGAACGTTGTACTCGATGATACTGTGGAGGAGTGCAAGGATAACACGAAAAACAGCATTGGCATGGTCGTACGTACATTACTAGGCTTACTTGAAGCATTTAATAAAATTAAACAATTTAATTTTCAGGTCATTCGCGGTAACAGCATTGTCATGGTCGAGGCTTTGGATAGAGTCTGATATCCAATCTCTAGCGCAATTTTATCCACTTTGGATAATATGCAAACCTTAATAAAGAAGTATCCGTCGGATAATAAGTTAAATGTAAACTATTTAACACACAGACTAGTCCTAAGGTTCTAAAACAAAAACATTCATACATTTTAAATAAATTTACTGTAAACAAATGAGTTTGTTGTATATCTGCCAATCTATATGATATGTATATATTCATCTATCACATATACCTCATGTACATCATTTACTTCATTTAAAACTAAATTATGCATGGCTCTATCACGTTTATGGCCTGTAGCAAATTCTATAAAACATATGTACTATATATTAAATTTTATAAAGTATATAGCCACAATCTACATTTGTGTTCTCCAGAAAATGTACACATATATTACATAAAGTATAGTAACGGTAGTAATGAGCTTTACATCTGCGGCATATGATATCATATCGTCACAAACTACGGATTATCCCGATCGAAATTCCATGTGGTTTATGATTCATAGTTCTATTTCCTGTACAATTTTAGAGCCAGCCTCTCTTACATCTTTGAGATATATATTCTTGATCCAATGTTGATCTGCAACTCTGAGGATTGCTCTGACCCAGTCGTTATCGTTCTATAGACACAGGGACTGTGTTAAAAACCGTTTGACGATACAGATGTACAATGTATAAGCCTGTTTCTATGAGCTGTCATACAATATGGAATATGGATTAGTAGTTATGCGACAACCATATCCACCCAATCCCACTAGCTTATATTTAAGCGTGTCTTATCTCCAGGCCTTAAGTAGTACAATATATGATACTTTAAGGATAAGTAAAGATCATAGGTTTTGTTACAGATAGAAGCATTAGACGCATTCATATATGCATACACAGGCAACTAACATATATGCATACACAGGCAACTTAGAATCCCTAAAGTTAACCAAAACATTGTAGCTTGCACTATGTTGCCCGGCAAATGAAACGCTGTGGTACATGTTGACGCTTGTTTTTTATAGACTTTAGTGAATTGTTTTTATATTCTCGCACGTTTTCCTTTTTTGTGTATGTGCAAACAAAGAAAACTCTTACATTACAAGTCTAAAATATAAGGTTTTGTATTTTTATAGACTTCTCGTCGCGTTGTCCACATATCAAAATTTACTTGGAAATAACAATGGGGCCTGTTTGCTTGGCAGCGTCGCGCTGCTTGGCGACAATCTGATTGGCAATGCGATCCAGATCGCGCTGTCCAATCGAGCTCAATTTGCGGCCACCCTCGGGGTGCTTCTCAACAAGGCGGGCATGCTCAAGAGCCTGCAGTGCCTTGCGGGCAGCACCATCAGCGGCACGGCAAAAATGAGATGGATGAACGCCATTGCGTTTGCGTCCACCATAAATCTTTGTAATGGAGCCAACGCCAGCTGGACTGCGATGATATAGATGACGCAGTATGGAGGCGCAACGTACATAGAACCAGTCGGGATCGTAGGGTGCCAGCTCCTTGAATTTGGCAGTCTTGATGATATCCATCTGGTCGGGGACCTTCAATTTGCCAGTCCTAAAATATACAAAAGTTAATAAATCATCGATATATACAAACAAATATGCACATTTGTGAGGTTATGTCTGCACACACACACAAAACATAGTGTTGTGTAGCGCTCACACGAGACTCACTTCTTAAGGAAAACGGCGACCGCCTTGGTAACGGCATGTTGGTCAATATCCTTCACTGTGACACCTGGCATCTAGAAACAAATAAACACAAAAACAAACATTGCATAAAAAAATTTTGATAAAACACGTTGCTATTCGCGAACGCGCACACACATACGTTCGCACACACACATGCAAACAAAGACAACAACATTCTGCGAATCTCAAATTTGATTGCATTTCAAGTGTTTAATATATGTGTTGCCATTTTAAACGAATTCAATTGCAACATTCACTCTCTCACTTTAGTGGACACACATTTTCATTTATTGCTATGCATTTGCAGCAATATTTTGAAAACTAAAAAAAATATATTTGAGTAAACGAACGCGAGCACTACCTTGCTAGTCAAAGTCAACCGGAAAAAAGAACAAGACGCTCGAAGTTGGCTGCGCTTATTGTGGATGATAAGGTTGCCACCTAATCGTAGGAAATTACCAGTGTTGTTAATGTAAGCAGTGCAATTCTTATCGATGAACAACAAAATATCGATATTTAACATAATTGAAAATAATAACGTATGACTATTTTTCATTTGCACATTTTTATTTCATAGAAAGAAAAATATATGTTAATGTTCGGTGCAATCGTATTTTCTCCAAAGCTCCGCAAATGATTTTGCTTTGGTTATAGAGTTTTGTTCTTTGCGCGGCTTGCGCCATGAATTTGGATTTAGCTCCAACATACCGCCAAGAATTTCCTAGATAAATGAAAAGAAAAAATAAATATATTTTTTTTTTTTTTTTTTCTTAAGCAAACCTGCGCATAGTTAGCTGGGAATCGATCCTGATCCTCGATGACGTGAGCAAATCCCCCATCCATACCAAAGTGTACCCAGAAATAGGGCAAGCCTTTAGGTATAGCAGCTCGCAAGGATTTCTTCTGCAGGGATATTAGCTGCTTATTGATGCACCATTCATGCTCAGACTCTTCGATGGCCTTCTTGAAATAGAAGGGCGCCATCTCACCTTGCGACTGTGGTATGGGTATACAATGCACAGCCAAGTGTGGCCTCCTATGTAGCTTATTAGCAATCTCATAGAAAATCACATCCTTGCGCTGGGCAGCAAACATTCGGGTTAGAGCTTTACGAAAATTACTTAACTCCTCCCACGCATCCTCGTCGAGCAACGTACAGGCGGAGACATGCTGCATGGTAGTTATTATACAATGATCCCGCTGCAGACCCACATGCCAGGGCAAACTTAGATATATCTTTGAGCCCATGGCCAGAAGCAACTGCTTCTCCAGCTTAACCGAGTCGAAGCAGCGATCGCAATTGTCCAAAGTGGCGCTCAACTTCTGCTGCTCGCTAATCGCCTGTTTCAGTTCACGCTGCTCAACGTCGCCCTCTGTTATATTCTTGCGTATACGATCTTCGAAAATGTCCTCCAAATCATCGTTAGGATTCTTGTGCTTGGATAGAATGTCGGCGTATTGCAAATTTGACTCAGCTGCAGTTGCATGCTTTTCCCGTTCAAACTAAAAAGTAATCAGAAATGAAAATTTACAGATAAAGCAGTTATATACATATATATGTATATATTTAACCATTTGCTTGATATCGTAACGATCGTCGTCGGCAAAGTAGCGCACGCGCTGTCCATCCGAATGCGTTTCCACCTTCTTTTGCCTTTTGCCATCCGTTTTGTGGCCAACTGCTGTTTTGCTTTGTAGAAGTGGGCGCACATTTCCGCTGGCATCGGTGCGGGTGAGCAACACATGCTCCCTTTTTTGCTCAGATTTGGAGTTGGATTTGGATTTGGCAAGCGGTTTGCCACTAGCCAGGTGTTCGGCGCGCAGTTTACGTGCCATGTCCAGCTGCTTGTTAAACTCTGCAGCCAGCTCCGGCTTGCCTTTGAGCTCAGCTTTTATGGCCTTGGCGGCCAATTCATTAATTTGCTCGTCCGTCAAAGGTTTTGGCGCCCCTTCGCTTTCCTCCTCCGAAGAGGACGAGGAGGCGGATGACGGACTGCGTCGTCTGCTGCTGCTTCCACTGACTTTAGGCGAGGAACTGCGTCTTTTACTCCCAGTAACGGTGGTTGCCGCAGACTCCCGCCCACTAACTGCGCTTGTCACAGACTTCTGCCAATTGCGTGAGCTACTACCGCTTGGCATAGTTCGTCTTACAGGCCGTTCCTCGTCGTCCTCATCATCAGCTTTGGGTTTTTGGAAACCTGGCAAACCAGTACCATTGCTCTTCCAGTACGGATTCAGCTCATGGATGTTTTTAGCTGGATCATAGGCGTCGATTTGCTGAAGCATCGCATTGGGCTTCATTGGTTCCTTGCGCTCCTTGCTGAAGGTTTTCAGGGTGAGAGCTGCGCTGTCCGTCATCCAGCTGTCTCGCTGCACCAAAGGTTTCGCCTCAACTGGCACGGGCGCACTTTCCACCCACTCATCATCGCTTCTTCTGCGATTCCTTTTTGTTTTCTTCTTCCTATCCGAATCAGAGCTTGAACTGGAATCAGAGCCTGAGCTGGAGTCGGAGCTGGAATCACTATCGCTATCGCTGCTGCTACTGCTGGTGTCGTGTTTACGTTTCCTCTTCTGCTTTCCCTTTGTTGATTTCTTTAATTTTTTCGCCTTTGCCTTGACCTTTTTTTTGCTCTTTTTTTTGCTTGATTTCTTCGACTTGCTGCTGGGTGCCTTGCTCAGTTTGTTCAATTTGGTGGCCACCGTTGGCAGTATCCAATTATTTTCGCCGCGCAATTCTTTTTGTCTTTCTTGCTTGTTGCGTTCCTCTGCACGCGACTTGGCCTGGAAAAAATGTTTGTAACTTTCATATATTGTTTTATATTTTTCCTGTGGCTTACCTGCTGAAGCAGTTCATCACGTGCTTCCCTGAGTTCCTGGCGCGCTTTATCCTTTTCGCGCGCACTTTCAAATTGTATAAAACTCATTTTCACTACTTTTAAAGTAAAGCAAAATGTATACAGGTAAACAAACAATTTGTGGTAATGAAATTTTTGTTTACGATACAAACACAGCTGACCCGGGCATAATCTATCGATAGTACTTTTAAACACATTCCAAGGAAGTAAAATGTTAATAAGTAATTAGTTATAGCAATATTTTCTATTCATTTTATAGACTCATGCGGTAATTGGTTTTTGGATACGCTCATATTTTTCGGTGCTACTGACTAATTTTTAAATGTATTGCTTCGTTTAGGTATCGAAATATATCGATATCAGCTATACCGTAACTGCTCGTTAATCGTAAAATGCTTATCGATAACGCTCCGTTCCAAACACTCAGCTGTTGACATTTTTGTTAATTAAAAGGGTAAAAAAAGCATATAAACTATGCCGCTGTACGAAAGCGTAATGCAAGAAAAACCCCCAATCGTCCTAGACATTGGAAATGCCTATACTAAGTAAGTTTAGCGATTGTAAAAAGAAAACACTATTGTTTCGTGATGATATCATCGCTTTATCCAAATTTGCAGGCTCGGCTTTGCGGCAGAGTCTCACCCACGTAAAATAATACCCACGGAGGTGGTTTTGACCACAACTGGGGAAACAAAGTTACTCTTCGACTATGCAGGAACTGAGGAGCTCTACGACCAAATTGTGGACTTTCTGCAAACCATTTTCTTCAAGTACAAAATTGAGATGTTTATAGGAAGTTTTTATTTAATTGCCATTTGATTGCAGGCACCTGCTGGTCAGTCCCAAAGAGCGTAAGTTTGTGATTGTGGAGAACATATATGGACAGACGATTATACGAGAGACGCTTGCACGTGCACTCTTCATACATTTCGATGTTTCTTCGGTGCTTTTTGTTCCTGCTCATTTAATTGCTCTGTCCACGTTGGCCGTTCCAACGGGCCTGGTTGTGGACATTGGATATAGTGAGACAACGATTATGCCTGTGTTTAGTGGCGTACAAATTATGGCTGCATTTAAGGATCATAGCTACGGCAGCAGCGCTGTGCAGGAGGAGATCAAACGACAACTGCTAGCAACGGGCGTTAAGGAACGACTGCTGACACCCAGTGTCCTGGAGGACATTAAAGTACGCACCTGCTTTGTGAATAGCTTTGAGCGTGCCTACAAAGAGGAGAAGCAATCACCACCCGATGTGGAGTATGGTATTTGTGATGATGACGCTGTCATTAGCATACCCGGCAGCTTGCGTGAATCTGTTTACGAGCTACTCTTCGAGCAGAACAATGAACGAGATAGCTTGCCACATTTGATACTGCGCGCCATACTCGATTGCAGCATGGATGTGCGTCGATCCCTGGTGGAGAGCATCTTTGTAATTGGCGGTGGGGCCATGGTTCCGGGGCTGCTGGCACGGCTCAAACAAGAGCTGCAGCATCTACTAGAAAATGACAGCTACTATGCCACACGTTTCCACGGCCAGTTGCAGTTCAAGTTCTATCAAACGATTGGCAAACAGAATTTCACAGCCTGGCTAGGCGGCTCCCTATGTGGAGCCACTGATCTCATTCAAACGCGTTCGCTAACCAAGGACTCATATCTAAGAAACGAACATGTGCCCGATTGGAGTAATCTCTGTGACAATAGAAATGGTGGCTGAATTGAACGAACTCTTTATATATATATATATACAATCTATACACACGTATTTTTATTACAAATTGCATCATATATATATATATATATATATATATATACATATATATATACTATATAACTTGTTTTGAGTAGGAAAAATGACATACGAGTATAAAAAATGTTTCGTTTGCGCTTAAAGCTACAAAAATGTTTCTTACGAGATTATTGTGCATTGAGAAACTCGATATTTAAATATATATAATTATTCAATATCTTTATATATATAACTTTTCTTTTTGTTTTGAATAACTTGGCTAATTATGCAAAAAGGCGTTTTGAATCTTGGTTTTTTTCTTGTAATTAGGAAATGCGCTTCGTTTACGTTTCTTTAGAATACATTTTTGTTTGTTTATCTGTGAACATTTTAAGCAGTGTTTGCTATTTTTTTTTTTAGTTTTATTTAGACCCGTTCTTTCTTTTACTCTATTTTGGAGTGATGCCTATTAGTATATTTAGGATCCTCGACTATTAAATGTCTCTCTGTACTTTACGGCACTTTGTGTTTTTACTATTTGTATTCTTATATTTCTTCTTTTGGTTTTTCGTTTTTTATTCGCTTTTAAAAATATAATTTCAGTTTTTGAATATTGTAAAATATATCCCAATGTGTGCATGTGTGTGTATGTATGTGTGTGTGTGTGTGTGTGTACAAGATGCATATTATATATTAATAACTCCTGATTTATTAACCTAAAACCCTAAGCGTAATTTCAATATTTTTTTTCTTTCTTCAAATATGTATACAATATTTGTTAAGGGCATTCTACTTCTCTTCCTCTTCTATTTCGAATATACAAATTGAAAAATGTTATATATTTATATTTATATTTATATTATAATATATATATTATATTATATATATTATATTATATATATATTATATTATATATATATATATAATGTATATAAAAATGTGGGCTCTCAACTATTGTTTTTTCTGCAAGACTGATTTGCTCGAGCATTGCTTGGTGTTCTTCTTATTGTTGTTGTTGTTGTTGTGGTTCTTAACTTTTACAATTATTATATTTATTTTCTTCTCTCTTCATTTTCATTTCATTTTTGTTTGTTTTGTATTTGTGCAAAATAATTAACAAATTTTGGGGAACAATAAATAACAAAAAGCTGATGCTGCCAAAGCAAGTGAAAAAAGAACTGGAATATTTAAAAGTATTTAAAAAGAAAGAAAGAAAAAAAATTCTAAAGGAACTTAAACATTAAAAATGTTATACAATAAATAATAGCAAAAAAAAGTTTAAAATTTTTTTTTGTGTGTGTGTGTGTATGTGTGTGTGTTTGTTTAGCAAGTAAGAGCAGCAAAACTTGTGGCAAATGTGGCAGCTGGAGCTGAAGATGCAGCAAGGAGCTAGAGGTGAAGTAGCTGGAACTGAAGATGAAGTCGACGCTACAGGTAAAGCTAGAGATGGAGATGGAGATATAGATATAGCTATAGCTGGCACTGCAGATGATATGAATATGAGTGGAGTTTGAAGCTGAAGCCAAAGTTAGGGCTGTAGCTCGTCCGTTGGCGATGGTGACAGTAAAAGCAGTAGAAGCTTTTCCTATAACTATATCTAGTGTTAGATAGAGTAAAAGCTGGAGTTGGATTACGATAACATTGTGTGTGAGGCTTCTGCTTCTGGCAATGTTGGCTGTTGTTTCTGTTTCTACAGTTGTTCCGCCTGCTCCTCCTCCGCCTCCTCCTTCGCCGCCTGCTACTGTTACTGCTGCTGCTGTTGTTGCTGCTTAACTAGTTTACAATTAATTTATTTTCAGTCGTCGCCGCGGCGGGACGGCATCGGCAACATCGATATCATCGACATCATCGGCATCGGCATCGAGTCGTCGCCGTCTGTCACTTTTCGGTGCGGAACAGCTTGCTCAGATTGGCATTCTGATTGCTGTCCATGATGTTGCTATTGGTGCTGGCATGCTTTTGATTTGGTTGCATAGGTGGCAAATTGGCAATTTGCACCTCGTGGCGAAACAGTTGATTGACGCTGCGACCAACCAATTGGGCAGTTAGCTTCTTGAATATATCCTTCTTGGCTCGATCCACTTTGTTGCCTTTGACCGGAGCCACAGAGATTTTCTCATCGAACTTTTGCACATCCGCCGCATTGACGCTTGGAATATGTTGCAACACTTCGCTGAGCACTGGGAATTTAGGACGCAGCAGCTCGTAAAACTGAACGCCGAGTGTTATCAAGCCGGATTGATTCGCTTCATGCTGGCCATGCACCTGCATGCCTTGCAGTACAGCCGTAAAAGCACTCACTGCCTTATTCTCATCCATCAGCTGCTCGGCGGCAAGGAAACGCATAACAGGCGCCGCTATATTAACAGCCTTCATGTTGCACATGCCATCGTTCCAAGCGATTGCATTAAGGAGTGTCATCAATATGTAGTTGCTAATTGGACCATTGCGCAGCAGTTGGCCACCCAGATCGCTGATGGTATCTGAAAGCAGGGCTGATTGCGCTGCACGTGATTGTGGTGCACTGTCCATGGAGTGCTCCTCGTTCTCCATTGCTACCACATTAGCACCGCCAGCAGCATTCACATGATCGGCACCAATTTGACCGCCCACTAAGGCAATCTTTAGCACATCCAAATATTCGCGAGTTAGCGTCCGATTCAGTTGATCCTCGAGCACTTCCTGTGTGTCATTCACTTCGCCATTCAACTGCCCCGATTCGTACAGCGAAGAAATGTACAGCCAGCGACGTGTCAGGCGTTCGCACATGAGTGGAGTTAGATGAGCAAATAGCGGCACCAGCACCGACTCATAGTAGCTGGGCGGGCACGAGTAAACAAATGGCTTGAAGAACACTCGGATGATGGGACGCATGCGATAATCGGGTATGATGTCCATGCAGCAAAACACGTTGTTGATTATGGCATCGGATAGACCCACCAGCTGGTAGAGATCACGACCGAGTGATGGACCCGCCGAGCCCATCAAATGATAACAGCCTTCGGTGACCAAAGTCATGAACGTTTGCATCTTCTCGAAGGCAGTTGGTTCCGTTTTGATTGTCGTGTCTAGAGGATCGGCTGGTATGGCGCATATGCCCATCAGCAGCTTCTTCTCATGCTCCAGCATGCCGTGTATATTGCGATAGCCCTCGGAAAGAGCGGCCAATGCCTCGGGGCGGAAGAGCTCATTTAGAACACGCATTAAACTAAGCACATGTGAGAGAAGCGGCACCACATGTTTCGTTGCCGGATTTCTGCAGATGGGATTGCCCAGATCTGTGCAGCCAATGACAAAACCTCCACGCTGGGCACGATCCGGATCATCGGGCCAAGTGCAACGCTTAATGACGCCCAAAACCACATGCAGAGCATCCAAAATCCGTGAACGTTGTACAATGGAAGGATCCCGATCGATATCATAGACAGGCGGCTTATCCAATCCAACGAAACGAATAAATTCCAACGGCGACTTGAATGCTTCGCCGAAGCTTAGCCATTCGGAGCGCTTCCGCTGCACGATGTGCTCGATAAACAGTGTCTGACGGTCAAAGTCACAAAAATGATTCGAGATTAAGATGAGCGCCTCCTGCAATGTGGTACGCATCATGCGGCACAGATGAGGCGATGACGGCTCCTTAAGCAGGCACTCTACATGATTGTTGATTTGCTCGAAAACGGGCAGCAAAAGCAGCGGATATTTATGAGCCAGTTTGACCAGCAATGAGGCAGCATGACGACGCAAATTCTTGGCAGATTTCTGTTGCACCTTCTCCAGTTCGTTTGGCGGCTTCAAAACCAATGCACGAAAGATCTTGTCCAGGACACGAGGCAGAAGCGCTACTCCACTCATGGCCACACAATTGTTGGGCGTCAATTGGCACGAGGACATGCTGAGGAACACAAAAAGCGCTGATATGCAAGATAATAAAATGGAATAGATTAAGGGATTTGATGTTTCCAGCTTGAGGCACTCCTCCAACAAACGCAGGCCACCGGCGACAGCTGGACGCTCGGCCACCAACAAAATGCGACTAAGTACACCATCCAGGACACAGACCAATGCATCCCATTCCAAGTAAATTGGATCGAGCACACTGCAATTGATGCTGGAGCATTCAGGTTCTGATTGGGCATGACGCAGTCGAAGCTGCAGCCACTGCTCACAATAGCCATACGTTATCAAAGGCTGCACCAGCGTTGCCTGTCGAAAGATCTCAAGGAAATCTGTGCGACAGCGAAAGAAATATATAGCAAAGTCCTCTTCGCTGTCGTACTCCAAGCGTATGTAAGCTTCTGTGCTATTGGGTGACTGGGTAACCCCGTCCGGCTGCTGGCTGGGATAGGTTATTTTGACAATGCGTGGCGCAATAGTGTGTATTAGCTTGGGAATGTTGTTGACCATCAGATAATCCTTGGAGCACCCGTCATGCTTCAGCAGTAGTTGCCAAATTAATGCAGCTCCATGCGCCACAGTCAGCGATGGATGCTGTACGAGCAGCAGTAAACATTCAAACATTACATTCAATTGTGCGGGTCGTTGTGTGCCTTCGTCCTTGCCCCATAGCGCAACCAGTTGTTGTACCATGCCATTTAGCACTTGAATGAGTTTCTTCAGAAAATTATGATGCTGTTCGATGGCCTGCACGTTGCTGTTGTCCACTTGCATTTGGCTAGCTGTGTAGATGTAGCGTAAAGGCTCCTCGCCATACAGCTGGAGTAGGGGTTTTCGCTCCTTGGTCTGGCCCTTGCGATTTGTGATTTGTGCGAGGCATTCGGCTGCATTGCATTGGAATGCTTTATCATTGAGGAGTATACAAAGGAAATGCATCAGTTTGCCATTGCTCGACATGATGTGATTGATGCTAACCCATTCCACAAAGCCGCTCAACGTCAGCAACACCATCTCAACGACTCGACTGTGGGCATTTGCTTTATGATAGTTGCCCAAACGAGTTGTTTCACGGAATGCAGTTACATGCTGTTCGATCAGGCGCAAAAAGAACTCAAATATATCATTCATGTTATTGTTAAGTGCTTGATACATGTCCTTGCGTCGCTGATTCGATTCGATTGTCTGTAACAAGGCCACATCTTCGACCAAACGCAAAAAGACCAATAAAACTAGCTCCGTTTGCGCCTCGCCATTGTTGCAAGCCTGCGATAATTCGGGCAATAGATCTGACCATTGTTGCGGCCATTCTCGCTTGATCATCTCGACAATGATTCGCGAGAGAGCGTCCTTTAAATGCAACAGCGTACGATCCTCGGCTGGGCCAACGCCCATATTTAGCATCTTGATGGCATTTTCCTTAATGTACACCTTCTCCTCGTGCGTTATGCAATTCCATTTGAATTTGATTGTGTACTCAATTAGCTGTAGTCCGAAATGCCGCACTTCCTGATTGAATTGAGCCGAGCTGGCTAAATAGAGACCCACTTGGGCGCACAACGGTGACTCCTCCTTGAATCGTTCGCAGGCCATATAAGCTTCGAGACGAGCCTGTTGCACGGTCATTGGATGCATTATCAGGTCCACGGCCTTTGCCAGCTCTGCGGCTAAAGCCTCCGTAACCCCATGCTGGGACATCGTCCTCGAATTTTCTTTCCAATTCGCTCGATCTTCACCTATAAAATATAATAATAAAAAAACATGCAAGTCAAAAAAATGTTGCAATCATTTTAATTAAAATGCAATTCTTTTGCTAGGCACCCTACACCATAAATCATGTTCGTTTGTTTACAAAGAATGCAATAGCATATGGCATACAGTTTCAACTTTCAAACTTCTCATATATAAATTTAACATGTCGAATCATTCATCTTCATCTTCATCATCATATTTATATATTATATTATACATTTAAATATTACTATTAACACGTTTTTCAACAAATTTAAATTATCTTCATCCAATATGAGCTTCAATATGTTTTGATGAATGCAATAAATATAATACAGAGTTGTATATAACAAAAATTGCTTGCAGAGTATTTAAAGTTCGACACTCCCTTGTTAAATTCCACCTTTTGTTTTTTTTTTTTTTTTGTACAATTATCTTTCAGTTCTTTTACGAGTGTTGGTAAATTGTTGCACTTGTATTGGCGCACGTTTAGCTGCAAAGCTGTTTTTCCTTCACGCTAAGCTTTAAACACTGTTTCGTGTGTGTGTGCGTGTGTCTGTGCGTGCGTATTTTCGTCTAAAGTAACGGAAATACTGTCATCCTTTGCATTTGCCATTTGCTGGAATGTTTACACTGTTAATGCACACTGTTTATCGCCTTACCCGGTTTGCCGGTATTCAAAGCAAAAATAAATAAATTAATGCTGAATACGCTTGATGCTACTGCTCCTCCTTGGCTCGGCCGCCGCCTCTGTTGCGCGCGCGTGTGTGTACTTTCGATTTTTGTGTGTTGCTACTTGCTGCTGTTGTGCGGAATTTTTTCGCCAATGCGGTTAGGGCCCCCAGACGTATGCGATTGCGATTAGTGTTGGCTGCTTGACTGTCGTTGCGTTCGTATGTCTGCTGCGCTCTTTGCAATTGTTATGGCTTTTTAGTTGGTATTTCATTCGCATTTACACGTATCGCCAAAGCAGAAGCCACATTTAAAATATAATGTGTGTTCACATTTGAAATTATTTGAAACAGTTAAAGTATGTCTTTTTTCGGGGGGGCTACGTTTGTGTGTGCAAGGAACGCAGCATGCTGAGTCGATAACAAGTCTATTGCGATACATTATCAATCGATAGGAACGTTGTTGCTTACAGTGTTGCTAGATGATATTCTCTGGTTATACAAATTGATTCGAATAGATTTTATTGTCTGCGAACTGTTGTTAATCAATCATAACAGTGACACTTAAAGAATGTAAAATTATATTATTTATAAATTTACTATATATAATAAAAAAAAGTTAAATATGAATTTAATTGATTGATTTTAATTTTGATCATCGGGCCTCGTTCGCAACTTACATATTGCGAGTATATTCATATCGTACGTTAACCAACACTGATTACTCTCAGCCGCGTCTGGAGCTAAACAAAACAACAACAACAAGGGCCGGCATGTGTGCGAAAATGTCAAAGCGAAGCGCAATGCCAAAAAACTAAAATCTCATAAGCTGTAGGAAAACTAATCAGTTCGGTCGACATACAATAAATTTTGTTGTCAAGTGAATATCTCATAATATATTCAACATTCGATGAAAGAACAACAATAATAAAAATGGAGTGGCATGAAATTAAGGCAAATGATAATAAATCAGCGACTTTTCCGGAGCGTTCCATACCTGGTTATGAGGAGGTGTTCAACAAGCAGGTCGAGAACAGCAGAATTGCCTGTAAGTATCTTCGATTTACAGCAACCCATGTTTATAGGTATACCTTTATATACAATGGCGATTTTCTTTGTCATTTGTAGCTGACTATTTCGGAGGCATCATTAATCGCGGCAGCTGGGGTTGGCTAACGCGTAGGAATATTGATTCGGCCACAATATTAATATGCCAGTTGAGCAATGGATTTCGCGTTGCCAGTTACACATTTTTGCGTGAGAACGAACGCAAGCAGAAGCTAAAGAGCAGCATACGCTGCGTAGAGGAACTAACATACACAGGCATCAACAGTCGCGTCCTTTTGGCTGTATGCATTGAAATTTTACCGGGACAAGCACAATTGGCCCTCTACACACCCACCAATAGTCAGGTGCTGCGATATATAGAGCTGAATAAATCAGATCTCAATGTCTGTTGTATGACTTCTCTGGATGAGCATTTGTGCGATAAAACCATATTCAATCAATTTGATGGCTGCCTAGCTCTGGCCACAACTTCGGGCAGTGTGCTTTTAATGGATGTGAATGCCAAGCAAATTATTACCAATAGGTCCACAAATGTTGTCCTGCCTGATACCGAGGTGCAACGCAACGATATTTATTGCATAACATCTGTAAATCGATTGGATACGAAGCTCACGCAATGCCGCCAGCAGAACGCGCATCTGGCATTTGAACTAAAGTTACCCGTGACTGCTTTTAATGGAGTATCGAGTTTACTTCCATTGGAATTGATTTCCGGCTTCGCTGCCGGTATGCAGGATGGACGCATCTGTGTCTACGATCTAAGAACACTAGATCTCGTCGTGCAGCTACGCATGCCCGTCGATCATTCGCCATCGCCTGTTGTTGGACTCTGTTGCATTGAGCCGCCGGATGACCCGCAACCGTGCTTCTACATTATCTCCATTTACGATCAGGGTGAAGGACTAATGGCTTCGCTGCATTCGATCAACTACAGACGCTCGTCTGCTCTGTCTCTAGACAAAGGCAATTTTGATGTGCGTGATTTTCTAAGCGCATCCCCGCGCATTCGCATAACATTGGATAGTGGCAATTGTTCGATGATTAGCTGCATTACAGTTTCCACTCTTGCTCTTTCCGGAGACTATGGAACCATTTTGACTGCCATTAGCTGGCGTTCTCACAAGGACAATCGGAATAAGTTGGTCCTATTCGATATTAATCAGTGGTACAAGGACGAGATGCCCAGCCATCCGCTACCGGATGACAAGCTGGACTATCTGTGCGGCTTTTACTTTAGTGGTCAGCACGTTGGACTATCCATGCAGATCGACACAAGCTCGATTATTCCGTTTATATCCATGCAACGTCATGATGACTATTATTATCCCAAAGCACTGTCATTCGGTGAGACTCGTCCTTAATCAAAGTTTGACCACAACTCGACGACATTCCTAATTCACTCTCTTTCTCTCTTAGATTGTTTCCTGATGACAGTTAGAGGCTGTCAGCACTTTGAATATGTGGGTGTTCAGCGTCGATTCTTGAGCTCTCTATACAACAACAAGGCAAATGTATTTCTTAATCCGGAAATCTATATAAGGGATCTTGTAGACCTGCGGCTGCTGCCGCAATTCCACGACTTCGAAGCTCATACGGCACTCTCCAGAGTATGTCTATAGTCGTTCCGATGCTGTGAAACTATTCACTTATATATTCTCGATTTTGCAGCGTGAAATGTACGAGATGATTCTGTCAATGGCATTGGAACAGGATTGTCTGTGGCTGTTGAATAGCTGTGCACGCAATTGCATGGATGGCAGCTTTCTGTGCAACATGGCGAGTCCGACAAAGCTAACGTTGTCCGTGTTAACCAATTGGATTGTGATGCGTGCCAAGCAAATCAAAACTCGTTGCTCGGACCTGTGCCAGGGCATCTTTGACTATGGGGGCTATGCGCTGGATGAGCGCGAACGCAAGGAGCTCAAAAATCTGAACAGTCAGCTCTGCAAGCTGCAAGACTTACAAGCTTTGCTTTTGACTTTATCCAAAACTCAAATAAGTCACGAGCTGGTCGAAGATTTGGCTCATACGAAGCTTACACTGAGTGTTCTATATGAGTTTCAGCGCATTCTCTACTGGTTGATTGATCGCAGCCTCCTGCCGGTGAACACCGAACAGGAGCAGCAACCGCTGCAGGTGATACGCCGTGAATATGATGAGCGTCGACTTCGATTGCAGCGCTCTTCGGAACATAATGTCCGGCTCTACATAGATGAGCAGCTGCAGCATTATGGATTCCAGGCTGCACTGCAGCAGCTTAAAGAAAATGGATTATATCCACCTCAATCGCTGCAATCGTTAATGCGTTTAATGCTGTTGCCGGACGAGAAGTTGGAGCACAAACATGAGCTAGTGTTGTATATGTTGCTGGATGTGGAACAGATGTATAAAGATAGCAAAAGTGAATTGCACATAGATTTTGCCATCTCATTTGGCATAGCCGAGCCAGTGGTGAAGCGTGTGCGTTCCTTTTGGTTTCTGGACAGGAGTGACTACGAGGTGAGCTAGCTAGCTAGCTAGCTATCCTTTTCTAATTGAAGTATTTTCATATTTCCCCTCTCCCTCTTTCCCCTAGTTGGCAATTGATGCTCTGTATAGAGGACGGCTTGGTCATAGCAATTATACGGAATGGCAAACACAGCATTTGATTGAAACGTTACTCCATTACAATGCTAATCCGGAGGCGATGCAAGTGGTGCAAATGCCACCGGGATTTGTTTCCTCTGAACTTAAACTAAAAGTGCTCTTGGCTAATAACAACATACCGGAAGCATTTCACCATGCACGCATCTACATGGACGGCGAGGGTCGTCCGTTGCTGGAGCGTTTCTTCCGCCATTGCATCCTGGAAGGTAAATTTAGTGTCCTGGCTACCTTATGTCTGCGCGACAACGAAGAGCAGCTCATCTATCGACAGTTGCGACAATGCAAAACCCGCACCACAGACAGCATACAATTGATTCTGTTGCTTAAGCGCTGCAAGTATATCGAAGCGGTGTCCTTTATGGACGAGGTGGCCGCGGAGCGGGATCATAGCGCAAATGATGAGACAAGTGGCATCCTGTCCGCCTATCGGACGACCATGGCGCCCGTCACTCAATCAATAGCAGGCACATATTTTCGCATACGCGACAAATTAAATGGGGATCAGTTGAGAAATGCCTCGCCGGAGCCTTTTAGCTGTCAGCTGGCTAAACAGAGTGCCAACGGTCAGCTCGGCAACATCTTTCAAAGCTCCGCTCTGAGCGCCCACTGGGCAACGCGCTATGCAAACGAGCAGCAGACCATAAGATTGGACAGTCGTAATATGCCTTTTCTGCGCAATGCCGCGCAATCAGCTTTGGAGGTGCCACAGCTGCGCCGCCATGTGCGTCCCACTCAATTTCAATGTGCAGAGAAGCGTCTATATCCGTCCTGCAGTCGTGATACAATCACTCAACGACCTAAGCGTCGTCGCCTGCTGACCGAAGATGCAGCAATTTGCAACTTTAGCGATTCTCAGCAGGATGTGCAAGAACTGGAACAGGAGCAGCAGCAGCAAGAAACGCCTGTGAATCTGCACGAATTACGCTTTGTAAATGATTTGCTAAACCCGCCCGGTTATCTTCTGTCCAATCCAGGCGTAGAACCGGCAACAGTCACTAGTCAGGAGCAGCGTCCTACCATACTAAAGCGATGCTTGACTCGTCGCCAGTCGTTGCAGCGTCCTAGTTTTAGCTTCATGCCACCCATACCGCTGGATCCCTCAATGCAGGATGTGGAGATGGTGGATATGAACGAGGCGGAGCAGATGGGCTTGGAGTTGGATGGAGATGAGATATTTGTGGAAATTGAGCAGCAGCCGGCAAGTCCCAGACCCGAGGCGGAGCAGGAACAGCAGCCCCATAACTCTTCGGACGCAGATTCCGAGTACATGTCGCCACTGGCATCAGCGAATGCTTCATTTGTTTCATTCATCGAGACCAAACAGGAGCAGCAGCAACAAGAAGAACAACAGCCACCGCAACGTCCATTGATAATGGCACCACCAGCCGGTCCGCAGCCTCGCAGCTCACTTAGCAGCGGCTTTGGCAGCTTTGCTACTCTGCGAATGGGCAGTACAGTCGGATCATTTTTGCCACCTGTTTGCTCCTCGAAGATGTTCGAGAGCACATCGAGAGTAATTAGCAGCATCAGTAGCAGCCACCAGGTGAAGATCTCTGAACGAACAACCATTTGCGGGGACATGGATGAGCCGAGTAGTTCGACAACAGCTTGGTCCATGCCATCGACATTGGGTCAGCCTACCCAAAATGCGGCAGCTACACAGCCACAAATGCTGGACACGACGCTCGGCATGTCCAGCTATGATATGACAGCACTGGAGCACATACCTGAGCAGGCGACAGAGACAATCTCACAGACAGGCGTTGGGGCAGAATCAACTCAACCGTCAGCAAGTCCTTTGGCATACATAGATCTGGATGAAGTCGAAGCCGAAGATGTGGGAGCGGAGGAGGAGGAGGATTTGGAGGTGGGCCTTGAGGAGTTAGGGGAATCGCAACCACATGAATCAAAAGTAGCCGATCAGGAAGATGTTGCTAATGTAGAGACGGAGCAGGAGCATTGCTCATCCTCCAGCAACGAACAAGCGGCAACGTCACTCACCTACAATCGTGGCTCGCCCAGCTATAGTGTAAGCAGCGAACTCTCCGATTTATCTTCGCCACGTACAGACGCTCCAGTGTATTCAATTGTAGTGGAGTCTACCAATTCCATTAGTGACTCACGTTCACCCACCTCTCATACGCCCAACTCCTTTCTGCCCAGCGATACGAATGTCTCTCAGAATTCGAGTCCACGTGCTGCTCATGGTGTGGCCGGCGAAGGCGGCTCCAATCGTTCGCTTTATCGTGCAAATAGCTTAGAAACGGTGGATGATCTAGACACCACAAAAGGCTCGTTGGAGGAGGACGACGATGTGGATGAGGAGGATGAGTGTGTCATAGCACTCGATGGCACCGAAGTGCGCGGCTATGTGGCACGCCCCGAACCCTTGGCTGCTTGCAGCAGCGCCGAACTCTTTGCCTTCAAGCAGCAGGATGAAACGGAGCTGCAGGCCAACAAAGCGCCATGCTCCTCATTGGTTAACAGTGATTCAGTTATGGCCTATACCATCAATTTGGACAGCGTAGACAGCGTAGAACTGCAGCCGGCAACGGTAGAAGTTGCCTCCATTGCCGGCTCCAGCAGCGAATCCGTAGCTACAGTCGCCTACAGTGAGCACAAGGCGCAGCAGGAGATGGAGCTGCAAATAAAAGAGAAAACTGCAGTGACACCTAAAACGGAAGAACCCGCTCAAAGCCCTACAATTTCAACTGTTTCAGTTGCCATCAATCTGGACTCTGATGTGGACTCCAATCCCAGTTTGTTGTTGCTTTCCGATAAAGAGGAAATGGATGTGGACATGGAAGAGGATTGCAAGATAAATGTTGATACTGTGGCTGAGAAGCAGGATCCAATGGAGGAGCCAATGACTTTAGATTTCGATAAGGAAATCGCGGCAGAAGAGGAGAAGGGGCGGTTGGACGTCTCGCTGCCCACTCAAGTTGAGGTCCCCAAACAGGTAACTGTGCGTGGGAAACGCTCAAGCTTAAGTAGAACACCGCCCGTGCCGGAGCGCAGCATACGGCTTCGCAGCGATGATAATCCCAGAAGTCTATCGTCCAACCGAAGTACTCCATCCCCCTCTCTTACTGGACCTCAGCTGCGTTTGCGCAGCACCAGTAGCTACGGAGCTCTTGCTGACGACCAAGCCACCGATGCAGAAAGTTCACGTGGTGCCACCGACAGTCCTGTCCAGTCGAAAAATAATTCGATATCCAAACGTCGCGTTCTGCGTGGCAGTTCATTGCCACCTATATCAACTGTGCCAGTGTCCACACCCAAGCGTCGCCGAAAGCAGTTGGCCCATCCATTGGAGGTAATAGAGGAGACCGGCGAAGGCTCGTCGTCCACACCGCGCACACGTTCGCGCGCACAGCTCGAACTGTTGGCGGCTACCAATCAGAGTAAAGCAGTATCTGAACAGAATGAGGATAGCGGAACGCCGCAACGCAAGCTGCGCAGCAATAGTGAGCCGCCTATTCTAATGACCGTTCTGACTCCAACCAGAGATAGACGTCGCCGTAAACCTAGCGGAACCGACCAAGACCAACCGACACAGGATGTTACACCAAGGCAACTACGCAGTCGCCGCAATACATCCGAGTTAGACGCTGAACAAGCTGCGGCACCTTCGCCCCAGGGTAAGTGCTAGGCTTGCATTTACCTGCGCCTTAACTAAAAACTCATATTTTATCTACAGTTAGTGACGCCAGTGTGCCGCTTAAAAAACGTGGGCGTACCAAGAAGTAGTCACTCACACACAAACATTGTTTTCTTTAGTTGATACAAAAATTGCTTTTGCATGATATATTTTTTAATTTTCTTTGGTTTGTTTATGGAGTTTAAATTGCCAGGGGTCGGCAAAATCGTTAAAATGTAAAAAAAAGAAAACGAAAATGCAAGTGCAAAACAAAAAAATAAAAAGAAAAGAAAAATGTAAGTGCAAAACAAAATTTTAAAATAGGTGAATAACTGTTAACTGTTTGGTGTTGCCCAATCGTCTGTAACAGAACAATATATCGATAGCATCGTTATGAAACTGTAACAATGTGAACGCAAAATTTATAAATCTTTTAAATATGTATTATTAAATTTGATTTTAGATATATACAATTATATACCGCAGTTTAAAATATCTATGTAATTGTTGAATGTACGAATGAATTAAAAAAAAACCCCAAAATGTTTTCGGTGCTTAAAATGCAAATAACTGTTGGGGTGGTGCTATAGCAGCTAGCTATTTGACAGGCTAGCTTTATAATCGATAGTTGCGCATATGGGAAAAAAGGTAGTCGCTAGAGCGCAGTATTTAAATATATTAAATATGTATTTGTAATTCATTATAGCTATATACAAATATATACAACAGTTTAAAACATAAACGGCAACAGGGCGGCAAGTGGGACATCATTAAAGCTAAACACTTTACGGTGGATGTCGTCTACAACTACATACATACGTGCATATGTATATATATATTTCAACTTAACGGCTAACGGCTTATTTCTTAATTGTATTTTGTGAAGTGGGCACTGGGTTTAGACCAGCGTGGACAGCTCATGCAGCGAAATGGTAATGTTGCTCATGTCCAGCGTTGGCGGTATACCTGGACTAACCGATCCGCTAGCCTCGCGCCCCATCAGGCAGCTGCCATTGGCTGCAATGGAAATGGGCTTGGGCGTTGGCGGCGTCGCTGTCGCCGGTCGCACGAGAAACGGTGAGTTGATAATGCCCCCAGCATTATTATTATTGCTATTGGTACAGAGCAGCGGATTGAAGCTGCCGTGCGAGTGATTCGGTGAGACGGGCGTCACTGAAGTAGGATGATGCATCATAGAATGATTCTGTTGACCATAGAGTGGCAACACAGGTGGTGGACACACGCTGTTGTTGAACAGCTGAACTGGTGGCAAGTGCAGCGACATATTCAGTGGTGGAGTGCGATAGCTGATCGTCTTCTCCTTTTGCCACACGAAAACGTTGTGCACCATCGCACCGCCACAGAAAACAATGCCAACGCCAATCAGAATGCTGGTGATGATCGCTGGCGTTGAATGGAAGTGGTTGAAGGTGTACAATATGATGCCGGTGAGAAAGACTGGTATGGAGATGAAGAAGCCACTCACAGCGCACGTTCTGCTAGCACTCGACTTTTCCAAGTACTTGTTGTCGCGGCCATCAAACATGGGCGAGCGCAACAGCTTGACGGCAAATAGAAATTGTATGGCGCAGACGAGCAGACAGCAGAGATTCAATGAGAGGGACAGAGCGCATAGTGCCAGTGTCACATCGTATACGATTATAAAATCGTCGCTGCTGATGCTGCGCGTCAGCGCATCTTCGCGGCTGTTCGGCGAGATCTTTAGCAGAAAGATCAGCGAGAGCAGCGCCAGCAGCAGCGAAACTGTAAAGAGAAGAATGGGAAGTTTAAATGCTGGAATGACACCTGTTAAATACTAATCGTAAGCTGCCAGCACTGCATATAAATAGAAAGTGTGAATTAGAGGGGGCTTACGCTGACCGATCGCATCACTAAAAACTGTAAGCTGGCAACGCTGGTGCCACATTGTATTGTTTATGCTGAAATGGCACCAGCTAAAAAATGCTGGGATGACACTGACTAACCAAGGTTAGGTTGACGTTAGCGAAAGCTGTAAGCTGGCAGTGCTGCCGTATCGTCGATATATTTTGAGTAAAAGCGAAAGGATTTTTGGAAATGGGTTCAATGCTGCCAATGCAAATTGAAAAGTGCTGCCACTCACCTAAGCAAAGCAAACCTAAACTTGTCAGCACTTCGCGTGGTCCTGGACCATGTTTGGTCGGCTTTACAGTCGTCTGCAGCACGGAATTTGGGTTGATACCCAAACTGTTGCAGTGGCTATAATTATGCATATTGTTGTTAATGTTGTTGATATTGTTGTTGTTGCTATTGTTGTTTAGGGGATGCTGGGGCAGGTGTAGTGTTGGCTGCTGCTGCTGATGTGTGCTGCTGCTGCTGCTGGCCAACATATGCTGATTCGTGTAGGTGTGATGATGCAGACTGTTGCCATTGCAATTGCCATTGGGCGTGAGCGGTGTCAGCGGCTTCATTGGCGCCTGCGTGGCAATATTGAGCAGGGTCGATGCGTTGGCCACGCTTCGCACACCGCCGTTCAGCATAGAATTGGATGCATTCAACGCGGATATGTTTAGCGGCTGCGGCGGTCGCAGGTGTATGTTGCGTGCCGTGCTAGCAACAGCAGCTGCCACCGGTGTCGGTGAAGCGCCAGCCGTTGCTGCCGTTGCCGCTGCTGCGCCGTTTGGCACGGGGCTAGTTGCAATTGTGTTGGTGGTGGTTGCTGCTGCCGCTGCCACCGCCACTGGGGGTGGATTGCTGCTGCTGTTGTTGTTGCCATTGCAATTGCTGTTGTTGGCGTTGTTGGTATTGCCGTTGCCGTTGCCGTTGCCGTTGCTGTTGTTGGCAGTGCGCAGCAGCTGTCCGCTGACAGGCGCAGCGGCTGTGGCGCTGCTCGCATTCGAGGCGTGCTTCAGCATTTCCTGTGCAGCTAGTTGTGAGCCTTCTCTGTCTCCGCTTTGCTCCTGCTTCTTCTGCCTCCGCTTCGACTATGACCCTGTGGCACCTGCTGCTGCTGCTGCTGCTGGCTGGCTAAGTCTGCTCCGCAACGCAATGTTCCATGGATGGTTCACATAATGAATGCCTTGTGCCGGGAAGTCTATGCAACTGAAATTATAGTTTTATTAGAAAAATAATAAATGACAATGACAATGATAATGATAATGAGAAAAACAATAGCGAGTCATAGTAAAGACTTTATAAATAATTATAGTTTTAATGATCAGTAGGATATTAATAATAATGATAATACCAATGCCAAAGCCAATATGAATGAATAATGATGACCATAGTAACAATAGTATATCTGTAATAATCATAATGCTAATGATAATGATATTAGTAATAATGATGATAATGCCATAGTGATGACAATGCTAATGACGATAAAAATCATCAAATGCTGATAAGAGTGATATATGATGCTAATGATAATTTTAATAATAATGCTAATTTTGATGATTTTTCTCATTTGACGCTCTGGCCTGATCCCTATTTTACTGCGATCATGAAAAGGACGAAGCCAGAGGAAACTTTCATCTGCTGCGACAGGTGATAGTACGAAAATAGCGATCTGGCAGCAAGTGCCGTTAAGCTGGAGTAATGTGGAACAGGAACGATGCTTGGCAAGGAGTCTGTGTAGGGAAAAGGCAACGCCGAACACACTAATGATAATTGTGGCATGAAAATGGAACTGAAATTAGGGAGAAGGATTGCAAATGGTAGTACCCACAGGAGTAACTTCAATAAGTGTTATAGTCTCATCCCAACAAAGAAATAAGCCTATTTGTAGATTTTAAAATGTGAGTTCTCATGGAGAACTTTGAATGGCGATCTTTGAAGTTTGGAATATAATAAAACGCGCTAAACAGAAGAAACTTTCCTTTCATTTCTCTCTCTCTCTCTCGCTCTCTTTCAAGCCATGTCAAGTACAAGCCTTTTCCAATACTCTTTGCAACTGGCCAAGATCTCTCGAACCTCGAGTCTCGATGCTGGCCCCCATAAATTTTAGGATCGTCATTTAGTCGGCTCAGTTGTGTAGCCCCCTTCCTGTCTGCTCTCTTCTGTTCTGTTTCGTTCCGTTCCATTCTCTTGTCTGCTCTTCAGTTTTCCCCACTCATTTGACGCTGCACCGTTTTAATGGCTTTCTTCAGCACTGTTTATCATGCCACGGCCAAGCTGAGCTGCTCAGAAACTTGGATACATCCCGCGAGTCAGATACTTGGATACAGATACAAAATGCAGAAGCATTCGCACGCTCAGTTTGAGCCAGAGAAGCGAGAATTAAGTGGCTAGAGACACGTAGAGTCGAGTTCCTCGGCCGATCCATTTACATACGGTATATTTTCCATCTTGGTGATAAAGCAAAAGGCGGAAAAGATCACGTAACTTCTGACAGCTCCAAAATTTCTTGAGCAAAATCCTTGGCAAATTTAAGTAGAAACCCCAATTCGATTTAATCAAGCGCAGTTTTTTAGCTAACTCTCTTGTAATGCCCTCGCAGTGAGCATATTCGTTAGCTTAGCCGATGGAGAGCTTTTCATAATGATATGGAGAAAGAGTAAGAGAGGGTCGAAGTGGGGAACTTAGAGTAATTGTTAGGATATCGAATATTGCATCATATATCTATGACTCATGAATCAGCTCAGTTATATAAGCAAAGATCTATTGGAATCTATTGGATTAGATAGTGTGAGTGGAGACCATCTAATGACATCTTTGAATATCGTATTTCAAACGAGCCTAACAAAATTCGTAATTCTATTCTATTCTTCTAAGCTAAAGTTTATATCGTATGTCGAATATCGTATATATATTTTGTATATACCAGTTAGAGTACTTAAGCTTCGATAATTCGAATCGAGAATCGAAGCTCAAAACTCATATTAATACCCATTTTAACGACATCGACGAAATTTGACGAATAGTTTACTCAAATAGCTTATATACATTAGGTCGTATATTGAATATCGTATGTCTATCAGCTAAGACTGAACGACTGAGCAAAACGACAATTAAGATTCGAATCCCAATATGGCTTGCACGTCTTATAAACCTAGTTTCCATATATGTACGCTCTGTAGTTAATATCGTATATCTGTATCAGCTAGAGTATTTAAGCTTCGACCAAGTACATTCGCCTGTATTTTCTTTAGTTTTTTTCACTGATTTCGCAGATGGTTTGGGGCGAAATTTTGATTACCTTGCAATTTGGCACATGCACAAAACACCGAAAAAAACAACAAATAAAAAAAATACATATGTGAGTGTGGCTGTGTATATGTGTGCATATATGTATGGTAAACACTGTAATGCATTTTGGCGAGTTGTTAAACAAGTTTACCTTTTATTTATGTTTTCTTTTTATGTTTTTTTTTTGGCGTTCTTTGATTTTGTTTCTTTAATTTCCGTTGCGCGGCTGTGACATTTGCATAGCCATGACTAAATAATATTTTGAGTAGCCCGAAATTAATTGAAAAATTGGCTGGCTGGTTGGCTGGCTATGTGTGTGTCGATGAACGGGACGGGTCTAGGCCTGGCTGTGCCCCAGCAGCGGCATTTTTGAGAGAGCGGGAGAGCGTGGAGCGAAAACGCGACGCGGCGAGCTTGAGGCACGAGCAGCAACTGGACGAGCACGAGCAAAACAAAACGGAGTCAAGCGAAGAGACAGGCTGCCAAACATACATGTAACTGTATGTGTGCGTGTGTGTGCAAGCTACGGTTGTGTCTGTGTGTATGTGTGTGAGTGAATAGAGCGGGCGACAAGTGAACGATGAGCGATCAAGTGACAACCAACGACTATTCCCGAACACGAAGCCGAAACACAGTCGGCATCAGCCGTTGGTTCTAGCCGCAGGGGCTGCTGCCGTTGCTGCTGCTGTTGCTATTGCTGCTTCCACTATTCGCATAACCAGTTAACAAGGCAACACAGATACAAACATATTCGGCTGCATCTGTGTGCGTAGGGAAGAGATAGAGCGAGCGAGCGAGCTGGACACAAGGCTGACGCTAAAATAACAAACAAAGCCGCGGCATAGTGGTAAAAATATATTGGCATTGCTAACATCTAAATTTGTCAACGGTTTTTACTTGAAGCTGTTTATTTATATATTTAAAAAAAAAACATTATTTATTTAAAATAAAAATAAATAAATTCTTTAGTGATTTCACTTCAGAGCTCACAATTAGAGCTCAATTGTTATAAATTAAAATTTGTTATTAACCACTGTTGGTTTTGGATCGTGGTCAATATGCATAAATTTGAATCCACTGTGCAGCAAGCAATAACCTGAACCTGATCGGCGCTCTGTCTATGTTGCACATCTGCATTTGTATCTGTGTGTGTGCGTGTATAGGGTATAGGTAAATCGAGCGCGTATTGGTGTGCCACCAACAACAAGAAAAGCAGCAGCAACAGCTTCAACTTGCTAAGCCGCATTCCTCGAGCTCCGGCTGGATCTGGATGGGGCACAGGGCGTGCGCACTTTTGCATTGGCTAGGGAGCTTGGCGTCTGGTTGTTGCCCGTACCAAACAACATTCTGTGTCTACTTCAACGTGCATACCAAACATTCATAGCAGATGTACATAAATTCATACGTGCGTATATATATATATATATATATATATATATATATATATATATATACTTATGAAAGTCGAACAACTGAAACATTTTCTTTTTCTTTCTATTTAATTTCTATTCCATAAATATGATAATAAATATTAAATGTTTTTACAATATATAAATAAAAACAATTACTAGCTAATAATAACGTAAAAATTTTTTGCTCTTATTTTATAATTGTAACGCCTTTTTAACAGTCAGTCAGGTCGGCAGTTAGTGTTGCCAGACATTTGGACATATATGGTGTGTCTGGCATATGGCCACACTTTGCTGTATAATTGAAGTGCAAGACTTGTTTGTTGAACAGCACTGTTGTCTATCGGCCGACCGCCATTATTTGCTGTGTCGGTCGCAGTCTATCGCCTTACCTCACGCATTGTAATATTATTGACGAAGACCATTGTCATTCCGTTGATAACTTCGAAGACGTATTTTATATTGGATTATAGCGAAATTATTTACACTGCCAAAACAGACATGACTGAGCCGAGCAAGCTATCTGTTGCCGTCGTCTGTTCATCGAACATGAATCGCTCCATGGAGGCGCACAATTTCCTCGCCAAAAAGGGCTTCAACGTGCGCTCCTACGGCACCGGCGAACGGGTTAAGCTGCCCGGCCTAGCATTTGATAAGCCCAATGTTTACGAATTTGGCACCAGCTACGAGGAAATATATCGTGATCTGGAGGCCAAGGACAAAGAATTGTATGTTGGTTGAATCTATGAATCATTAATCATCAATTTTCAACTAGAGTTTCTTTTCAGTTACACACAGAATGGTCTACTGCATATGCTCGACCGAAATCGTCGCATTAAAAAGTGCCCAGAACGTTTTCAGGAAACCAAAGAACAATTTGATATTATAATTACGGTAGAGGAACGTGTTTATGATTTGGTTGTGATGCACATGGAATCGATGGACTCCGTTGATAATCGTCCCGTCCATGTGCTTAATGTGGATGTCGTTGACAATGCGGAGGATGCGCTGATGGGCGCCTTTTTAATAACGGACATGCTTAACTTGGTAATTTGGATTGCGTGTTTTATTTATTTTCTATTATTTACATTTTGAGTGTTGGTTAATTACTAAATTTGCAGATGGCGAAATCAAATGATATCGATAATGATATCGATGAAATGATTCAGGAATTTGAGGAGCGAAGAAGTCGTGTGATTCTCCACTCTGTGCTTTTTTACTGACAGCCGAAGACGTTTGGTAACGGTACTTGACCAAACAATCACCTGCGCTCCACACTCGATCTATGCAATCGATTGCGCTTATCGATACGTTAAGATTTGTAAATATGATGAGCGGATCGATTATAAATGTCCACAATGCAAGTCTACCAATAGGACGAACAACTTACTCACAAAAAGAAGGTCGAATTTCAAAAAAAACTAAAAAAGAAAAGAACAAAAACCAAAAAAAAAAGCAAAAATAATAATACAATAAAATTGTAATACGTGTTTACTGCATGTGCTATGCATACATTCATAATACACACATATATATAGAAGATAATGTATGTAGCACATATATATGTATGTATATATACATATATATATACATATATATATACATATACATATACATATATATATATTCGATGCGGTTTTGACTGTTGTCCCACACAAATCGTGCATAGCTGATTGTTTGTAACTTTTTATATGATGTTCTCAACGTTTATTCGTAGTTTGATTGTAAATATAAATCAAAGAACTATTTTGATTATTGGCATTTAAAAACAAATAGACAAACACCAATATACAGTGGAAACTCTCTTGAACGAAAGCTGCTAGCAAGATGTCTTCCTCAAAGTTCTTTTATTTTGCATACAAAATTATTGAGAGTTTTTGATTGAGGCAAAATGTTAGAAGGTAAAAGGTAGTGGTATATCAACAGAGTGTTCACTGTATATGCTTTAGTATGTATGCATTTATGTGTACATATATATCTGTAACTATTTCTATGATAAATTTGTTAGGTGTTTTATTTTATGATTATATTCACCTGTCGATTGATTTGGGCTACCTGTTGAGACAACTGATAAGCTGTTAAACATATTCACACACACTTCTATATACGTGAATCATTTGAAAGACCTTTAAAAATCCTCTGTTGGTGGTAATCTATATACAAGTATATTATTTAGAGATGTCAGTCCAAGCTGAATGACTTTCATCTAGAAGCTATGCTATTCAGACATTTTTTGATAAGCCGCAAATGTGGAAAAGTGCGTGGAATGATAATAACTAAAAATGAATAAAGTTCTAAGCGGTTTGGACTTAAAACTAACTATTTTTGCTAACAAGAAAAATTGTTTGTAGAGTTATAAATATATGACTGAAAGCAAACTAAAAAAAATTAACTGTAAATCATTAAAAAATATATGCGCATTTAAAAAATATTGTTTGGTTTTAATAATTCAAATTTAAAATGTTTGTCACTTTAAAAATGTTTAATTAAGTAGTTTTATTTATTTTTTTTTTAATTTGGAAAATATTCTGTTAAATTTGTATTTATTTTTTAAATATATAAAGTAATTATATTTTATTTATTGTTTTGCTAATATAAAAAACAATTATTTTGTAGTTTTTGTCTGTGTGTTTAAATGAGCTTTGGCACAATATATAAATAACAATTGAGGAAATGCTTATTGTAAAAGCATATATTAACATTTACATTGATTTTGGCTTTATGTAAATATAGTTGAAAACATGACATTGCGAAATGAGCGTATTTTACAAATTTTTGAACGCATTTCATGTTGTTGTTGTTGTCCAACACTGGTTACGCTTTTCGTTACGAGCAAGAGTTGTATGCGTGTGCGTGTGCACGCGTTTGTGTGCCTGTGCACAACAGAGAGCCGGCACATTGGCCGCATTCATGAAAATATCACAAGTTCGCTCTCGCTCTCACTCTCTATCTCTTTGTTTTTGTTATTTTACATATTATATATTATATATAGTGTGCGCTTGTTGTTGCTGCTTTTGCTGTTACTGGTTGTTGGCGCTGCTTTATGTTCGCTTTGCACATTTGCTTTGGCGCATTCGCGCAGCGATCGTCTTAAGCTACATATCGTTTGAGGGCTCATAAAAAGCGAAAGACACAAAAAACTAAACCTTCTTGCCAAATTAAAAAGACTGCGCACCAAAGTTAACAAAATAAATGAAATAAATAACGAACGAAACGAGAAAAAAAAAGATTAATAAAACTTCGTTCACGTTGCGCTTGCGTGCAAGTGCAGCCGTGTGTGTGTCCGTTTATTTTCGTGTGTTGCCAACCGCAGCGAAAATCAGTTTTTTCTGCACTTGACCTTTATTCATATTATTGGTCAAAAGCTTGATTAATTGCCACACAAAAAACTTAATAAAGTTTGCTTAAAAACTCTAAACAAAAATTACTGTCAATATAAAATAAGTAAACAAACAACAGTTAGCACATAACTAAAATAAGCATGGGTAAGTTTTATTTACGATTTACGCTTACGATATACGACTCCTCAATGAATGCAAACAGCTAGTGATGGCACGAGGGGTGTTCGGGTTGGTGATGGTGATGGTCATGGTGTTGGAGAAACGCAACAGGTGGCGCACAATGTGCGCTATAGTGCTGGGTACCAAGTCAGCGAGTGAGAGATAGCGACGGTTAGGGAGAGTCAGAGAGTGGGCGACGAAGAGCGCGCGCAAAAGAATGCCCTTCAAATTGTGTTCTTTAGGTAAAAGGGTCACCTACAAAGCTTTGCCGTCGGCTTATCGGCAATTCCAATCAGTTTTACCTCATTCTCCAATTATCTGCTGTTGTTATTTGAATTCACTTCAAAGATTAATGCGCTAATGTTAACCTTTCAAGTTACAGTTACAGGCAGAGAGAGCCACTACGAGAGCGTGCATTGGCATTGAGAATTAGCCAATGTTAATGACATTGAAAATGTACACGTAAATAATTACACATGTATAAATGGCTTACATACCTCACGACATGTCTCTGTATATGAGTGCGTGCATAAAAAGCCTTTCAAAATGTATTTCAATGCCTTGTCAAAAGCAATGCTAAGCGCGATGCTGAGTCATCTTGTAGGCGTTAAAAAAAACATTGAATGCAAGAAAAAAAACACAAAAATGTGACAAGTAAAGGCAGTTAAGAGAAAAGCCAAAGAAATACAATAAGAAAACAAGTTGTTTTTTGTACATTGCGTGATTTACTGTTGTTGCATTTCTGTTTGCCCTATCAGCATTGCAACTACGGTGAACGCACGCTAAGCTGGACGCTCGAAACGAAATTACAATTGTATTATACATAGACATGTATACGTTTGTATATAGATTCATATATATTTCAAAGGTGTAGCTAGATTTGAATAATACAACTCTAAGCTAGCTCTCTCTCTCTCTCTCTCTCTCTAGATGTCTCTACAGCTATATTTATATGAACCACATGACATTTTGAAAGCACATTTCTTCAGTAAGTCATATCTAAATATAGCTAAAGCATATCTTAATATATATATATATGTATATATATTTATCTGGCTTATATAGTTAGATATGACCTACTAAAGAAACGTGCTTGAAACAGAATCCAAAAAGAAGTTACAAATGGATTACATAAATATAGATATCATTTGTAAGTCTTTTATCTTATATATATATCTACATATATATATATATATATATATATATATATGCATCTTCTATGTTATTCGATGCCATAAGAAATTGAATAGCCAACCAAATGCACTGTGAACGGACTGTGCGACCAATTGATTTCCGTCTCTGACTTTCAGCTGTTATTGCACACACACACACACACACACATACATACATACATATATAGTATGCATAATGTATATATCTCCTCTGCACTTATCTGTCAGACAGGTATGAGCTGGGGGCTAAGATATAGTCAACGTTTGAAAGTCAAGCTAAGAGCATTTGCCAATTTTTATTACGTTTCTGGTCAGCGGATCGATCGGGCGATCGCTGGATCTTTGGCTCACAACTATATATAATTAGCGCCTGAATCCTTGTATTTACTTATGTAAATGCTCTATCCAAATATATTCCATATATATTCTTGACTTTTTCGTTTAGCGTGCGAGTGCTCAAAGCCTTCGGGCACCTTGGATCACATCATCAACACCCTCAAGTGCTCGACCATGATATGCGAGGGCACACACTTCGATGGGCAGATACCACACACCTTTGTGGTCTTTGGTGCATCGGTAAGCTGCTGGCCGACCAGTTAGCATGAGAACTTGACACCAATTCCAATTGCAGGGCGATCTGGCTAAGAAGAAGATATACCCGACATTATGGTGGCTATATCGCGACGATCTGCTGCCAAAGCCAACGAAAATTTGCGGCTATGCGCGCTCCAAGATGACTGTGGCCGAACTGAAGGCACTCTGCGAAGCCTACATGAAGGTAAGCTCGAAAAGCCCCAAGCTCCAGTTCATGACTGCCAGATACCCTGGATTCTGTCCAATTCTAAGCTAGAGAGAGACGTGCTCACTCGCTCTATCACTTCTATGCGATTCTCAAAGCTTCAAGTTTACTGCACCCTTCTACGCAATTCTCAAGCTGATTTAACCATATTCTATGTCATTGACAGGTGCAACCGAGCGAGGAAACGAAATATCAGAAATTCTGGAGCTTGAATAATTATATTTCTGGGCCTTACGATGAAGCATCTGGCTACCAGGCGCTCAACCAGCACATGGAGAAAATTGAGAATAGACTCAATGCGAATCGACTCTTCTATTTGGCATTGCCGCCCACAGTCTACAATCAGGTGACGTTCAACATCAAGCACCATTGCATGTCCAAGTGGTGAGTGAATCGAATATGGTTAAGGCTTGAGTGGATCCTTAATAATGCTGCGTTGATCCTTAATTAGCGGCTGGAATCGTGTGATCGTTGAGAAGCCTTTCGGACGGGACGATGTTACCTCGAAGGCGCTGAGCGATCATCTGGCCGGTCTGTTCGAGGAGGAGCAACTGTACCGCATCGATCACTATTTGGGCAAGGAGATGGTACAGAACCTGATGACCATACGGTTCGGCAACAAGATATTGAGCTCGACATGGAATCGGGAAAATATCGCCTCCGTCTTGATCACGTTTAAGGAGCCGTTCGGCACCCAGGGCCGTGGGGGCTACTTCGATGAATTTGGCATCATACGCGACGTGATGCAGAATCACTTGCTGCAGATACTGTCGCTGGTGGCCATGGAGAAGCCATGCAGCTGCCATCCGGATGATATACGTGACGAGAAGGTCAAGGTGCTGAAGTGCATCAAGCCCTTGGAGCTGAGCGACATGGTATTGGGCCAGTACGTGGGCAATCCCGCAGCGAAGACGGCCGAGGAGCAGTCTGGCTATTTGGACGATCCCACGGTTAGTAAAACATCGACCACGCCCACCTATGCCATGGCCGTCATTCAGATCAACAACGAGCGCTGGCAGGGCGTTCCGTTCATACTGCGCTGCGGCAAGGCCTTGAACGAGCGCAAGGCCGAGGTGCGCATCCAGTACCAAGATGTGCCCGGCGACATCTTCGAGGGCAATTCGAAGCGCAACGAGCTGGTCATACGCGTGCAGCCGGGCGAGGCGCTCTACTTCAAGATGATGACCAAGAGTCCGGGCATTACGTTCGACATTGAGGAGACCGAATTGGATCTAACCTACGAGCATCGCTATAGGCATTTCGTGCTGCCGGACGCCTACGAGCGTCTCATACTGGATGTCTTCTGTGGCTCCCAAATGCATTTCGTGCGCTCCGACGAGCTGCGCGAGGCGTGGCGCATCTTCACGCCCATCCTGCACAAGATCGAGCACGAGCGGATCCCACCGATACCCTATCCGTACGGCTCCCGCGGACCCGCCGAGGCGGATCGCAAGTGCGTCGAGAGCAACTTTATCTATTCTGGATCCTACAAATGGCATGGCAATAAGACCGATGCGTCGCATCTTTAATCCCGGACTCCATGGACTCTTTGGTGTTTATGTTTTATCATTAACCAATCCTTTATGAATGCACTATATATAGGTTTCTTCTATTACTGTACTTTCGGTTAACTCTATTATGGTTTTTTTTTTTTACTTACAATTACAATTCTTTTGTATTAAATTTATCATATGATATGATATATGTGTGTATATATAAATCATATATATATTTAAATTTGAGTTCACTTGTGTTCATTTGATAGGTAAAAGCACTTAACAAGGTATTATAGATGGGGTTCTTCATCGAGCTGCTTTCGGAGTATCCCCGACTCTTTACGCTCGAAGTTGTTAAGTCTTCTTCTTGCCCTATGTAACTAGTCTAGGCATAATTGGGAAGACCAGCTGAATGAGAACTTCTGGCAACAGCAGCCCCAAGTGGAGCACAAGGCTCCATGCTTCAGCTACAACGTGACCATACAAAAGACCAGCGATCTGCATGGAGTCATGTGAGTCAGCTTTTTAATTGCCTTCGCTTTGATCGATAACAATCGAGTCATACATGTTTTGACTGATCGATATTATTATCGATTACTCGATTAATCGAGTTACACATGCATATCGAGCCATCACAAATTGTATCTATCGACTTATCGATTTCTCGACTTATCGATCTGCTTATTGCATGAATACGAACCACTCCTTCAAATGCAATGCACTGGGACTTCAATTGACATTTCTTCTTCTTCCCTTTTTCCTTGTTGCAGAGCTGCCAGAGTGGAAATCGAATCGAATCGAGCCGTAGTCCGCAATCTAAGCCTGCACAGCGATAGCTTTTCGATAATCGTGCTCAGTCAGAATTCGTTGGGCAGCTCGTTGCAGAGCAGTCGGCTACGAATACCTCGATGCTTCACTATATATACATATAGCATCGGACTGGTTTATGGAATAGCTTATTTTGAAATCGGGCTGATTTGAATTTGATCAAATTTCGGTTTTCGGAGTCGACTTTTAGGTGCAATAGAAAAAATATAAATAAAATAATTATATACAGATTTATATTTATATATATTATATCGTAAGTATATCGCATATATGTAAAATTTTGCTATATACAAATGGATTGGTGCTCTCGCTAGTTGTGTACGCGTCTGCCTTTGTCTTTATCTCTCTGCTTAACTGACTTAAAAGAATGTGTCATATATACATATGCTATATCCGGATGCGTTATGGTAGGCTCACGTAGCCTGTGACTTGGGTTGGCCGAATGGATTGCATGCAAATGTAGCCCGAGGGATTGTCCAGGGATGCGGCGAGATCAGCAGCTGGCGGAGCTGATGGAAATAGTGGACTTAGCGTGCTGACATAGTCTGACATTGGCTGAGCAGCTTTCAGTGTGTCCGGAGGTCGAAAGCATTCAAAGCGCACCGCAGCATACTCGACGCTAGAATCGAAGTTCGTCTGCTCCTCCTGCAGCTCCTCCAACTGCTGCTGCGGCTGCGGCTGCTGCTGCTGCCGCTGATGCTGATCTACGACTAGAAGTGGAAGCTCCTGCTCCACTATTGTTAGTGCCGGCACACTTTGCAGACCCACAGGCAGATCCACCTTGATGTCGGACATATAGCGATACTTCTGAACGAGGAAATAGATGAAGCCGCCGAGTATGATGAGCGCAACTAAGCCCTGCAGATTCTGCTTTGGATCCGATTTGACGACGGCCGTCGTGAATGGTCCATGGTACCAGGCCAGCCAGCGAATGCCGCCGCTGCCAATCGCATCGCGCGCATCATAATTGGCCGAGACGGCCCAGTTGAAGGCATCGATCAGCGTGCCAGCCGATGGCTCGTACTGGCATTGAGTGCAGCGCTCCACCTCAGCGGAGTCAAGGGCCACGCTCGCATTGCACTCGCTGCGATCCGTTGTGTTCCAGCTGCACCAGTAGACGGTGTAGCTGGTCAGCAGCTTCTGCTCCTCTGGCGGCTCCCAGGTGAGTTGCTTCCGGCTCTCCCCCGTGCCAATGGCCAAGTTCTTGGGCACTCGTCTCGCTTGCATCGACTCCTGCTGTCGCGGTATTCGTATCCGACTGCTCTGCAACGAGCTGCCCAACGAATTCTGACTGAGCACGATTATCGTAAAGCTATCGCTGTGCAGGCTTAGATTGCGGACTATGGCTCGATTCGATTCGATTTCCACTCTGGCAGCTCTGCAACAAGGAAAAAGGGAAGAAGAAGAAATGTCAATTGAAGTCCCAGTGCAAGGCATTTGAAGGAATGGTTCGTATTCATGCAATAAGCAGATCGATAAGTCGAGAAATCGATAAGTCGATAGATACAGTTTGTGATGTGATTGACTGATTGACTAACTGACTAACCGATAAAGTGAGTGCTTGAAGGTTTTAAAGATTGATTGACTTGATTGAATGATTGACTGATTGCTTGATTGACGGCTTGACTGGCTGATTGACTAAGTGATTGACTAAGTAACTGATCGATTGAAAGACTGATTGACTGGCTGACTTGATTGAATGCTTGACTGATTGCTTGATTGACGGTTTGACTGAATGATTGATTAAGTAACTGATCGATTGAAAGACTGATTGATTAACTGACTTCATTGAATGCTTGACTGATTGCTTGATTGACGGCTTGACTGACTGATTGACTAAGTAACTGATTGATTGAAAGACTGATTGTCTGACTGACTAAAATTGGACTGAATCCAATGTTGTTTGATGAACTTAGTGATTGACAGACTCACAGATGTGTGAAGATGTGGCAAGGCGAATAAATCAATTTCTGTCGAAGAAACTCGGTCAGTGTAGTAATAGATAAGCCTCGAGGTAAGTGAAGCGAAGGCAATTAAAAAGCTGACTCACATGATTTCATGCGGATATCTGGCCTTTTGAATGGTCACGTTGTAGGTGAAGCCTGGACCATTGTGCTCCACTTGGGGCAGCTGTTGCCAGTAGATGTGCAGCTCGCTTGGCCGCTTGGGATCGATATGATAGCCGCTTGGCCAGACGACGGGCGGTCGTGCCGGTAGCTCCGGATGCGTGCAGAAGCTGTAGACAAAGGTCCGGCTCCAGTGGGCGCTCGCATAGGCGTAGCGACGTTTCAGCTGAATCGTGTAGTTCTGATAGGGACGGGGCAGGCGAAACAGGCAGAGGCGCTCTTTGTTCGTCAGCTGCTCGGGGTCCGACCAGATCACGCCGCTATCGCTGCTGCCGTTCGGCGGCAGCATCAGCAGCTGCTTTGACCACTCGATGGTATAGCCGATGTGGTTTGTGGACCGCTTGGCGCTCCACTCGAGGCAAATCGATGAGCTGTTTAGGCTTGTCACATTCAAATTGGACCCGGGCCGCTCCAGCACAATCATCTGTTCGCGCCGCAGCTGGAATCGCTGGAAATGCTCGTCCAGATGATCGTGCAGCCTTAAAGTAAAGTTGTACACTTCATTGAAGATATCCAGGCGGCCGATGCACTGCATCTGTAATCCCTTGCCAGCCGGCTGGCATTCGACAATCTGATTGTTATGCTGCAACGTGTAATTGGCCTTGGCAACAACGTCACTCAGGGCTGGCTTGCTGAAGCTGCAGGTGAACGTCGCCGGAGACTCGGCCTCCTCGAACCGGCAGCTGAAGTCATCAACCTGCAGCCGGACGCCCACCCGGAAGTACGAGGATAGCAGTGACTTGCCATTGCACAGGCACTCGTAGCCAAACGCCCGCTCGTGCTTCGGCTGAGCCGAGCGGACCTCGTGGTAAATAGTGCTGCCATTAAGTATGTGCACAGTCAAATTCAAGCGGTTCGCCTGCATGTACAAACGCTCCGCGCCGCCGCCGTCGCAGAGTTTGTTCAAGGCAGCGAGACTGTCGGCCCAGCAGGTAACGTTGTATGCTTGGCCCTCGCGTATATTACTACGGGATGGCTCGAAATGGATGTGATCGAGCGGATCGTCATCGCCGCGGCACTGTGAACAGCAATAGCTGGCAACGAATACGCTGACTAACACAAAACGCAACATTTCGAACTTCAAATTTGTGCTGTTAATCGGGCGGCGATAGCGGCCCATTTGCGTCATATATTATATTTATATTTATGTTTATATACGTATTTTGTTGTATGGAAATTTGACTTATTACTGCTCCTAGGAGCACGTCTCTCCATGGACTCGGCAGCTTTCGAACTATTCTACAAGCGCTGCTCGTAATCAACTTTAAGTGCGGCAATTATTGCGGCTGTGGCTGAATGCTGTGTGCGCTGTAAGAATTTTTAATGCCGTCAAATAGCATTCGCCCCTGATAAGCCACGCTTCGAATCCCATCGACGCATCCTACAATATGTAAATAAATTGTTTTTATTTTTTTTTGTATTTACTTTTTTTTTTTTCTTAAATACATTTTTTTTTACATGTCTTTGAAGCTTCCTTAAATATTTTATCTGCTTATTTAAATGGGCCAACAGTTGCAAGTTCGAAACCCGCTGATCACATACTTTTCCTTTTATTTTATTTTATTTAATTATATTTTCAAATATATTTTGTTTAATTTGCTTAAATTTTTTTTTTTTTTTTTTTTATTTTATCTGTTTTTATACTTATTTTATTTACTTTTTTAGCAATCAAATATTATATTTAAGTGTTTTCGTAGCATCTTTAATTATCTAATTTGCATGTTTATATGTTCGCGTTCTGCTGACATCACACAGTGCAGTTTTTTAATTTTTATAAAATTAATTTTATTTGATGTTTTGTTTTTTTCTTATTTAATTTTTGTTGTTTATTTTTTTCTTCAGATAGATTTGATTTTAAATTGAATAAACGCTTTTGCTTTTTATTCAATTTTTATTGGGTTTTCTTTTTTTTTTAAATATTTAATGATATTGACGTAATTATAATTTCATTTATTATAAAAACGAGCTTGACTTTCGCGAATTTCGAATACATTTATCTGTTTTTGCTTTACTTTCTCTGTAATCAGTAAAAAGAATGCCATGTAATAAATATGACATACGCCCACTAGCCGAAATAACGAAATGAGTTGTGTTGTCGAGATACATTTACACTTCAAAATTTCAGGTCTGTAGCTCTTGTGAACAGGACAGCTGTTCCTGGTAGCTGCCACGGCTTCTTCTGCCTGTTACATACCTTTCAAAACAATCAATATACTCGAGCTTCCTTCAGGGTAACGTCTAAAAAGCCATAACAAATATACTCTCTATATCTCTCTCTTCAATCTCTCTGTGCTGCTCTCTTACTTTCTCACTTTCAATTTCTCTGCTTGATATGCATCCATATATATATATATATTTTATTTCAATTTATATATATATATATATATATATATATATATATATATATATATATATATATATATATATACGCAATTGTGCGTAACTACAACATATTTCTTATCTTAATACGGCATGAAATAATCACCAGCTAATTTCACAGAATTCAGAATATGAAAATATTTCCCAGTTTGAAATTGAGAAAGTCGTAATTTAAAAAACAAGTCACACTTGAAGGAAACGATTTAATTAATTCATAATGGAATTAGGCAACAAAAACAACAGAGCATTCATATATTGACAGCAATCTCTGGAATTCTGTAGAACTCTACTTTATATTTACTGTAAATCCCTGATAAAAGAATTGTCAATCAATTTGATTGATTGTTGCCTTTGTTGACGGGTCGATCAACGCACAGCAGCCCTGATTACGGCCGAACTGCGAGCTTGCAAAGTGTACCACACACACTTTACAGAGTGACCGACTACAGATACCCTGCACAAATGTTTGCCTGAAATATATAATATTTATGACATCCGTATAGAACTTAGGTCAGTCTAAATGACATTGACAATTTCGTAACAGCACGAAATGCTCTTCTGATCGATAACTTTTCGATAATTGTGGATGGAACATAAGTCGCTACATTGGGAATTTGGAATAGTAAATAAAGAGAAAAAAGGAAAATGAACTAAGCTTAAAAAATCATATATTTATATTATATTATAGCTAATTTAATCAATTGAAATTATAAACATTGTATGAGTTATCGATAAACTTAAATAAAAAAAAACAAAACTTTGCCTATTTTCTTTATGATTAATTTGTAGTGGAAGACATGTCGACACAGAGAATAAAAATGCCAGTTTATGTTTAGTTTTCTTTTCATTTTCCTTTTAAAGTAGATAGTATATAATATACATATATATATAGATATATATATATTTATATATATAATTTATGCTCTTAAATCATCTTGGCGCATTGGCATTGGCCAATTCGTGTAACATATAATGTATGTATACATGTATACACATATACATTTACACATATATATATTTGTTTATATAGTAGGTAGTCATGTAAAGTTAATTATATATATATATGTATATATAAAAGATAGTTCATAAACAATACTAGAGCGTTATAAATTAAAACCTCAAAGAAAAACTAGCAACGAACACGCGGCAAAAACGAACATGAGAAAATAATAATATGGATAAATGCAAAAATAAAATAAAAAATAAATTAAAAAAGGTCAAATTTTAAAATAATGATGTTCGATGTGCGGTCGATACGTAAGAGTTACAAATTAACAGGGTATAAAAAGGGAAGAGTATACAAATAGTTTATTAAATACAAGTGGCCCGGCTAAGTGTGCGCGTGTGTGTGGGATGTGTGTATGAATGGCAAGTACCAAACGAATGTGCATGTGTGCTAAATGAGCTGATTTGCAAGTGTAAGTTTCATGTGAAAGTTTCTTTCCCTCTCTCCCTCACTCAATCGTTCTAGGTATGCGTGTGTGTGGGTGTGTATGTGTTAACGGAAGGCAATAGTAGCTGCTAGCTGGCTGCATGTTTCAAATGCAGCTAATCCACAAAAATCTCTCTCTATCTCTATATCTATCTCTCTCTGAGTGTGTGTGTGTATGTGTTGCTCTCTGTCTCTCTCTCTCGCTCTCTTTTTGTATATGTGTGTGATCCTCTCTAGCCTTAGAGCATATGACGATTGTGCGCCAAAGCATTTAGATCCTGCGGAGTCACATATCCACCAATATTTGGTTGCAATGTTTGCGGCGTTTGTTGTGAATGTTGTGCCGTTGCTGAAGCTGCAGCAGCAGCCGCTGCAGCCGTGGGCTTGATTAAGCCATTCCGTTGCAATTGCTCCATGGCCGTATAGCCGAAGCCGTTGGGCATCAGCGGCGTTGCAGCTGGCGTTGTCGGCATAGCTGGTCCATTTACTCCACATATTGGAGCTAACGGCTTCAGCTTGTGTAGATCGGCAGCCTGCACATAGTTGCTCGTGTTGAGCAAGTGCATCGGCGTTTGTGCTGCCGTTGATGCTCCCACTGCTGGTGCAGCGGGCGCAGGTGTTGGTCGCGACTGCAGCACCTGCACAGGTACATAGCCACTTAAAGGCATACTCAACTGTCCATTGGTGCTGGGCAATGTGTTGGCCATGCTACTTGGCGTTGACCAGTTCTTCATTTGTGTGGGCTTTATATAGCCACCAGCATTTGGATTTGGATTCGGATTCGTTGGGCTGCTTGACTGCATCTCCGTGGCGCCCATTTGACTGTCATCGTCGAGCAGCAGTCCTTGGCTCATCGACATATAGCTGCATGGCGGCAACGTTGTCAACGTTCGCTCCTCATACGCATCCCTTTGCTCGAGCATTCCGCCACTCGAGCTGTTGGCTAAAAGCAACTTGGAGCTCTCGTTGCCACTACTAAAATCTTGCGGCAAATCGTGTTGCGAATAGTGTGGCAGATCGATTCGTGTACAAATGACGCCGCCGACAATGCTGCCAACACCGCCGCCATTACCACCAGTGCCGCCACCACTGGACCCAATCTCGATAGATTTCTTCTCATCAATTCCCGGTGGAAGCACCAGATCAATGTCGGACATTTTCAATAGCTTACGATAAACCATGTAGGCAAATGCACTAAGAAAGATGATAGAGGTAACCACCTCCACGGAAGTAACGAACACCTTCAAATTGCTCTGACCCGGCGAACAGCTAACCTCATGGGTGGTCCATGCCGACTTGTACAAACGATAGAGACTCGTATTGAGATAGTTTTGTATGGCGCCCCATTCGATATCCGTTAATGGGGGCTGAGCATCGCATTTTTGGCTTTGCATTGAACGCCGGATATACGTTTTATCTATATGCGTTGTTAGGTTTGGATCCAATGGCTCCGCATTTACTGCGCGCACATTGTAATGGAAACGATGCAACGGCGTACAAAGCGGCGTAGTCATCACACAGGTGAGATTTGGGCGTGCGCTCACATAGCTGGATGGTTGGCCAATTATCGTATTATTAGCATTTCTCTCAATTATGACCACTTCATAGAATTCCAATCGTCCAGCCGGACGCAACGGTGCCTCCCACTCCAGGATCGTGTTCCAATGTGAGTTCTCCACATGTAGCTCGTGCGGCGGCGAGGGCACTGGAAATAACGAATAATAGGTAATTAATATTAATTATATATTTTTAAAATTAACTATTTTAATTATTTAGGCCAAATTTAAACTTAAACTGTTTCGCACTGTTCACCTAACGATCTTATGAACTACTGAACTACTACTTTTCAATGATCAGTTGATACGCGCCGTAATTTGTATCGATAGTGAACAATTCGTTCCATTGAGCCGTGCATAATTACAAATTTATGAGCTCTCTGCGCTAACTAAAGTCGTGAATATTGTAGCGATATAAATCACGACTCGATAACGCGATTAATTGTATTCCAGTTCATACATTCTTTTGAGCTGTTTTGAGCTGAAATATTATCGATACAATTGTAAAATGAACAAAAAAGTGCATTCTCTAAAAGAACTATGGACTTAAACGAGCGGTAGAAATTAAAAAAAAAATAAAGCGAATATAAACTCGAATCATTAAAAATTTAAAGAATATAATATGAACACCTACCTCCAACTGCTGTACGAAAGCGAATCTTATTGCTGGGCTCCGAATAAAGTATGGTCTTTGCACACAAACTAATCTCATATTCCGTATAGGCAGTCAAATTGTTTAATACAAAGTTTGTCTCTTTGTTGCTCAGTTCGGCGGTAAGCGTGTGCATAACAAAGTGATCGGTAATATTATCACTGGTTATGGTGCCCCGATATTCGACCAGCATGCCATTCGCCTTGATGGGCTGCTTCCATGTGAGCGACACACTCGAGCTGCTCACATTGAAATAAGTGAGCTGACGCGGCGGAGTCGGTGCACCTTGGGCTGTGCGCTGGAATAGCTCATCGCTGTATTTGCTGGCACGCTTCGGTGAATACATGGACATCTTAATAGTATAGAAGGTATAGGGCTCTAGATTCACAATTTTATGGGATGTCACATCTTTGGGCAGCTCCATGGTTGTACAATTATCTGGCTTGCCGTCCGATCGCTTGCAATAAGTCAGATTGTAGCCACTTAAGATCGCCGCACAGACACCTTCGGTGCCCCATTTGACGGTAATGGATGTGTCAGTCAATTGCTCAATGGCTGGATCCATTTTTGCGAGGTCATCGTTGCCATCGCCTGTACAGGTCACCCAATGCATGCCCGTATTCCGGCCAACAAAGTTCGCCGATACAGCCATATTCAGCGATGGCGATTGCCCAGTTGCCGTGCTATATTCCAACCGATCTGGAGAGACATGCTCGAAGTGAATGGAGCCGTTGCATTTGGACAAAAGTGCCGGCTTTGCATTGCACCAGAAGACCGTATAGTCGATCAAACCAGAGCTGTTCCTTGGTGGCTTCCAACCAAGGGTGTAGCTGGAATTGCTCGAATGATAGACACCCTGTATCTTGAGAGGTTCACGTAGTCGGATATCCTCTCCGCTGATACTAGGTATATAGAGTCGACTCGCCTCCAAAGATGTGCCCACATTGTTGCTGCTCCTTATGTAGATCTCATAATGTGCATTCCGTGTCCAATTGTCAATTGTTGCCGAATTCGTATCCACCTTAATCTTGGAGGCATCGCTGTCAACGAGCAAGGGAAAGAGGGCGAAAGGTAAATTATCTATTAGTAAGCAGGTAAAAATATAGCTGTAATGCCAAAAGGCCAATACAATGTGTCATCGATACAATTAACGTTTGTCTTTAAGACAATTCACATGACAATTCAGGGGTTTGTAACGCTAAAAAGCAGCACAACAAATTTAAGGGCGAAACTGTGAACATTTATAGAGTAAAAGTTAGATACGTGGGAAATATACATGTATGTTTTCCACATTTCAAAAAACTGAATAATAAATATGTAAAAATTTCAAGTCTAGGTCTTCAGCTTTAATAGACAGACGGACGACATTGCGAAAAACCAATATACTCTTTTCACTCACTAAAAACTGCGCAGTCTATTTACCTAAAAGCAAGAAATGTGAAATTCCTCAACTAATTATTTTCTATATCTCTCATTCTCATAATATTTAGGTATCAATGCAAAGCTCTTCAAGCGAAAATCTTTTCGAATTCAACTTCTGTTCTACGTAATTGAGATAACGAAACAATTTTACGAATATTAACGAAACAGACAAGCGGACCGTCTCCCTGCACAACAGACACTCATACATTAGTACAATTTGCAAAGCATATACATACATCTGCATATAGATAGATAGCTACGTAGCGGGTTGGAAATTTCTTGAAAATTGTTTATTTTTAAAAATTCTTTGAATTTTTGTATGTTTGGTTGAGCATTCATTACGTTCCTGCAATGGGTATAGTCCGTTTAATAAGAACTGCGCTTTTATAACGTAAAAACGAGCAAGTGAAGCGAATACAAATGGAAGGCATGCCGAAGTGTGGATACCCTAGCTGAAGATACGATACGATCTAAACGTAGAAAAGTGCTCAATGATTCTGGAAAATATCTGAAACGAACGAATGTTGCGAATCAAATGAGTATCCTTGGCAAACTCTCTTAGTTAAACTAAAGTTGTTTCATATAAAATATATAGTCATTATAGAAATAATATATATACATAAAGGAAACAGTATCTTTATGAATTTCTTTCTGATGCTTAGCTAAGCAAGAACAGCTACTGGCTAAGCTAATCAACATCTTTATATCTTTTTGATGCTTGACTATTCTTATATTATAAGTTAAATGTGCGATGACAGCACAGATATGCCACATTGTTAGGGTATCATATAAATGGTTTAGCTAGATGAAAATTAATGGAAATTTCTCAATGTTTCAATGCAGTTCCGCATCAGTCATGCGACCAGATGTACTCGTACCTATATATGCGTATGTGTGTGTGCGTGTGCGTGTGCGTGTGTATGTATGTGCTCACATTAATGTTTTCAGTTTTAATTCAGCTTAAATAATGACGTTTTGCTGCAATTTGAGAATCGAAAGAAATATACAATATATATGCAACGCATATCTATATATGAATACATATGTCTATGCATGCACAAATGTGTGTCTCTGGTTACAGTTGTTGCTCGCTAATTGAAACTAGCAGTAATTAAAATTCTTCAAAAATTGTAGTTTTTAGCTCTACATCAAAGTTACTTAGTTTTAAGCCAAGCTGTTCTTGCAGATATTAATAAGTAACTGTATAGACTCAATGTGCAAGTAGCTTTACTCAGCATTAGTTATAATACTAATAAATATATGTGCGTGTGAAGATGTATTAGTAAGAGGTTAATTAAAAAAAAAATATTGACAATCACCGTGCAAATAATTGCAAAATGTCGATTAGAGTCAATAAAGTAAAATGCATATATTGAACTAAAATGTATATTTTGTAATATTAACAGGTCAAGAGACACGGCCTTGCCAGACTTCTGTATGTTGCATTTCGTTAAGTTGGCAGCAGATTTAATGCCGAATCCAGAGACAGAAGGAAATTCGCAAGAAATACAAGTTTACACGATGCATCTAATCGCGATTAATTATCAATTATGTGGAATTCGACATCAACAATTCTCTAGAAATAGGAAACGCTTGAAAAATGAACATTTCGCGCTAATTGTTTTTATTCTCGTTTGTATATATACATGTATATTGTTCATAATTGAAAATAAACAGATATATACAACAATAAAATCACAATTCATAATCATATATTTAGGTATGTGGACAATAAAGCTAAGCATTGATGCAAAAGTTCGTGTGCGTCTGTATATTTATGAGCTAATCATAATAAAACGATAAAAGCTTAATATCTTATCTTATGTACTCTTGATGAAAATTCAGTCAAAAGCGGGAACCATTATTTGGAAGCATTTATCTATTTATCACAATCATAATTGTCATAGGAAATGGATTTAGCGGATATTGAAATTTAAAAAAACTTTTGATTAAAAAAAATTGTTGTCATCGTGTAAACTTTGTACATTCCATTAAAATGGAGAACTCTTATCACATATTTCCAAGCTGATCATGGTTCAGTTACTTCGAGTAACGAATTTAGATACAATAATAATGCTAAATGTAAATTCATGTTTATTGTGTTCAAATAAGTAAAAACAGGGATAATATAAACGCTATTTTTGCGATAAGACTGATCAGGTATCGGGCTTTTAAATAGGGAACCAGATCAATTGGATACCTTGACTAGTGGGACCAATGTATCCTATATCAAATCGAATTATCACGATTTAAATGTATCGTGTAAACGCAGCCTTCATTTTAAATACAGACTGAAAATATTAATCAGCTAATCACTTTCAAAGTTTATCGTGTGAACTTATTTTTAGCGAAAAATCTGCTTCAGTTTAATTTTAATAGGGAATGAGAGAAATTTACAAGCTTTTAGTTACAAGCTTTAGTTTACAAGCAATTTAGTTACAGCGTGTAAACATACCCTTCGACATCACACTATTACCGTTAATAACATTTGGATCGATAAATATCGATGTGGTTACTTAAAGTTCATCGTGTAAACGATGTGAATCTTTTACTTACATGATTGTATCATTGCACCGATACTCGCTGATAACGTAGGTAAAGTTATCGCCATTCATCTCGTGCTTGTGCAGCTGCTCCCAGTAGAGGGTGAGCGATGACTCCGACGAGTAGACATAGAAGCTGCCATTGGTTATGCGTGGCGGCCTCGCCGGTCGCTCGGCAGCTGTACGGAAATTATAATTGAGTGGCGGACTCCAACGGGACTTGGTCTTATTATTGCGCACGCGCAACTCCAGGAGATAATTGTAGCCGGGATAAGGTAGTTCAGTTAGACAGAGAGTATCCTTAGCGGCTGATGAATTATTGCGCCACATCGGGCGGACCAAGGTGGGAAAGTTTTCAGGTGTGACAAAGACACGCCAAAGGACGCCACCAACGAAGTTACTGCGCCGCGGCATTTCCCACGACAAGCAAATCGAGTCCTTTGTCCGATTGAGTAGCTTCAAATTTTGCCCAGGACGCGCAAGAATCATGCGCTCAACATTATTCACCTCGATATCCTGACTGGCATTGCCCAAGGTGTTAGCAATGTCCAAGCGAAAGAAATATATTTGCGAAAACTTCTTATATTGCTCGCCCGTTATGTTGCAATTGACCAAAGGCGACGCATCGAAGTTGCAATCGACATAGTAACGATAATTTGTATTTTTATCCGTTGTAAAGCTGACATTATATTTGGGATTAATGCTATTCCGCGGCGCGGTAAAGTTGCAAAACATATAGTCCCAGTCGTGGCTGGTGCAATTGAAATCTTGCACCAGTAATGGCTTGGTGCCAACATCCACCTTTGAGGAGAACATGCCCATCTCTTTGCACATGCACAGGTATTCACCCTCTTGATCGAACATATTTGTAAAGGACATTAATATGGTGGTATCGTTGATAATTTGCAAATCGCTGCCATTGTAATAACGCTGAACACCATTGATATTCGCATTGAAATACAAATCGTTCACCTTGCAGGTTTCATTTGTTTTCGATGAATCAAAGAATGCCTGATTAATGGTGCAGGTGATATTTAGATCGCTGCCAACGGGTAATTCCGCCTTTTCCGGCACCACCCAGCCGGGCGATGGATGCTGTCCATTAAGGGTCACCATGCAGAAGGCAAAGATTACAGCGAGAGCAAATGTTATTTGCTGCATTTTCGTTCGTTTGCAATCATTGATTTGCATCTGCAATTAATAAACGAAAATGTACATGCATTATTAATATACATTTATTTATTTAAATAGGGCCACACTTGTACACACACAATCATATATTTTAAGTAAGTACACACCTTTGCTATTCGATAGACAAAAAATACCTGGGGCACGGGTACGAGGCACTTGTTGGCACTGGTATTGGTAATTCTCAGAAAACCGTTTTATATATGTTACCCAAAAATTCCAAGAACTGATTTTTTATGGCATTTTGATTCGTATGCTTGTACCAAATAGTGCTCTTTCTTTTCTATGCCCAACACAAAAATAGGTTTTATAACGAACGATCAGTTTTTATATTTGAATAACTATAATCAACGTATTTTGTTTTTTGTTGTTTATTGTTGCGTTTTAATAAACACATGCACACGATCTCACTAACTCAACCGTTTGCTTTGCCTTAAGCGTTCCCTTTTGCTTGTCGTTTGCGAACCAGTGTGACCGGCCGGCACTAAAACGACAATCACAATTTTACGACAAAAAATACAATAAATACGCAGAAACAAATATATAATAATTCTTCATTTTAATTCAAACATTCTATAATTTAGTTTGCAATTTAGCACATTAATATTAATAATAAAAAAATTTTTTGCAACATTTTGCATATTAAGAAAGGGACAATATATATATATATCAGTGAATGTGGTTTTAAATTGAATATTTTTTAACTGCGCCACTTATTCGTTGAAAATTTTGTTGTGCAAACGTAAAGTCGTAATGTGTGACCAAAGTCACAGTATTTGTTTTTGGGCATTGTTGACTGATTGCCTTTGGTCACACTCACTCTGTATGTGACATATATATATATGTGTGTGTGTGTCGTATGTGAGAAAGTGACGAATTACTTTTCATCAAATGGAAAATAATTTAGTTTGAAAGCACGTATAAATTTCAATAGGCGATCACAAAAAAAAATATAGAAAATAAAAAAAAAACAGCAAAAAAACCTTGTGAAAACATAGCATTATATTAAGAAAACGCATAAAACTAGCGCTGAAAAAAACAATATCAAAATGGCCGAAGGCGGTAGTAAGCGCATCAACGTGGTAGTTAAAACGCCAAAGGACAAGAAAACTGTTGAAGTCGATGAAGATTCTGGAATAAAAGATGTGAGTATTACAGTGCTAAGCAAAAAGGCATGGGCAGCGACAGGGGCTGCTCTAATAAAACATAATTATTGCGGCTAAGCACTGTTCGGAGGGGTGGGCACACTTGTCTTCTGTGCACCACGTATTTGTGTGTGTGTGTGTGTGTGCGTGCGTATAATTGAAGGTACAGTGCATTTTTTTTTTCTAGAAAGGATGGCAAAGTGCAAATACTTTGTGCATATGTGAGTGTGTAAATATTAATGATGATTGGGCAACATTGCTTGTTGTTTTTCTTTACATTTTGGCATTCAAGTTTAATTGTTTATTTTTATATATTCAATTCTTTCGATTAGTTCAAAATTTTGGTGGCACAAAAATTTGAGGCCGAACCCGAGCAATTGGTGCTGATATTTGCGGGTAAAATCATGAAGGACACCGACACCCTTAAGATGCACAACATCAAGGACAATTTAACAGTACATCTCGTTATCAAAGCGCCAACACGTACCAATGAAACGCCGGCACGTGCACCGGCCGATGTACGTCAAACACCGTTTGGCCTGAATCATTTTGGAGGCTTAGCTGGTATGGAAGCACTAGGAGCGGGCTCGAATACCTTTATGGATTTGCAGGCGCGCATGCAGAACGAATTGTTGAATAATGGGGATATGTTGCGTTCGCTAATGGATAATCCGTTGGTGCAGCAAATGATGAACAATCCGGAGACAATGCGTCAGTTAATTACATCAAATCCTCAAATGCAGGATCTAATGCAACGTAATCCAGAAATTTCGCATATGCTTAACAATCCCGATTTGTTGCGTCAGACAATGGAATTGGCGCGCAATCCGTCGATGCTGCAGGAGCTGATGCGTTCGCATGATCGTGCTATGTCGAATTTGGAATCGGTGCCAGGTGGCTATAGCGCATTGCAGCGCATCTATCGTGATATACAGGAGCCGATGATGAATGCGGCGACCGAATCCTTTGGTCGCAATCCCTTTGCCGGCTTAGTCGAGGGCGGTGGTGGCAATACGGCCGGAGTTAATCCACAGCAGGGCACGGAGAATCGCAATCCGTTGCCAAATCCGTGGGGCACCGGCAGCGGCAATCGCAGTGGCAGCAACTCTAATTCCCAAAGCAATAATACGGGCCCGAATAATCAACGTGCCGGCGATCAGCCACCAAATAATGTACTCAATACGCCGGCAATGCGGAGTCTGCTCCAACAAATGGCTGACAATCCAGCTTTGATGCAAAATCTATTGAATGCCCCCTATACACGTTCGATGATGGAATCAATGTCACAGGATCCAGATATGGCGTCACGTTTGCTTAGCACCAGCCCCCTATTATCGAACAATCCACAGTTGCAGGATCAGGTGCGACAGATGATGCCACAGTTCATGGCACAAATGCAGAATCCGGATGTGATGAACATGCTAACCAATCCGGAGGCAATCAATGCCATACTACAGATCCAACAGGGCATGGAACAGTTGCGTAGCGCTGCACCAAATCTAGTTGGTACATTGGGCATACCGCCGCCTCCACCGGGCGTCAATCCGACAGGTGCCACTGATCCGGCCAGCGGCGATGGCACCACAACAAATACGAATTCCACTAATAGCGCCACCAATGCCAGCAGCATTAACAATTCAACAACGCCGAATAATGTTAGTGCATCGCTATCGAATGCCACGAATCCAGCTGCTGGCACATTGGCACCTGGCGGCGGACCCAATGCCCAGCTCTTTAACGATTTCATGATGCGCATGCTCAATGGCATGTCCAACAATGCGGACAGCACGCAGCCACCGGAAGTACGCTATCAATCCCAATTGGAGCAACTCGCTTCCATGGGCTTTGTCAATCGCGATGCCAATTTGCAGGGTAGGCACTTGAACTATCTAAAATAGTTATATATATATATATATCTTAGATTATCTTTGTTTATACAATTAACACTCTACTGTGTATCTTAGTTTAGGACAATCTTAGATGCGCAGATTCGTTATAGGCAGTAAACATATATGTATCACTCGTTTGTTATATATAAAGCCAGTTCCAAGATCATTCACAGTTAATTCAAAAAGAAATTTGTTCTATATAGGCATATGTAGTGAAAGATCTGCCAGCCATATGCCAAGAGTATTTCTGTCTAATAATAATAAACTGTAAAGTCAATCATAATGCACAAGCCCTATATACTATGTATGTATTCCAGTTCAGTGCTATAGCAAATATATATATGCTGGCTAGATATCTAAAGTCGAGTTAACTCAACTCTTACTAGTTGAATTTAGTCTCAAAGCCTAGCTGTTTCCATCATAGCCAACATTTATCTCTCGTCTCTATTTGTATACAAATTCAAATCACTATCAACTTTCAAGTTGTTGTATTCAAGTCTCAGTTCAGTTCTCTGGTCTTGGTATTGTAAAGCATGTACTAATTATAAATGCTTCGACCTGTCTGTATTTCGACTGATCTGTAGTATATATAATATATAATTTTCCCTACAAGAAAGGAAAGGAAGAATTAACTAAATCTATGCTGGAAGAGTACACCAAATGCCACAAAGATAACTAACTTTATGTATATATATATATATATATAAATCATATTTATATCTATTGCATATATATATTCATCCCATCTCTTTATCTTCTCCATACAGCTCTTATTGCAACGTTTGGGGATATTAATGCAGCCGTGGAGCGTTTGTTGTCGCTGAATCAATTGTCCCTGAGTTAACACTGTTAAGGCGAATGCCTTCTGTACACGCCAATATCGTCTCTATATATCTATATCTATATATTTATATACGTATATATATATGTGTGCTTGCTTAAGTATATATATATTTATATAAATATATGTGTGTGTGGTTGTATGTGTGTGTGTGTGTCTCTGGGCGTGTGTGTGTATAAAAAATATGAATTGTGAAATCACTAATTGTTTGAGGGGAAATAAATCGGATGCCACGCCCCCAAGAAAGAGGCTAACAGCGGGGCTGTAATGTTTGCTGATAAACCTTGATACACACGCACAGACACACACACACATAACAAACACACGCAGTACCCAGCACACTCATGTACACACACACACAACACGCATACACACACATCTAACGTAAGCAATTAAAATGCAGATGAAGAAGAAAACTTACGCCTGGAAGCCTATAAATTAAATACACACAGACACACATCATTTTGCTTCAAAATTTCCACGAGACACAGGATAACAAAACCATAAACAAACTTGGAAAGAAAAGAACAAAAATGATTAAAAAAAAATCATAATATATATATATATATATATATATATATATATATATATATATATATGTATATGTATATGTATATGTACTAATTATATTTACAAAGAAAGAAAAAAAACAGAACAAGCCAAAGTCTGGGGCAGAGCAGCGATATTGTTAATAACAATTGATGTGTGACTATATATATGTATATGTATGTATATGTATATGGATATATAGGATTTCAATGTGGTGGGGCAAGGAAAACAGAAGCTACGAAAAAGTTTCTAATGCAAATTGTTTAACATATAGTCAACACTTATATATATATATATATATATATATATATATATATATATATATATATATATATATATATATATATAAATATATATATATATAATATATATATATATATATATAAATATATATATATATATAATTTTTTTAATAATTTTAACGAACTTTCATTCTGTTTTTATTTGTTGATGTACATTTTCTATAAAAAGCAAGACATATATATGTATATATATCTTTATATATATATATATGTATCAAATATTCCACGGTGTTACAAAAAAAAAAACAAACAAAAATACAAAAAGACGTAAATATTTGAAATTCCTTAGTACCAAAAACGAAAACAAAACTAAAAAAAAACAAATTTCTTTTGTCATAATTTGCGGGTCGGTGTTAGCAAGGGGGAGCTATATATATAAATATAAACATATATCTATTTTTTTCCAAGGGAAGCTTAAAGGTGCGTGTTCCAATTTAACCTAACAAGAAAATTGCAATCGGACATATATAATATATATGTGTGCTAAAGTTGGCAAAGGGCACGCCGCTACATAAGTTACAAACAAGTAATAATAATAAAATATATACAAAAAAAAAATTTAAAAAAAAAAAACAAAAAAAACTTATTCGTTAGGAAAACTACGTTTACGTGTTTCTGTGTGAAAACCTAAAAGAGTAAAATAAAATAAATGTAAATGGTCAAATGTTTTTCAAAAATTCAAACAGTTAACTGCCCAAATTTTTAATCCATAGGCGCTTTAACTCCCTTTGCTTCAATGGCAGCTCGCCCTTTTGGGGTATGGCTAGTGATCTGTGGTTTCATAAATATTCGAAATTTACACAAACTTTCTAATCAAGTATGATTCGGCTTGAGTTTGTGTTAAAATTGAATTAATTTTTTTAATACAATCATTAACATTATAGCGTCAGCCAATAAGAGCGGCTTACGTTAAAAACAGCGTTGCCACATATAGAGAAAGTCCTAAGGACTTTTTAGGGAAAAACAAGTACGTTAGAAATGAGGGTGTGAAGGGCACAGCAATATAGAAGCAACAACTGTACAACTAAATAGATTAGAGAAGGAAGGAAATAGTAATACAATTTTGAAAGATTAAAAAAATGTTGCAGCGAAAGTTTACATAATTAGTTTAAATTGTATATATAATAATATTTATATCATGTACTAGTACAGGTATTCTAGGGATGCACGTAATATATAATATTGCTATACTCCACAATGATCGATTCGCATTATCTTGTATGGCGCAGCCTGAAACGGTACGCTATTAAAATCGATATATACATATCGATTAAAAGTATATTTCATGGCGCATCTTGGAGAATCCGATTGGAGTCATCCTAGAAATCTTGAAATTTTGGCATTTCAGAGAATTCCCCAACAAATTTCATAAATATATTCGCTATTTACATTCAATATCCGGGTCGAAATTAGTCTTTTATTAAGTTTAATTGTAGGCCCTGATTTATTTATTTTTATTGAATTCGGCAACAAATCTTAGCATAATGTCAACTTTCGGGGTTTATAGCTATTGACATGGTATACATAGATACACTGAGTGAAAAACCATACAGTGAGTGAGAAACGCGTACAATCGCATCGAATCGAAACATGTCAATTATATATACAAAATACACTGAGATTAATATCAAAGTATTTACAGTGAATCAAATTAACATGGTACACACTGAAACAAAAACTATACAGTAAATTGAATTGAGACACAGTGAAACAAATTGTATATATAGATTCAATAATACAGTGAATTGCATTACATGATATACACTGAGACAAATACTTATATACGCATACAAGTGAATTCTTACGAAATTGACACAAAAAACTAGAACAATGCTTAAAACTTGAGGCTGTACGAGTCTTGATTAGGTAGTTTCTGTTCCTTTCTTTTTACAGTGTATCTTCGGGTTCAATTAGAGCTCCTCGAAAAATGCGACACGCGCCTTGGTCGAGCCGGATTTGAGTTTCTTAAGTGTTGAATATTTATTTTCGCCTGCCTTTATCTGCGCCTCGCTGAGTATATCCAGATTACTTTGATTCTGTTCGATTTTATGTGGGGCGATCTCGCTGCGCAGGGTTTGCAATTGATTTTGCACCTGTTTCTTCGATTTGCGCAGGTATTCCAAATGGCTGCGCTCCATCTCATTGGCGATCTGCTCCATTTCGTTATCAGTTAAAATAAATTTTTTGGGTTCAAAGTCGTCGGAAATGCCGCTAGAATTATCGCCCATCACAATGTAATGCGAATCCGAGTTCGTCAGCTCCGCTCCTCCGGCTGTTTCCAGATCATTTGTGGAGCTGCTCGTTGTCAGTGAAGGTGTACTAATCGCAGCAATGCTTGACGGATTATTGACATTGGCCTGGGAGACGGTTGATGCCGTTAGCAGACTGTCCGTTGACGATTTGCGGCCACTGTTGAGGAAGTTGAGCAGACGTGCGGTTGCTTCTCTCTCGGCCATCTTAGCACAGATCAGCTCCTTTTTGAGCTTTTCTGTTTCGGCTTCGCGCTTGTCATTCTCCACCGTCAGCTGGAGCATATAGAAATCGGCATCCCTAATCTTCTTCTCCAAATCGTGCTTCTCCCGCTCCACTTTCATTTGACGCTCACGTAAACGATCCATTTCTGTCTTAAAGTGATTCGCTTTGCATTCGGTTAGCTGCATTTGCTCCTCGTTCACGCGACTCTTCTCGAAGTACAGCTCCTTCGTCTCCTCGGAGCGACGCTGCAAAGGCAGTCCAATTGAATATAGATCAGGAGAAACATATCGATCAGCTTACCAGCGCATCGCTGGCCATGCGCATCTCGTCCTGCAGATGTTCGAGCCTCTTCTCCATTTCGTAGCGTTCGTGTTCCGCCTTCTCGCGCAGCTGCTTCTCCCGTATGAACTTCTTTCGATCGATTTGGCGTCGCTGTTTCTCCTCCTTTGCCTGCGCTTTCATCTGCTGAATCTCCATGGTGTCCGGCTTGCGGCGTCTCATATAGAGATCGTGATTGCCCTTGCACAAGTCAAGTATCTGTGAAGGGATTAGGTATTAATATAGTATTTTGAGGCTATACTGATTGGAACTAATTTACTTAACACTTTTAGTTATTGATATTAGTTAACTTATCTTGTTTAACTAGTTAGGGAACTAATAAATTAATTTTTCGAACTAGTTCAACTAACATCACTTAGTTATTCACTCACCATTTTGTTAATATGTAAGTCCTGCGAGTAAAATATAAAGTTCGGCACTTTGGCATCCACTAAACGTATCGTGAATTTCTTGTCATCGAAACTAACGTGTCGAATCTCGTTCCATTGGAACGTTGTCTTTGGGGTTAGCTTGTCACGCTCATCATAGATGTTCAGACCCACGGCCGTAACGCCTAGCCACAATTTGGTTTTGTTCTTATTCTATTATCAAGAGATTAGGAGAACATCAATATCGTTAATTATGAGATTTGGATTAACATTTGGTTCGATTCTAAACTCGTACTGAGGCAACGTTGACTTCAATATTATATTGGTAAGGTTAGGGTAAGTATAAGGTCAGGGTCAGTGTTAGGTAGGATTAATTTCCAAGCACGTAACGTTAGACTAAGTGTAAGTCTTGTTTCAATTTCGAATTAAAATTAGATACTATTTGCCAAAGTCCGACGTAATGTTCGATTTCGAGCTCGAATTTAGTTAATTTAGGTTAAGTGCTATTTAAGATCCGTTTTCCAACTAGATTTGAGGTTAGACTACACACCGTAATAGGAAAGTAGTTAACACCATACATGTCCAGATCTTGTGCAATTTTTAGATATTCCATTTCCACTTCATCTCGTGTCATAGGCTCATGATCCATGTACCTAGAAATTTAATTGGATATTTATAAGGGCTTATGTAGTTATATATGTAGCTACTCACCAGGTCTTGATGCGCTCCTCCCACATCTCAGGCGTCATTTGATATTGATCGGTAACGCCCTTGGGCAGCAATTCACCACCGGCCAGCATGCCATCCTTGTAGGTCTCATAGTCGTAGGGTCCATATTGGACGTGGACCGCATACGAGGCAAGCAGAACAGATGCCTCTGGCCGGCAATATATATCCATCGATAGAATACTCTGTTTCACTTGCAAGAAGAACAAATGCTGCGTTATCTCCTGAATCAGCTCTTCGCTGACGTTCTCCGGAAAGAATTTCGCATAGAAACTGAAGACGTAAATGCTATTGTTTGTATGCAGCTCAACGCGCTGATCTTTGACCTTTTTGTCCATTTTGAGCCAGGAGACATTGTTGCGTGTGTCGACGTACTGAAGTCCGAAATACCATGATTCACGCAAGCCAATCGTACGACAAACGAGATCGAATAATTCTTGGCCGGTGGAACGCGTCTCCAATTCGAACTCCAGTTCCGAATCAAAGGTGCTCACGCGCACCGGCAATGAACGGTTTTTCTTCGAACCGAATGGGCTCATCATCTACGGCGATGGCGATTGTGATTTCGATTGCAAATCGATTGTGATGTATTGTTCAGCTATTACTATGTGCATATACATATGTATGTATGCATATGTACATACATACATACATATATATATATATATATATATCTATATATATATATATATATATATATATGAATATATATTTATAATTGGCTATTATGTGAGGCTATTGTGTTTACTTGTTGCACTTGTCAAACATTTTCCACTTCGTTCGCATTTGCACATATTGCATTGATGTATATTTAAGCTATTTGATTTCTTTTGTGTAAATACTGTACTGGCACTGTGAAGGCACTTAGTTTAATATGTTATAACTAAATTTTTAACAATATATTACAACATTTTTACGTTGTCAAAAATAAATTGCGAGCGTATAAATAGCAACAACAAAGAATGAGTGTGTCTGCATGCATGTGTGCGATCGTGTGTGTGTGTGTGTATGTCGGACGTGAATGCGTATCCATGTGAATGAGAGAGAGACAGCGAGTGAGAGAGCGTTCATTGGCCGAGAGAAGAGCGTGCGGACGCTTATTGCATTGCCTCAATTTCCACAATAACAGTAACGTTAGATATGCGAAGGCACAGTGGTGTGCTGTCATAAAAAGTACTTCAAATTCCAGACGAAAATACGAGAATCGATTCTTTTTAGAAAATTCCTATAATACTTTATTAACAGTATTGCTGCTTCATACATGGCTTATTTATCGTTAGCTTAAGTATATATTGAAGTAAAACACTCCAGCACACAACTCTAGACATTTAAAACATTTGTATCCTCTATTAAACATAGTTAACAGATTTTACACATGTTTGTGTGTGCAGAGAAAAATTTGAAAAGTCTTATGTTGTTTATGTGTACGTAGGTATTTCAAAATCACTAGCTATATATATTTTACGGTTTTTTTGTTTTATAGAGGTTTATATTTAACAGCTATAGCTAAAGCCTATTTTTAATTCTACATATATACATATATATAGATATATATATATATATATATATATATATTTCGAACACATTTTGTCTCAATTCGCAGAAATTTGAATGTTTACAATATATAATCGGTTCTTTCCTTTTTTATAAATGAACTTTTAAAGATAGAAGATCGGCTAAGTAATCCCTCTGAGTTTATTTCCTTGAATTATTGGCACTATCAGCTATCATATTGCTATTTATTCTGTTAACCAATGGATAAGGCAAGCGATTTGATTATTCCTTGTTCATTTTTGTGTATGGTGTTACCTATTATTATTTTTATATGAGATTTGAATTGTTTTCTTGGTTTTTTTTATCACCTTGAGTAAAGCGTGTTGCATGCACATTTATTATAATTATTATTATTATTTTTGTTGTTTCTATTAGAGCATTAAGTTGGATCCATGTGTTTTATAAAATCTTAATGATTGTTTCGCTTGACACGTTCAACGTGCAAATCATATAACATTTTGTTCTTTTCATAATAGTATGGATTTTGATCAGCATTCAGTTCGGGATTGTATTCATATATGCCACCGCCAACCACTTCAGCAGGACTGATTCCTACATTTGTGATCGTTGGTAATATATAATTATTGTTATCATTGATTAGATTTGGTATACTGCAGTTGCTACTGCTGCTGCTATTCCCATCGTCGTAGTTTAAATGCAGATTGTTGATACGCTTGGAAAGTGGGGTTGATTCGCAAGGCAGATCATCTTCCCGACTACGTTTTCTGTAAATAAGTTATATTAATATTTATATGTATAAATAAACATATATAAATATATATATACATACATATATATATATTTTCATTATTGATGAAATACAATTTGGCCATGAATCAAATAAACTGCAGGTCACTGTAATGGTGTTCATGCATATGTACGTTTCTCAGTTTATGCATGCGCATGACTGCATTAAGTCGCAATTGACATTGGTCGATTGGTTAAATTATTTAATAATTGGCTATTGAATTGCATACCTGGTTCTTAAAAATCCAGCCATTTCGATGTCATACCCGTCGGTTCCTTTTTTTTCTCGGAGCTTGGCGATTGGGTTTCTGGTCGCCTACTTTGTTGTCGCTGCCCCGTTCTCTTGTTCTTATTCTAGGTGACAGATAGAGAGTTGCATTCGGTCGGAGTGGCAATATTGCAATATATATAGTGCTGCCATTTGTAAACGTCAAAATTACGATAGCGATTGTCGCAGTGGCAACCCTGTGCTTCGTCATTCGCACGCATACAGATTACTATTGCTGCAGAGAACGAACACACAAAAGAAAAATAGTAGTTTTCTATACGAATCGACGCCCAACCCAGCCCAAAAAATAGTAAAAACTAAACAGATTTGTCTGCCGTTTTCAATTCAGATCAGTTGTAAGTAAAATTGCGCTAGCCACCGCGAGGGCATGCATTTATTAATTGCAAAAAAACCAATACATCTGGTGCGCCAATAAAGAGAAAATTCTGTTGAGTGAAAAGTGACGAAAAATGTTAACGATGACTGCTTTAGCTGCTTTCTGCGTTAGTGTGCGTGCGTGAGTGTACGTCAGTGTGGTGCTGCAAACGATTGGTTCAATTTTATTCTTGTTGCTGGCGAATTTCCGAAATGTGAACATAATTTGTGCATTTCGCTTTGCCTGGCTTTCTAATAATTATAAACTACTTGTACGTGTGTGCGTGGGCGATGCAAAACAATATGCGCATATACATGTGCACGCATAAGTGTATATATATATATATATATATATATATATACAAATGCATTTGTGTCAAAATAAATTAGCATATTGGCTACAGCAGAACTACGTTTAAGACACACACGCGCGCACTTAAATACATATGCACATATACGCTTTCAATGTGTGTATGTGTGATTTGGTTATGGCAGGGGCCGCTGCATATTTCATATTAGAACTGCCTGCGTTCTTATCTAGGCACTTTGTGTGTGTGAGTGCTTCGTGTTGTTTTTTTCTCTTTTTATTTTTCTTTTATTCTGCACGCACACATGCACAGTTTGAGTCATCGCCTTTGCCTGCGGCTCTCTGCTTTATGCTCCATTAAAAAGGAAGCCGGCGGCGACAGCGACGGCGACGATACCGCCCGGCTGTCGAATGTGTGTGTGTGTGAGTGCTAGTGTATGTGTGTAGTAGGATGTGTGTGTGTGCGAGTTCTCTGTGTACAAAGTTCCACAGATACAACTCGTACGCATAGATAAGACAATAGTTAAGCAAAAAAAAATTACAAGTAAATGGCAATATACGTCTCGTCGCTGATATGAAGCATTTTTGCCTATACATATGTATATTTTTTTTATAAATTATAATATATCTGTATATGCCTGTGTCCAAGGGTGTTGATAATAACAAAGCGCACTCCTAAATGAGTCGAATGCGGACCCCTCACCACCCACCCATTTTGATATTAACCACCCTCCGGCTGGAACTTGACAATCACTTGGCCGGGCAAGGGCCTTCCCTTATTTCCACGCCCACACGTTTCTTTGCGAAAGTAATTAAGGCATATGAGAAGGCACACACAGACACACATACCCACACGTACATATTCACACACATGACTGTTTGGGCTACAGTGAAGCCTGTAAAGTTGACTGTTAGCAAGAGAATAGCTGAAAGCAAACGATTTGGCGTCACTCTTAGGCAGACTTGACTGTATGCAGCACATGACTACGTTGGCTACGGAACGAGAATTGAACTTGAACTGGCAATGGACTTTCATATTTAGTTTTTACTGTATCCAGGCCAGACACCTATTTGTTATTTATTTGTTATTAATACCAATTTGTTGTTTTTGTTTTGAATTTGTAGAAATCGCTTGAAATATAACTCGTACGGTATGCAAACCATCAAGTGCGTGGTCGTTGGCGATGGCGCAGTGGGCAAGACCTGTCTGCTAATATCGTACACAACCAACAAATTTCCATCAGAGTATGTGCCAACTGTATTTGACAATTATGCGGTGACCGTTATGATTGGCGGTGAGCCGTATACGCTGGGACTCTTCGATACCGCTGGACAGGAGGACTACGATCGATTGCGCCCATTGTCATATCCGCAAACGGATGTCTTTCTTGTCTGCTTCTCTGTGGTCAGTCCCAGTTCCTTTGAGAATGTCAAGGAGAAGGTAAGCAAACATTGAGAGAGTGGCAGGGAGCGAGTGTAAGCTATATTAATATCGTCGCTTCTGTCCTTTATTACAGTGGGTGCCAGAGATAACGCACCATTGCCAAAAGACGCCGTTCCTGCTGGTTGGCACACAAATTGATTTGCGCGACGAGACAAGCACGCTGGAGAAACTGGCCAAGAACAAGCAAAAGCCCATCACATCGGAGCAGGGCGAGAAGCTGGCCAAGGAGCTGAAGGCAGTCAAATATGTGGAATGCTCGGCCCTAACACAGAAGGGACTGAAGAACGTGTTCGATGAGGCAATTTTGGCCGCTTTGGAGCCGCCAGAGCCGACCAAGCGGAGGAAATGCAGATTCCTCTAATTCATTTGTTTCCATTTGTTGTTTGTGTTTTTTTTTTGTTTTTTTCGGTTGCTTCTTTTTTTTCTTCTTCGCTCTCAAAGGAAACAAAGAAATCCCATATATAACTATTATGGTATATATATATACGCATATGTATGTAACTCTCTTCCCTGTCTTTTCTCTTTTAAATTGTTTAACAATCTTTTTGCTTTTAAACCAGTGTACGCTCTATCTAAGCCAATCCTTAAAACATTTATGTAAATAAATATATATATATGTATATATATATATATATATATATATATATATATATATATATATATATATATATATTTGCGTATCTAAATTCTTTCTCTCTCTCCCCCACATTAAGATAAAAGAGAAAACAACAATAACAATATAGCAAAACAAATTATTTATATTAAGAGAAGCAAAAGAGAAAAAGAAAAGCAAAACAAAATGAAGAAGAAAACAAACAAAAAAAACAAGAACAAAACTGAAAACCCATGCAAATTTTCATGTTTTGCATAAATATAATTATATATAAATATATATATATATATATATACATATATATATATCAAAAATATGTGCATATGTGGATGTGTGAAAGAACTGTTCACAGCAATAGAAAAATCGGCGAGCAGAGAGACAACAAATATTATATATATATATATATATATATATATAATAAACAATATGTGCATGTCTACCAATTGTTTACACATACACGCAATAAATAACGGTACACAAAATATAACTAAAAACGTATAATAATAATAATAATAAAAAGCTATGCGTAATGTATGCAAAACGCAATTATGTAATAAAAAAAAAAACAAACAAAAAGTAAGAGTATTGAAATATATAAGTAAACGTTGCAAACAGCAACACAAAAATAAAAAAAATGATTAGAAACACAAGAAAATACAAAAAAAAAAACAAAAACAACTAAACTTTATATAAGTATAATCCAAACAAACAAAAGCAAAAGCGAGAAGCGAAAGAGAAAAAAAAACAAAATTGTATTGTAGTTCAGCATAAAAAGAAAATGAAAAACAAAAACAAAAACAAAAAAATGTAGCGGAAGATGAAGAAGAAGACGAAGATGGAAGATGGAAGAACTAATGCATTTTTTAATATTTTTATATGTATACATTATCAATTTTTACATTTTTTTTTTAGACATTAGAAATTTGACATTATTGATTTCAGATAATATAATAAAACAAGAAAGAAAAAAAAAACAAAACAAAACAAATATATATATAATGTAAAAACAAATGAAATGAAGTCAACTTTGGGTCGAAAAATGGGGCGATCTATATGTAAACATATGAATCTATAACTGTGTGATGTATCATTGGATATACAGATATAGCTGCCTCTATGGGGATGTAGCTATATCTGTTTGGGGATGTAAATATATCTATAGCGATGTAGCTATATCGCTATAGGAATGTAGCTGTATGTATGTATTTCCATACAGAGATATAGCTATATATAAAAATATATATCTATGATTAGGTTTTTTCTAACATCGTACGTTTCTAGTTTTGTACGAGTTAGAACGAGATGCCGAACCAAAACCCTTTTTGGATTCAATCAGTATAGTTTATATATTATGTAAATCCAAAATAATAGGGGCTGAATCTATTTTTAGGCCTGCTGGTTGTATTATCCAGTTATTTATAAAAGTTGTCATAGGTCGGGTTTATATTTTTACTCAAGTGGTATAGTATATTTGCCTGCATACGATAAAGCTTGTTGAGTTTTAATGTAAGCCGTACTTGACTCTTCATCAAGTATTGGACTGCTATACTTTTTATTTATACGCCAAGAATTTTATAATATATCGACTCTGATTTTCAATATATAGCTTGAGTGTTTTCTTTGTTTTCTGTTGTTATCGTTAAGGCTTTGTTCTTGACTCTATGACTATGGAAGGTAAAGTACTTAAATGGATATTGCAGCAAGTATGAGCAATGCATGAATCGTACAACTATGTTATATAGTGACTATAGCTTGATTGTTGCTATTTATTGATCAAGTCTACTGGGCTTGGCTCTTTATATATTAACAAATCTTATCAGTTATAGAACTTTTATATTATACAACTACGGATATAGTATATATATATATATATATATATATATATATATATATATATATATATATATATATATATATATATATATATATATATATATATATATATATATATATATATATATATATATATATAATTCTCTTATGTAGAGTACAGTCCATTTGGCTACAGTGTTTTTATCCATTTGCATTTGATGGCCGCCAGTTCCACGTCGGCAACCATCGACTGTTGAAATCCTGCACTGCCTGCTATGTCTATATTGTCAATATCCAGCCGGAGGCTCTGGTCTCGATCTTGAACTAGTTGTTCGATGCCATGCCAGGCAATCATGACTCCATTATCTGAGCAATAGAGCTTCGACGGTCGATAGCAGCGACAATTGTAGGCACTAGCCAAATGATTCAGATTCTCGAAGATGGCATCATTGTTGGCCACACCCCCTGAGACGACAAGTGTGGGCGGCGCAGAACCAAAGAGTTGCCGCTCCAAACAGTATTCCAAAGCGCGCTGTGTGCGATGCATTAGATGACGACTGACGGCATTCTGCAGACCTGCACAGAAATCACGATAGTTGCTAATGATGCCATCTGGGGGTGTTCGCTCCTCCCGCTCCCGTTTGCGAATGGCACGAAAGGAATTGTTCTTGATACCCGCAAAGCTGAAATTGCAATTGCGTTGCTGCGACAATGGCAACGGAAACTCAAACGCCGTTGGGTTTTCGGCATTTCGAGCAGCATGCTCGATGGCCCGACCGCCATTCCACAATCTATACTGAGGCAGCACATAGAGGCGCAGACGTCGTGCAATCTTATCGAATGCCTCTCCTGGTGCATCGTCCAGTGTTTCGCCGAGCAGCGTTAGCCTACCAGGTCCATAAACCATCGCTAACTGACTGTGGCCACCGCTAATGAGCAGGCAAAGATATGGATAACTTATTTCATTTGGATGCTCCATGCGCGCCTGCAACGCATGAGCCTCCATGTGATGTACGGGCAACATGGGCTTACGATGACGCCGTGCCAAATGGCGGGCAAAGCGCAGACCCACAATTAAGCTCAATGGCAGGCCTGGTTGTGTGGTCACCGCAATCCCCGCCAGCTGCTCCGGTTGCAGTTGTGCTTCTTCCAAGCAACGCTCATAAGCAGCTGAAATGCGCGTCCGATGTAGATCCTGAGCACGTGGTGGTATAATGCCTCCGTAGCTAGAAATATGATTGCTTATAAATATATGTTCTTTTTGTTTTCATTTTAAGAAGCATTTGTTACCGCGTGTGAAACTTTTGCTGGGATTCAAGCACATTGGCGTGCACTCGACCTGTTGTATCCACTATGGCTATGCCGGTGTCATCGCAGGACGTTTCGATGCCCAGCATATAGCTGACCAAACGTTTGCCCAATCGACTGGCTGCAGCTGGACATTTAGGTAGTTGCAATGCGGCAGCATACATAACACACGAATTTACCGGCTTTTAAATAAAATAACAACAACACATGGTACATATTGTGCACATCTGGCAGCATTGGCTTCATAAACAGCTGTTTGTGCAGGACTGGACACTATTGCAGTCAAAATCAACTGGCAGCACTGACAGATTGCTCACTTTTGAATTAAAAACAGCTGGTAGCACAAGCTTTTATGCACTGCAAGAAGCAAAATACCATAAGCATCAGGCAATCAAGAAAATAAAATAAAAATAAAAATATTGCATAAATCAACAAAAAACTAAGGTTTCGATTGCTTTTTTTTGCGCATTTTGAGTTTTTTACGTGACAAACATACATGCCAACAAACGCTCATATAGAAGATCTGGCAGCGCTGGCTGTTGTCATATTTCAAAGCGCTTAGCGCTAATTGGCTCTCTCTCTCTCTCTGATTTAAAGATTTCATTTAATTCTGTTTAATACATATTAATTTATTTGTATTTTCGAAACTATATAATAAATAATATTGATTTAATCAGCTTGCAAGTGGAAAAGTGCAGTTTCTAAATAGTTGCATATGCACATTTTGCATACACACCCCAATACACAACACAACACCACACCACACACACCCCCCTAACTGTTATTATGATCTTAGATAAATTTCTATTTTAATATTTTTTGGACTACACACCCCCACATATATATGTGTATGTATATGCACTTGGTAAGTGTTCCAGCATGCGAATACTGGACTCTTTTTGGCCCTATCGCTCGTAGTAGACGCGATAATAAAGCGTTTTGGAACGCCAAATGCTGTAGCTATTGTCAAATTTCAGCAGGTAGACCCCTTCGCCGGGATACGAATGCGAGCCCACATAGACCTCGTTGTAGCACTCGCGCCTATATATTGGCACAATAATGGAAATGGGCGGCTGCGCAGCGGCCGCCGCAGTTTGGGCGGCCAGAGAATTTAGATCCTGCGACAGGGAACCGGACTCCAAATCATCGTTGATCGATAGATAGTCGTCATCTTCACAATCCTTATAGTCATCGCTGTCGCTCACATGCACCGTCACCTCATTGGTAACGGGCTTTGCCCACTCAAAGTATATGCCGAAACCAATATCGTAATTGTCCGTGGCAAACTCCCAGAAGATGCATTTGCCATTCATATTTGTGGGCACTCGCACCTGCACCAGCAAACAAACAAAGACGAATCAGTTCTATAATAAGCATGTGTCATAATATGTAATACGCACCGTTACCGTATCGCCGTGTCCAATAGTAATAACGCCGTCCCCATCACCGGCAGAAACTTCAGTCTTGAACTGTTCGATATCGGGCCGAGTCCAAATTTTGGCAGGACGTATCATCACATAATCCTCGTATTCATCGTTGCCCACTAGCTGCTCCGGCAGCTGTTCTTGCTGCTCCTGCTGTTGGCAGTCAAACGCTTTTAGATGCAGTGTATCCATGGCCTGGACGAGATTCGGATGGCCAGGACTATTGTTGCTGATGCTGCTACCACCGCTGCTGCTGTTATTGTTATTGTTGTTCATGTTGCTGTTGTTGTGCTCCTGCTGCTGCTGCTGCTGCTTGTGCACAATAGTATCCTTGTCCATGTCCTTGTCTTTATCCACTTCTTTCGTCTGCTGCTCCTGTTGATTCAGATTCGATTGCGTTTGATTCTGCAAATGCAATTGCTGCATATATTGATGATAGTGCTCCTGTTGCAGCTGATGGATGAGCACAGCCTGCTGCTCGGGATTGCCAGGAAACTGCTTCTCCGCATACAGCTGTAAAGCAGGCAACAGGCAACAATAGACTTATTAATGAAATTCATATCCTTGAATTTCCCGTTTGTGCTTGACCCCATTTTTTGCTTTTGTGGCTGTGAATGTGACTCTGACCTCATTCGAATCGCTGTCGCCGGCAATTACCATTTATTATTGACGAGGACGCCAAGGACTGGCGGGATGAGTACACAACAGGTGCAAATGTCTGAGTCCACAGAGTCGTGCAGCTACTGACTGTGAAATACCCTTTAAATCATTTCACAAGTGAAAAGGCAGACATTCAATAGACATATATCGTCATTTATAGCTAGCCCATATACTCAACTTAGTCGGAAATGATAGTAGTTCCGCACAGTTGAATCAGTTCATATGACTTGAAACTAGATCATAAACGAAACTTGATCAAATCTTCAAATATATAACTATTTCCTAGTTCGTATCAATTTGTTCGTTCTAGAAACCTGTACTTTTTCTACTTTATCTAATGAGTAATTGATTTTGGCTAGTTTATTGTTCATAACTAGCTCATGTTAAATCAGTTTTCATTCAGTTACGAGCCGAACTTTACAGACATTTGCTTTCAACAATATTGAACAAGCTCAAATACGCAATATATGTAAATTATGCAGACTGCAAAAATATACTCCATATATTGCCTACTAATTAGTTTCGAAGTACTACAGTTGTCACAAACACAGCCGCAAAGGCTGTTATGCCCCTGCATACACGTATTGCGTACGTGGTATTAGAAAATCGATAACGCGTGTCGAGGCAGTTAAAAAATTACCTTAAATTGCTGATACGTTTGCTTGTTGAGTGCGTCCTGTAGCTGACGCCGTTGCAATTCCTCTTTGTAACCCTCCTCGAGCAGCTCCTGCTGCTCGCGTTCGCGCTTCTCGCGCGCCTCCTTCTCTAGCTCCATGCGCCGCAGGTCAGCTTTCAGATTGGCATCGCGATTCTGACGCACCGCCTCGATATAGGGACGAAAGGCACTGCACATTGTGTCCAGCAGATCGATGAAGCCCTCCATTGCCTGCTCCCGTGTGATATCACCCAACAGCTGCCAGTGCTGCTGTCTGTCGCGCCCAATCACGTCCAGAACTCCAAGTGCCGGCGCATGATTCGTATTGAAAGGGCCCAAGGCGGCCTGTTGCTTGAAGGCGATTAACTTGAGATTGTCCTCGTAGGACAGATGAATGGCCTTGCCCGAGTTTTCTGCAAAAAAGAGATGCGTGGAAGCCATAAAAATGCAAACAAATGCCAAGACTCATCGAAATTTTCTGCCTTTACGTTTATAAAAGGTGAAGGCGAGACGATAAAGCTCCAGCAATGGAAATCCCCATTTCTCCAAAGTACTTGTACTGGTAGCTCTGCTTTTATCCATTATAAGTTTATTAAATGTGTGTGTAAAGTCCTTCTAGAAATAATCTTTGGCGCTTCAAAAGTTTTAGCACAGCAGAAAACAAAAATAAATAATAAAATTTGACTGTGTGCGTGTGTGTGTGCGTATGTGGAGAAGTGTATTAGAAGCAAGACATATCGAAATTCGATTAACGTCATTATGAGAATGTAAATCTGCTCATTTTACATAGCAACAATTAGCAGTTAGGGCTAAAATGATTTATTTTTAGCAACAAATACTAAAATTAAATACGTTGCCTAAGAAAAGAGGAAAAAAAATCTATACATCAGTAAAAATATATATCGAGCATTTACGTTCGATGACTGCACGCCCCATCCCTAATTAGAACATATACGAAACAGCTCCTGCTGACGTCAAAAGCGCAATAATCGATATGTGTTCTAAATTAAAATCGTTTTACAGCACTGACCGCCAACAGCTGTGTTGTTTTACCTACACGTGCGCTTATTTTTTTATATTTGAATAATCAGTTTTTTGTTTTATAAAAGCTTAATAAAAATATGGGCGGCACGCGTTTTTTCGTTGCCGACTTGCCGGCGAACACAACAGAAAAGGATCTGCGTGGTCTGTTCCAGGATTATGGCAAGGTTGAGCGTGTGGAACTGAAAGAGAAGGAACAATTCGTTGATTCAGGACAAACAATTGCAAAAGTTATTGCATTTGTGACGCTGCAGACAGAGGATGCCGAATACTGTATGCAGGGGTGGGCGGGAGCTTTTAACTTGAACTAAAATAATAACTGCATTACAATTACAGGTGTTCACGAGCTTAACTGGCAGCGTTTGCATGGCTGTCAGCTAAAGGTGTCGCTGGCCAAGGAATCCTTTTTGGACCGCCTTAAGCGTGAGCGTGAAGAAGAACAAAAGCAGGATCAATCAACTTATAGCGAAGCAAATCAAAGTAGTTCCCGCCTGCTCGCACAAAGCACACAGAACAAACGGCGCGTCTTTGGAGAACACGAGGAGATCAACGATGATGAAGTGGCACCCGAGTTGTTGATAACCAAAAAGCGTGCTGCAAACTCCATGCACAATGGCAAAGTGCGTAATTAACTATATTTAAGATTTGATATGGGCTTAATTCGTTCCTCCTCTTGCAGATTGTCATCCAGCAGGAGCATGATGTGAAGCCGTTGCACATCATAGAACACCACAAGAAACCTAGCACCAAACAGCTAGATGCGAAAGCTTCAATTGCCGATTTAAAGCGCAAAGAGTCGCTGAATAAAATGAAGCAACAGCATCAGCAAAAGAAGTCAGCGATACAGCAAGCGTTGTCCTCCACAGAGGCCCCCAGCGCAAAGCGCATAAAGTTCAGCGATGCTGAAGAGGACGATGAGGTGGAGCCGAAGGAAGTGCAAAATGAGCCAAAAGGCCGAGATCTGTTCGATGATGAAGATGGCGAGGAGCAGGACCAAGAACAGGAGTTTGTACTGCCTCAATACAGCGGCAAAAAGGGCGAACGCTTGGTGGAAATGCAAAGCAAGCAGAGTTTAGATCCCAGATTTCGTATAACAGCCAATTTTGTGGGTGAAGAAGACGACGACAAAGAGCAGGCAGACGAGACCGAGCAATCGGAGAACCCCAAGGACAACGAGCGCGATTGGCAGATGGGCATACTGGAGCAGGTGATTGGACGCAAAATAGACACAGCCAATGCGACAGCCGCAAAGGCAGCCAAAAATAAGAAAATGTTGCGCTACGATCCTGCCAAAGATGAGCACCAGAAGCTGGTGCGTGTCAAGGACAAAGACAAAGTTAAGCAGCAGCCGAAGCAGAAGGATGAAAAGGCGCACACAGAAGAAGAAGGTGCCGGGCCGACGCCCGTCTCACAGAGCGCCTTCTACGTGGTTACAGATACGCTAAAGCAATCGCTGAAGACGCGTGGTGAAGGCTTCAGTCTGTTGGAAATGTTTGGCAGCAGTCATGAGGAAGCGGTTGCCCAGCGACAGGATCAGCTGGAGAAGATTAGCCATGAAAAGATATTGGTTAACAAGTCCAATAAACTAGGCCTGGGTCAAGTGAATCCATTCAGCTACGACTCCTCCGACAGCGAAGATGAGGAGCAACAGCAACAACAGGAAAAGGAGAAGGAGCAGCCACAGGTGGCTAAGGAAAATGAGAAGCCAATCAAACAGAAGCAAAAGAAGGCACACATTTTTATAGAAAGCTTCTTTATACCCAAAAACGATGTCAGACTTAAAGGTATGAATCAAAAGCGTATAAAATGTGCTATTTGTATATCTTTCTATATCTTTACATCTCTTACAGAAGGTGCCAAGTTCTTCAAGTCGAGCAAAGCTGAGCTGGAGAACGATAATTACGACGAGGTTAAAAAGCGTCTTAAATTCCTCATTACCAAGAAAATTGCAAAGACACAAAAGAATCAGCCTGGCAAAGTTGTCAAGAAAAACAAAAATAAAAAGCGAAATAAGTTTTAAGATTTAAGTTTTAATAGATTTTCAATCCAAATGCGTTTGGCGCCTTTGCGAGGGCGAGGGCCATCAAAATATATTTTTCTACCTGAGTGGCAACTCTGTCGATATGCGCTTAACTAATATATCGATAGGCACATGCGTGATTCGTGATATTTACATTAGTGAACCATAACTAAGTGGCAACGTCAAAGTATCAAAAGCAACAGCAGTACTCATTTTTTATTGTATTGAAAAACGTACAAAATTAATGAATAAAAACTATTTTATATTGCAAACTTTACGTTTTCTAAACGAACATTCATATTATTTAGCTGCTGCAAGCAATTTGCATAATCTTGGAAAAACGGGTTTAAAGCTTAAGCCCAAAAACTAGGTGGCAGCGTTCTTGTTGATGTCAGCCATTTTGAAATGATTGCACAAAACTTAAGTACGAAGAAAGTGCAAATAGGTTTTTTTCTTTCAAAATTTTGGTTTTGTGTATTTAACTAAATTTAAAAAAAAATTCGATGTATACATAACATACACACATACATACATATTCATATATGTAACTGCACAAATGCATTTGAGCCCCATTTTAGCTCCAACTTAAATCGAATAAGATTTGCTTGCAAACAAATAAAATTAAAATTACGAGAAAAAAAGTATTAAAAACGCAGACCAAGTAACTAAACTTGCAACTACATATACATACATATGTATACATAGCTGACATGTATGAATGAATTTAAAAAAAAAATTATTTTTGACCACATGCAGAATGATTCGATTATATAGAAAAATAGATATGTATATATATATATATATATATATATATAAATACATATACATATATATAAAAGATTTGGTTGCGTCTATAACTAGAGGATTCATTGCTGCTTAAGCCTAGTTTAATATTTAAATAGTGCTGGCACAAATATTGCCAATATTATATAACTTAGACAAGGTTTTCATTTCCTTAAGGTTTACAATTTTCTCTTTGCTTAAGCACTTGGGGTATATATATATATATATATATATATATATATATATATGTGTGTATTAAGTAAACGTTGCAAAATCTCATTTAGATTCCGAGCCATAGCTCGTCTTTGGCACTGCATTCAATTTGTTTTTGTTTTTGTTCTTTGTTTTACGTTTGATTCGATGCACTCTCTGCTTCTGCTCCTATTTTTACTCCATTTTCTACGTCAACTACTTTTGTCTCTACTGCCACTGCAGTTGCTGCTCCCGTTTCTGGGTCAACTTCGACTCCTGTTGACTCCGCCTCTGACTCCTCTGCCGCAATATCTGCATCTATGACATCGTCCGTTTCCACACATTGAAGAGGCAGTTCTGTTGCTGGAGAAACTGCATCCAAGTCAGTTTTCGTCGCTGTTTCCGTTTCGGTGGCTTTGCTGGCAACTACCGCTTGAGCCTTGCCCGCTGCCAGCTGCTCAATGGCAATGACTGTGCGCTCGAGCAGATTCATGAAACGCTCCTCACGTGCATCCATACGCTTGAGCAGCTCCTCGTCTCGCTTCTCGCGACGCTTTAGATACTCGATTAGCTCGTAGTTGGTGCTATCCCCGTCCGTTGATGTGGACAACTTCCGTTTGCCGCTCTTCAGCGATGCCGATGAACTGCAATCGGATAGATTATCCGTATCCACAATCACATCCGGATGCAGAATATTCTGATCTATGCTCGGCGAGTAAAAGTTCTGAGCACTGCACAAGAGCAAAGAGATAAATTTAAATTAATATTCGTTCGATTTGTCTATTTAACAAACTCTTACCCATTGTAGTTGGTCTGCATTAGCTGTATGTCATCAGGATTGAATTCACCTTCGGAGAGCGGCTCGGATCTGTGTGAATAAAGATACAGATAGGTAATATTTCGAGTGAACTATGTGAAAATCCCAATCAAATTCCAAATTATAAACTCAGGCTCAATAGGAATCAAGGGAAGATCTCAGCTTCATTGATATCATTACAGTGGTTGGTCTATTAGCTGCTGTTCAATCCGTCAATCAATCAATCAACTGTTCTAACTGTTCTAAACGTTAGCAAAAAGAGGCGTTCGCTTCATAATTAACAGAACATAAATATCATTCAAGATAAACATCATCATTTGATCTATTCTATCAATCATCAGTCAGTCGATCAATCAATTAAATGAGAAGTAGATTGATGCATTGTTTTCATTATTCTTACGCATCACAAAGAGTATACTAGAAAGAAAACTAGTTCAGGCTGTCACTCACTCATTCAGTTCGTCAATCAGTCAATCATTCAGACAATTGGTAAGACATCATCGTAAAGAACAACATTTATGCAAAAGTTAGTTAGCTTAAGCGCAATCAATCAGTCAATCATCAATCTAATAACACTTATATAAAACTTAGTTAGCTAAAGCGCAGTCCATCAATCAATCCGCCGGTCCGTCAATCAGTCAATCATTCAAATACGCAGGCGTAATAACTTGTTCTACAAGCTGTTTATCAATCATTCAATCATTTGAATGATGCACTGTTTGTTGGTATCTGCAACACGTCTTCAATCAATCAATCAATCAATTAGCTGAATGAGAATCAATTCATTCACTTCATGCTTGGTTAAAAACTGAAACTACTTTGTAGAATAGAGCTGGCTACAGCTTGCGCTCTACTGCTGCTCTTCAATCAGTACGTCAATCAACCACTTGATTAGGAATCAGCTGGGGAGCCTACTCATCTCATAGACATTATAAAGCTGCCCCAATTACTATGTCAAATGAGAATCGTATAGAAAGGCTACTCACTTCATGGATATGTTATTGTCGTTGCCCGTGCTGCTGTTGTGATGCAAGTTGAGCGGTCCATTGCAATCCTTGTCGAAATCTGAAGCTTCGGGCGGTTCATCGTGCAAGCCATGTCCATGATCCTTAAATGCGGCACTGTGATTGTGACTGTGACTGTGACTGTGATTGTGATTGTGACTGTGGTTGAGACTGTGGCTGAGACTCTGATTGAGACTGTGATTGAGGCTGTGACTGAGACTGTGCTGTGGCTGTTGCTCCTGATCCTGGCCATTTGGTTGCTGCTGCTGCTGTTGTTGCTGCTGTTGTTGTTGCTGCTGCTGCTGCTGTTGCTGTTGCTGCAGTTGGGCAACTGCTGCTGCAGCTGCTGCGACGGCGTTCGCTAAAGGATTGTCATCGTAAACGCCAGCCACGCCCACTTGGCCAACGCCCACCGGCAGCGGTGCATTCGTGCAGGGTCCCTCGCTCAGCTGCGTCTCCACAAAATGATTCGGCATAAAGCCGCGCTCCATCTTGCTGGCCCCACTCTGCGAGGAGTCTGTCGAGTGGGCGTGGCTCAAGCTCTGCAGCAAATTGTGCTGATGGGGCGTCAGAGTGTCCTTGGTTAGCAGTACACCCAGCTCGGCCTGCCTGCGCCGCTGATAGTAGGAGAGCTCATTGTGATTTTTATTGATCAGAGCCAGCCGCTTCCCATTGGAGCCCCAGCACTCGCCCCGCTGCTCCTCGATCTCCTTGAACAGAAACATGTACGGCCAGTTGCGCCGGACGTGCCGTTCCGGATTCTTCTTCAGCTGTGTATAGATCTTCTTCAGATTCTCGTACCGATTGCAACACTGCTTGGCCGTTCGCTTTCGTGCGCTGAACCGGTTCAGCACCTCGGCGACCATTTCCCAAACACTCGCATGATTCTTGCGATTCGATTGGAACGCGCTCTGAATTCTCTCCGACTTGACGATGTTCAGGAGAGCCACCGACTCTGGTACATTGAAATAGCTTTCGGGTGTGCGCGGCGCTCGCTGATGATGATAGCTACTCGTGACAGTAGGCGGGGGATTCTTTGTCTCCTGCAAGACAGACACAGAGAGAGAGAAAGAGAAAGAGCGTGAGTGAGTGAGTGAAAAGAGAGAGATAAAAAAGGGAAAGAGCTTGAAATTGGTGAAAAGCAATTGTGAGCGAAGCCAGAGCGAAACTATACAAAGAGAGAGAGAGAGAGAGAGAGAAAGGGAGAAAAAGACTAGAACTCTATAAAAGAAAGAGACAGAGTATTGAAAAGAATTTGAGATAAGTTAATGTTCAGCTAGGATTAACTTTAAAACAGAGAAAGCGCAATACTCTGATAAGGACTAGGAAATACCCTGTAACCAAAGACAAATTATATAGAGAGTGCTTATGATCATTGTCTCTAGAAATTAGTGATTGTACGACCAAGGAATATTCTGTTGCTGGAGATAAAGTCCACAGACAGGTAAAAAGTCGAGTAGAGAAAGATAAAGAAAGAGAGAGAGAGAGAGAGATAAACAGAGAGCGAAAAAATACAAAAATAGTTTACATATGGGGATAAATATTTAGCTGCTATTTCTCTCCACTTTATATATTTCTATCTCTCTCTCTCTCTCTTTGCTTTGAGGTGAACTTTAAGTTTTACATCCGATCTTACTTAGTCTTCATCTTCGCTTCTATTCTATTCGTTTCTCTTTCTCTCTCTGTCTCTCACTCGCGATCAATTTTGAATAGGCTTAGCAATTTTTTATAATTTATATTGATTAGACATATGTTATGTGATTATGTTACAAGGCATTCAGCAAGTCTGATACCGATTTATCGATAACAATAATAATCGATAAAACCATTACATAAACATACAACTATGTGTACTTCCTCATCAATAGACTCCATTTAAATTGCAACAGGGTATCAGCAGTTAGAAACGGGAACATTGAAAATACGATCATTGTCTGATTTCGAATACGAATCATCAAAGTAAACTAAATGAATTGATATGATCCATGGCTCAGAAATCAACTTGACCCGAACGAAGACCTTCCAACTGATAACCGCTTTAGAGCTCACCCTAAAAACTAAAGTAGATCGACTGGCTTTCATATACCCTAACTGAGCACTGAGAAAAGGGTATACAACTGCAGTTTAATTAAACATACATACATACATATAATGACTACAAATGTAGAGATCACCTGTAATTTTTGGGAAAAACCACTCTGGGAACTTGAAGTGTTACTTGATGCCGCGCGAAATCAGACATAAAACAAAACTTGAACTGAGCTCGTGAATGCCCTTCTGCTGCACCCTCAACTCGAATTGCTGCGCGTCCCCCATTGGTGCAGACAAAATAATGCATTTATACATAACTGTAATTGCATAGCTTTGCCATCTTTATACAAGTGTATAAGTGAGAGAGGGAGAGACGAAGGCAGACAGGCAGGCTAGTTTGGCTAGGAGTTTGCATTCGGCATTCTCGCATTGCGATCGTGCATAACAGAGAGAGAAAGAGAGAGTGCGACAGCCGAGCTATTTGCTCGAGCTGTCTCTCGCTCTCTCCATAGAGATTTGCTCTTCAATGTTGTTCTTTTGCTAGGTGCTTTACTTACCATTTGAAAATTTTGTTTGAGTCAGCAACTTATTTCACAGAAGCGACGGCGTCGACGTCAGTTGCTACGCTGCAGCAGCAGCAGCGAGCGTTTTGTGCTGAGAAAGCGTTACGCGAAGATTCTCGCGCTGTTCTCTATTCTAACTTAGTATCCGTTTTGGAGTCTTCTTCTTTGTTGGCAACGTTAGCATTACAAAAACAAAAACAAAAAATGAAAAAGGAACCAAAACAAAAAAACAAAAAAAAGATGAGAAACAGAAAAACCGTTTAAAAATAACGCACTTCTAATTGGTGTGTACACACTGTAAGTATTGCATATGCTAACGCATACAAATGTAAATGCACGCTGCGAACATGCATGCATTTGCGTGCGCGCGCGTGTGTGTGTAAGCACTTAGCTAAGGCAGCAGAAATACAAAAAAAGTACACTTGAATTGCTTGTACATTTGGTTTCTTTTCTCCCAATGTTTTATTTTAAATTTTTAATTTTTGTTGTTGGATGGTCTGTTTTGTTTATGTATATATATTTTTTCGTCGACAGCGACGACTATTAATATTTAGAAGTTAACCTTTTAGCCCCGCGTTGCGGCTCATCGGCTACAGTTGAAAAAAGCGCGACACAAAAACAAAAATAAAAGTAAAACACAAAATTATATACACATACATACGTATGTATGTATAAACATGCATTTGTATGTGTGTGTTGATACAATGTGCACATGTGTGTAGTCAAAGCGAATATAACTGACTGCGGCGCTAGTTCTTTATGTTGTTGTTGCTTTGTTTTTGTTTTGCATATTTTGTATTTGTTTTTGTTTCTCCGTTGTTTCCTTTGCGCATTATTGTGAGCATGAGCACGAGCACGAGACGCTCACGCACGCTCACTGGCCAATGGTTAATTCTTGCACTTGCACTTTGTTGCACTTTTTTTAATACATTGTGTGATCCAGTGCTCTCTGTTTGGCGCACGTTCTCTCACTCTTCCTCTCGCTCACTCTCTCGTCTTACTTTTTGTTTTCTTATTGGTTTGCCGTTTACAGCTACCTAGTATGTATTATACGTATGAACAACCATACGCACACTCCCACTCACACACACACGCACACATATGAATGCTTATATTGGCGCGGCCGTGCCAAATATCCGTTTTTGTGGGCTTTGCAATTGAACTAACCAACACTAAAATAACTAAACGAAACGTTAAGCAAAGCAGCAAACAAACGGACAACGAAAATGAAACTGAACTTTTCGTCGCGATCCCGTTGCCGATACTAACGGCAGTCACAGACACAGACACACATTGTGCCAAGTTCTGCTACGATCGTTAGGCAGACGGACGACGCTCGCGCTCGTCGCTGCTGCTGCTGCTGCTCCTCGGAACTGTGTGCCTCGTTCTTCTTCTTCTTGTTCTTGCTGCTGCTGTTGTTGTTGTTGGCCTGTGCTTTAACTTAGTAGATTGTGATGGCAGTGTTGGTAGCGACGGTGGCAGCGGCACCGGCAGAGGCGCCGCGCTCTCACTTTTTCACATGTGTTCAAATGTCTCAAGTGTGTGTGTGTAAATATACATAAATACATATGTATGTCTACTTATAGAATCGAACGTAGAGACAACGCCAGCAGCACGGCAGCAGAGCAACGGGAATAGCGACAGTTAACTGATGCGCCCGGCCTATGGCGATTCTGATTCTGATTCTGATTTCGATTTCGATTTCGAATCCAACAGTCGAGCCAAGGAATTACACACGCATGCAAACAGTTGTGCTCAAGTGTATGTGTGTGTGCTTTACTCTCTGGGGGCATGGTGAATGCTGCTGCAGGCAAAAGGAATCTATGGGCATATTACTGTGCAACAGCAACAGCAGCAGCAGCAGCGAGTGGGAAAAATCGTAGACTATAAATAGATACAAGTATGCTCGATATGTGTGCATATGTACATACTTCATATACATTTGTACTATATGTATATGTTCTATATATACAAGTGTATGCGTGTGTGTGTGTGTGATTGTGTGCATATGCACCCCAAAGAAGCGGTTGATGATCTCTCACTGAACTAAAAAAACAGATACTGTTAATGTAATATGAAAGAACTCTCTATACAACACGTTAATAACTATTTTACCACTGAAACTATTCATATGATAACTCAATTAGCCTATAAAGATCTAATTGACTATAAAACAAAACTTGGGGTAGAATGATCAATGAATGATCAAGGAATTCATATTTAATGGAAATGTAAACTATGTATTATAGAAGTCGATAAAGAATCAATAATGAAACTTAAAAACAGTGAATAAAGATAGATGTCTATTATTATTATTTGAGAATATTACGCGACCATTTTATTTATAGATTTCTATAGTGAATTTACTCAACAAATTTCGGATATACAATAGATATAAAGTAAGTAAATAAAGATAATATATTAGCTATGTTAAAAGAAATAAGATGTATCTATATTTCTTTAAAATTACGAATAATGAATGAAAAATAATGAATCATTAATGAAGAGTAACGACTGAAGAGGCATAAGGAATGCTCAATAAATTGTGAATGATGATTGAAGAATCCTGAATGAAGAATAGAAGATGATGAATGATGAATGAATGAAAATAAAGAATGAAAAATAATAATAAAAAGAAGAATGTAGATTCATGAAGGAGGATTGGAAAATAATGAATGATGAAATGCAGGTAACGATGAGTGATGAATAATGAATAAACAATCATGAATGAAGAATGACGAACAGTGAATAAAGAATGCAGGATCGCCAATAAAGATTGAATAATCGTGAATGAAGAATGGAAAAACATTATTTTTTCAATTGATTATCCGATTTGCTTCGCTCCGCTCCGCTGGGGTTGTGACTCGCCGCGATTCGTAACCCCAGTTGGTTTATTCTAGAATTATTTAAGGTACATTCGATTTTGATTTCGATTTCGATATCTAACTGTGAATTGAGCCGCTGCTTAAAGGTTGATCTATAAAATATGCTAAGAATATGCGCACGGTTGTTTTTTCTGTGATTCTTTATTTCTACTTCTTCAATCGTCTAAGTCAAACAGCGCTTGACCTCTGACCCAATATCCAATTGAAGCTTTTCGATTCGATTCGATTTCGATTTCGATTCGTGACTATTTCGAACCAAAATCGTAGTTTTCATTGCATCTATATATGTAGATCGTCTTCTATTTGTAATCCAAAACAAATGAATCTGTATCTGTATCTCTAAGTATATTTGTATCTGTAACTGCAGATGTTCCCGCATCTGTATCTTCCGCAGTAGCCTTAAATGTAGCTATAAGTGTATCTGGATCTGGATCTGTTGCCGTATGTGATTCACTTTACGAGCTCTCGTGCCCACTCTCTTTTCATTTTGATATTTTTGGTACAGCTGCTGGAGCCGCGCTGTAAATGTTTTTCATGCCGTTATTCTTATTCGTGGCGGATGCCTCAAAGCGAACGAAAGAAAACAAGTAACAAGAAACTATCGATGGGGAGGGATCGACTAGCTAAATACTTCGTAAATAACGAGGAAAAAGCGAGAGCGAGCGAGAAAGACACAGAGAATGATGGAGAGGGAGAAAGTGACAGAGAGAGAGAAGACATCGACAGAGAGAGAGAGAGAGAGAGAGAGAGAGAAAGAGAGAAAGAGAGCGAGAGAGAGAGAGAAGGATAAAGAGAGAGAGAGAGAAAAGAGAAGGCAGAAATAATATATGTTAGATCCAAATTTATCAACTCATCCCAGAGGCCTGTATAGATACATGGCAAAACGTATATATCCTGCTCGTAACCATTTTTAGTGAGTGCAGGGTATAAAAATAAACCAAATCGCTTTCAATGCCCCTTCATACACACTCACGTACACATACACACACACACACAGACAGACAGACGAAAATAATGTGAGTTGTGAAGAGTACTTTGGATGGTCTCTCGCCTAGTTACGATTGGGCAGCAGCATTCGGGGTTATCTTCGACTCAATAATGGAAGACAAAACACTAAAAACCAACTACGCCCTCATGCATCGACTGGCATATATGAATGTACAGATATATATATATATATATATATATATTTAATATATCATCACTATAATATAGTAATGTGTAACATTTTATGTGTCTCACTTCCATAGAGAAATTTCCCTTGAAATTTAAGATAATTTACATTAAACTTTACAAATAAAAAGATACATAGATACATAGATGGGTCAATATATATCATAGGCCTATTTGTAAAAGGAAGCTTACCTTTATAATTGCTTGAGCTCTAAAAATTTAGCAAATCAAGGTTTTATTTTTCAGTAGGTAGACGGGCGTTCGGACAGACGGGTGAACTGAAAGACGCAAAGATGGACAGACAAAATGTCGAACGGACGGAAAGACGAACGACAGACGTACTGAAAGATAGAATGACAAGCTAAGGTGCGGTGTAATGGAAAGAAAGACAGAAAGACAACCGGACAGACAAAAGAATGGACGGAGACAGAAAGACCAAAACGATGGCGACCCGAACGAATAGACGGACGCAAAGACAGATATAAGAGTGAACGAACGGACATGGATCACAGCAGTCAGACAGAAGGTAAGATAGACGAAAGGACACGCAAATGAACGAGCATTGCCAAAAGCTAATATACTTGATGCACACCAAAAAAGAGGAGAATTAAAAAAAAACCTTTATAAACTTGATATTTGGAAATCTGCGCAAAATAAGATATGAAATCTATATTTTTTGCGTAGTTAAAAAAAAACACAAGCAAATCCAAAAGTAAATGCTTATAGATGGATATATATATATATATATATATATATATATATATATATACATATATATATATATATATATATATATATATATATATATATATATATATATATATATATATATATATATACATATATATATATGACAGATATGTGCATGTATCTAAAGAGCTACTTGTTACAATAAATAGAGCTCTCTATACTCGGTTCGAGAGTATGTATGATCGATATATTTTCATTTTATAGCTATTGTCTTTGCATCTGTGTCTGCTTCTGTTTCTGTTCCTTCTCTTACTTTTCATCATCATCATCTTCTTCTTCTTATATATCGCTGTATTTTCATATATTTTCCCCCAGTTGTTTTTCTTTTTATTTTCAGTTGGTTTTCTTTTATTTCTTTTTTTTTGTGCTGTTTTGAAAGAAAATGAGTACAAGAGTTATTTTTAGAATATATTTTCTTTCTGATTTTTTACTCGTTAACATTTGCCTTACTCTTCGTTTTTCGTAGTAGTTGCTCTTGTTGTTGTCGCTGTTGTCATCATCATCATCATCATTGTTGTTTTTGTTGTAGCTGGTGACTGTATCTGTGGGGGCCTTTGCTTTGGCTTGTTTGTCTCGTAGTTGGATTTTAGGATTTGCTTAAGTAACATTAGTTTTCTATATATACATACGCACACACATATACACATACATATACATAGATGTGACGAATTGGAGGAGCCATTTACAGCATGCGAGCGGGGTTGGCTTCAACAGCGGCAGCGGAGAGAACGAGAGAGTGAACGAACGTTGGGTCTGGGCAAACGAGACGCTCAATAAGATTTATAGTTGCTATTTTTAAATACTGGCATATTAACAACCGTAGGGATCGTGCGCACACACATAGAGACACTCACACACATATGTATAAAATAGTACACTTGATATATAAGTAGCACACATGCATATATGCATGCTTATATATGTATGTATGCATGTATACAGATGGCTGGCATTCAATTTGCGCTCAACGTTTTGTATTTGTACATGCATTCAAAAGCAAGTAAGTGTAAAAGTATAGGTCAATGCTCGACACATAGCTGCCCTGTAATGTTAGCTGTGCTGCAGTAATTTCAATGAGTTGAAGATTTTACATTTTTATATATATTTTTTGGTTTTTTTTTGCAAAATATTAATTTATTAATTTATTATTTATTATCCATATCTGCCCATCAGACTCAGTAACTGCTATAGTTTTTAATATTTGTTACAAATATTAGTGCGTATTAGCCTTTCTAGACTTTTATCAGGGTAAAAAGTTCGTAAATTTGGAAATAGTTACAGGTTTTAAATAAATAAGCTGAGATATCCAATACGCTCTTCTTGTCTTCGGCAAACAGAGTATACAAAATTGTTAGAGTTGTAAAATTTGTGAGGTTTATTGAACCCGGAAAATGCGCACAAAAATGTGTGTAAAAGCTAAAACAGTTAATGAGAGAGCTTAATGGAGAGTAAAAGAGAGTGAGCGTGAGTGTGTACGTGCGTGTGCGTGATAGAGAGCGGGAGCAATTAGAAAGGAGGCATTTACAATGCAGATATAAATAAATGAATGGGTCAAATGCAAAGCGCCATCTAGCGTGCAGCAGCAACACACACACAAAGTGCATGCTTTGGCCACAAGGACGCAAGAACTGTCGCATAATTAACCCTGAAATTGGCTGCGCAAAACAACTGATACAAATACATACATACACGCATGGAGTGTGCAAAAGCTTGAAAATCGAATTGAATAATATGTTGAGGTGAGACTCCCAAACTTGATAACAGGTGTGCTTGCCGCCTTATGACACATACGCCAACATTTTGCATAGCCTTGAAGGGTGAGCCAATATAAAGAAAGTGAAAGTACATATAAAGTGTGTGTGTCTGTGTGTGTTCGCAAGGGCGCAAATTTGACGCTTGTGCGTCTGCGCGATTGGCCGCTGCATTTGCCGTTGCCTACTTTCGAGCGTCGCTTCTGCTTTTGCGGAAGGATGTGCGAGAGTAAGCGAGAGGGAGAGTTTGCACACCGCATACAAACAACAACAGCAAGCAACTCTGTTATAGATACATACATATGCACGTGTATGTTTATGTGCGTGGGCGCGCGTGTGTGTGGATGGAAGTCGAAAAGCTTTGCTTGGCTGGAGTTGCCAGATCCTGCCGTTTGGTCACGCCGAAGCATGTATGTGGCCGCCGCAACGGGTCTGGCAACAACTTGTTAAGCAGCGCGCAACAAACTTCGCGCTCTCGCTCGCACACGCACAGCTGAAGCTGCAAAGGGCAGCAGCGAAAGCTTTTTCGTTCTTTCTCTCTTCCATTTTGTCTATTTTGTGTGTATGTGTGTGTGTGTGTGAAACGCCAAAAGGAACTGTATAGGAAGAAGCAGCACCAGCAGCAGCACTCGCCGCAGCAGCAGAAGCCAACAACGACTCTAACGGAACTGAAACGCGTATCTTTTTTTCCTCGAACGAAAAACGTACAGAAAGAAGAAAAAAGGAAAAAGAAAGTTATATACACAGGCAAAGACTGCAATCATTCATTCACAGTTCGAGTCCGGAGTCCTGCTCAAACTGTAGCTAAAAAAATTCGCGCGTGCTGAAAAAAATACAAAATAGAAGGAAAAATATATTCGCATAGAAATAATTAGAAGTAAATTGCGTTTTGCTGCACGCGCACTGGAATTTTTTTTATACCTGTAACTGGTTTTGTTTTTTTTTCTTTTCGTGTAATTGTGTATGTGTTAGAGTGATTGCTCTTTTTTTTGTGAATGCTTTTTGTCAATTATTCGCAACAGTGAACGCATGTATGTGTGTGAGTGTGTCTGCAATTACTGCATTTGCATTCCTGCTTAATGTGATTGTGTGTGTGCGTGTGTGAGCCACGTGAATCAAATGCGCGCAACAACACCAAGCACATAGACAAATTTCGACACACACACTCACATACAACAAATGCTAAGGCACAAAAAGTGACAAAAGTGAAGCGGGGTCCGAATTTGGGCAGTAGGGCAGCTGCGTCAGCGTCGACGTCGATGTCGGCGTCGTTGCTAACTTCGCTGCTGCTGTTGCCTTTTTCGCCGTTCGTGAAACTGAAAGTGAAAGTGAATTTTGTGGTATAGCGTGTGTGTGTGCAGGAAATTGAAATTGAAATTAAAATTTGCAGCGGTGAATGGCAAAAAATAACAACAACAACCGCAGCAGCAGCAGCAACAAATAGCTTTAAAACTGTTGAATATAGAATGACGTTGCAGACAAAAATCAATGTAAAATATAAAGCGATAAAAGCAACAGCAGCAGCAACAGCAACAACAACAACAACAAGCGCCCGTCTGCGCCGCCGTTGACACGCACGCACCCATACAAACAAAGCAGACAGCTAGACACTAAGACAGCACACGCAAGTACAAAAAACACGCACACACACATAAACACACACGTACATACACAGGGCAGTTAGGCCTAGTGCTGCGTGGGCGCAAAAAGGAGCAGCAAATACAAATTGTGCACAAAAAACAACAAGCAGCATAGCGCAACAGCGAGAAGGAGCAGCGACAGCGACAGCAGCAGCGCAGCAACAGAGCTGATTAAAGCTGTGCATTAAAAGTTAAACAAAAACATTTGCGAACACAAAAAAGTGCCATTCACACACAATGAAGCCATCAGACTTGCTGCTGGTGTTGCAAAAGGTAAGCAAAGAAAAAACAAGACTAAAAAAATGCACAGCGAATTGCGCTGAATAGTGACACTTGTCACGCGGCGAAAAATGGCGTAGACAAATGAAGCATTTGCCTAGGCGAATTTGCTGTTAAATGGGTATTATAATAAACGCCCACACACACACGCAAGCTAGGGCTTACATGTGTATGCATGTGTGTGTGTGTGTGGACTTATGCAAATCCATTTTGACTGCGAAGTCTCGCTGCTCACACACACACATTCACACACATGCACAAAAGCTAGTACGTGGCATGTACGACAACGACGACGACGACGTTAAAGCCGAAGCGAAAAAAAAACAAAAAAAAAAGAAAAAAGAAAAATAAAAAAACACCCTGTGGGAGCAAGCGGATCGGGGTTAGGGTATGCGAGCAACAGCGAGTGGGTGGATAAGGAGGAGGTGTGGTTGAGTGCTTGTATGGGAGTTTCAGCGTTTTGGCTCCGTTGGGTGTTATCTTTATGGCTGCGCTCAACCGTGTTGCCCAGTTACCCAGTTTTTACAGTCCCCCAAACGCACAGAACGTATATATTTATATAGCCCCCGCTGTATACATATACTATATAGTATGGTATATATATATATATATATATATATTCTATATACTCGTACATATGTCCACTTTGGCCAGCCAGTGGGTCGGTGGCTCTTACACTTCTTTTTTTAATGGCCCACTCTAGAAAGCTATTACTAACAACAACAGAGAGCAGCAGGAAGTAGAAGAAGCAGCGGCGATAGAGTTGACCAACTGCCAACCGATTTGGTGCAGTGTATCACAAGTTGTGCGAACTTGCTGAGCTGAAAGCGGAAAAGTTTTGATAGTTACTCAGCAAGTAACAAAAATAATTATATGAAATATTATATGTATCTATGAAGCATTTGCAACAGTTTCGCACTTGTTTTACATAGTTTCACAGCGATTTCGCACAATTATGGATAGAGTATTCTAAGAGATCGTTTTCAGCAAAAAAAAAAAAAAAATACAAAATTCTATTTAGCTAAATTAATCATCAATTAGATCAGTCAGTCAATCAGTTTAATGAAAAGCAGATAGAGGTATAAAAGGGCATTTGGATTTGAATCTCAATCTGTATATCAACCACTAAATCAGTCCGTCGTTACTTCAATCAGGCAATCATGTATAGAGTCAAAAGGAAAGGTCTTCATAGATGCGGTTATAAAAAGCATATACCAGTTTGATAGTCATTCAGTCAACTAGTCAATCAGTCAATCATTCAATCTATCAGTCAGTTAGATTTATTTATATGTTATATAAATTGCTTTCCATGCGCATTCCATGCTTAGACAATATTATTCAATGACCTACTCTTGCTTTACTTAATTTTCCTTTGTTGTTTGTATAACAATAACTGACAGCTGATTTTTATCAGTGTAGGACACAGCTCTGGGGAAAACTCTGGCAAACTGTTAACAGTTGCTCAACAAGTAACAAAAGAGTTCAAAATGTCCATGTAGCTGTGTGTGAGTGTGTATGAGTGTGTGTGTGTTTATATACGTATGTGTGTGATGCTATTCTCTAAATATCACTCATACGCACATTACTCATACGCCCCACTGGTCCGTCACAAATCGAAAATAGAATAGCATTTTGGACCAGCAGAAAAGAAAACAATAAAAGTAAAAATGAAAAGAAAATGTATGCAAGCAGGGTATATCTGTTTAATTTGACATGTTTGCTTGATGTATTTATAAATGCTTAAGTTTTATTCGCAATTCCATTAGAGCCAAACCAAATATTTATGAACTTGAACGAGCGAGTCCTACAAGCTGTGATTAAGTTTAAAAATAGCGAAGCAGAAAAGTCTAAAAGTAAACTTTGCAAACACTTTTCAACACTGCTCGGAAAACCTGAGCAAGAAAATTCTCGCCTTAATTCTCTTTTCAACTTTGGTTGTCGGTTCCATAATGAGCTTATCATTAAGCAAGTATTATTCTAGCTTATGTGTAAGCTTCACGAAGGATGCACTTAAAAGCCCCATCCCACCCACTTGCTCTCCCTCTCTATCCATCTCTCTCGTTCCGCAATTAGCTTGTAACTTAATCTGCATCAGCAAAAAGGTAGAGAAAATGCGACAAGTTTTATCTGCCGTAGAATAAATAGTTAGCTGCTTAAGTACTCAACAATAATCAGGCCATTGAAAATAAATTTGTATATTTAATGCGCGCTTCACAGAGTGTGGATTAGGGCATATTAGTTTCTTAGTCTGAGCTGTCTGCTGGAGTCCTTTTGTGTTCGTTTGGCTTTTCTTTTCCATTTTTTTGAGGCTTACTGTCTGGTGCTTTAAGGTGGCTTTTTAGCAATTTTTCATTTTACTTTTCCGTGCTTTTCCTCGTTTAGTTTAGTTTAGTTTAGTTTAGTTTCTCCTTGACTCTTATATCTAGCTGTTTTTCGCCTTTTCTACCTTCAGCTGACCTTTTCTATCTGCTGCTAGTGCATTCCAAAGTCATCGAATAGGGCTCGCAGCTCATTTGACGTTAGCCTTGAGCTGCTTGGCTTGAATTGAGTTTCCAGTTGATGGCATCTGATGAGCAGCAATGCGGGTACAGCGCGTGGTATGGTGTCGTGACGAAGGTGCAGGGTGAGGGGGCAGCGGGCAAGGGGCAAAGGGAAAGGGTGTCATCCTTCACGAGCAGCCGGCAGATGACAAACAAAGCGTCTGCTCGTCTCTTATTTGCCATTCAGATCTGGTTCTGGGTATGCGGCTGCGGCTACGGCTGTAGCTGCTGTTGATGTTGATGTTGATGTTGTCACTGTTCTGCTGCTGCCATCAACTCCCACCCACACCCATTACACCGCCTACACCACCTACAACGTCCAACCGTAGCACATCTCGGCTCTGGTGACCTTTTTGCTTTGCAGCACCATTAATAACAGCCACTTCAATAGGGCAGGAGGAGCAGGGCAGAGGCTGAAAGGAGAGACAAAAGGAGAGCAAGTGCTTGTTGCATTTGCCAGAGCCAGGAGATAGCATAGGAGTGGGAGTGGGAATAGGAGTCGGCGTACGAGTTCCAATGGGGAAGGTTGCTGTTTAGCATAGCAATGAAGTGGTTATATAACAAGCTCGAGCGGCAGCGCCACCAGCCACGCCCACAGCTGCAAAACACTGAGCTAAGTCTAAAAATATGCGCACAGCTATGCATATGCTTATACACTGAGCAAAATCAGGTGAAGAAAGAACTTTTTTTTACCTAAGATTGATATTTTTTGAAGCGAAAATATTATAGATATAACAAACATATATTACAAAGTAGATATTACTTATGCACATATATACAACTCTATAAATAACTACACTTTTTCGTCGAGTGTATATATGTATATATAGATATGTCCTTTGGCGAGCTGCTGCTGCTGCGTAGGCCGCAGAAAACTTGTTGCAAATATCGATTCACGCTCTGGCTCAAAGCCTTGCGCGGCCTGCGAGGAGGGGGTATGGAGGGGTGGGCGGCTTTTGGGCTTCGTGTGACTGCGGGCCTGTTGCAGGCATTTTCAATTTACGCTTTGGCATTGAGCGCACTCGACTTTTAACAGCTTCCTTTTTGCTTTTCATATTTCATTTCTCATATTTTTTTGTTCTTCTTTAATATTTGATTGCCTCGCATCACTTGAATGCCACTTTTAGCTTTTATCATGTAAGTATATATGTGTATATATACATATATATATATATATACATATATATATTGTCATTGACGTCGACTTCACCAGGATGTCAATTTATTGAATTATTGTGAGCAACTGCTGCTGCTGCTGCTGTTACTATTTTTACTACAGCTTCTAATTTATTTTTCTCCTTCTCTTTCTGCTTCTGATGCTACTTCCTCTTCCTCTTCCACTTCCTCATTTACATCTATGCTGCTTCTGCCTCTTGTCGTTTCGCCATCGATTCGGGCAGGTCAAGTTCAGGTTGCCCTTGCCGCCGGGCGTTAGCTCCACAACTCTCCTGCCGAAGCTAATACGCACCAAGGATGTAAAGCAGCTGCAGGACGGCAATGCACAGCCCACAAAGCCCAAGCTAACGGTAAGTGAATAGAAAATGTGTACAATTAATAACACTAGAATTAACAAGTACACAACATAACCAAGTTTAAATATATCTTCAAAGAGAGTTTTCTCTCCTCACAATATTATAGATATAGCTCTTTAAGGCATCTAGCATATATTCCTGATCAGTATTGTATAGTTTATATATATATATATATATATATATATATATATGTTTGAGTTTATAATTACTTTTTACTGATACTCTAAAGTCATATAACTAATATCGATGAGAATCGATAAGTCGATAACTACAGAACAATATGCATATCTTGAGTAGAATATGATCAAATTCCTTGTAACAGAATTGGTCATAAAAACACTTGATTTTTATTTGAAACTCATTTTTGTATATCGATTTATAAGCAAAAATCGATAGCTTTACATGTTGCAGCTATTAAATTTAATATATACGGAAATATTTAACATTTAAGCTTCACTGAAAGTTATCGATTTTATAGTTAATTTTGTGTGACAGAAAGTTGTGACACTTATACTGTCGTAGGAACCTTTTAATAGGCGTAGGGATTATGCTTGTCAGCACCCAAAAGTATGCAATAAAAGATTACAATTCAAGAAATTCGATACGATCTGCCATATCCAATATAGGGCACATTAATTGGCCTGGAGATAGAATTCTAAGCACTTCTTTCTCCTCTTGTTCTATTTCTAACTGTTCTATCCATTCGATAGAAATGTCTAAATACCCTGGATCTGACATCCTTGGGCATTGGGTCATGTTGTGGCACTGGCATGTACCTTGTGGCGGGCCTGGTGGCCCAGAAGATGGCTGGCCCCGGTGTGGTGATTAGTTTTATTATAGCCGCCATAGCGAGCATATTCTCAGGTAAGTCCCAAATACAAATCTAACTAAAGGCATTACCGATATATATATATATATATATATATCTGTATACACATTACTTTTAGGCGCTTGCTATGCGGAATTTGGCGTTCGAGTGCCACACACTTCCGGCTCGGCCTATATGTATTCATATGTGGCAGTTGGAGAATTTGTAGCTTTTATAATTGGTTGGAACATGATATTGGAATATCTAATAGGTAAGTCTAAACAGCACCAAGTACAGGGGCTACGTAGGTCATTTATCCCATTTTATTCCAGGAACAAGTGCCTGTGCATGTGCATTAAGCTCAAGTTTTGATTCATTGACGGGCAATGCCATTGCGACTGCGATGAGTGAGTCTATTGGCACCATATTTGGTAAGTGTACAGTGAATACTCAGCCGAGCGAACTTGGCATCAGTGAGCGCAAAAAAAAAAACACATTTTAACGCAATTTTTATTACCTATACAACTATTTATGTAGTTGATTGATGGATTGATTGCCTGACATATGGATAGAAATGTTACAAACTCGAATAATTAAATAGAATTATTTTTTTTTGTGTTCAAATTTGATTATACTTGTTATATATATAATACAGAATAGACAGATTGATTGATTGATTGATTCACGGGCAGAGTAACACGAATTATATATAGCTGATTTAACTTTCGTATGTTGGTTTTCTTTCAGGCAAACCACCTGACTTTATAGCCTTTGGCATAACGCTCATCATGACCAGCGTTTTGGCGATGGGTGCCAGTAAATCAGTCATCTTCAATCATACCCTAAACGCCATCAATCTGGCCACGTGGGTGTTCGTTATGGCCGCAGGGCTCTTTTACGTTGATACGAAAACGTGGTCGGAGCATCAAGGCTTTCTGCCCTATGGCTGGAGTGGCGTAAGTAGCACCTAATCCCATGAATATTCTATTTTATGTATATATCAATATATGTTCTTTATATATTCAGGTTTTCTCGGGTGCCGCAACCTGTTTCTATGCATTTATTGGTTTCGATATCATCGCAACCACCGGCGAGGAGGCTCACAATCCGCAAAAGAGCATACCGAAGGCAATTGTTGGCTCCCTCATCGTTGTCCTCATTGCCTATGTCAGCGTTAGTCTAGTCCTTACTTTAGTCGGTAAGTAAAAATTTGGTCAAAGCTAACTTTATTGATAAGTAAAGCTGCCAAGGTGCCTTGTTCTTGTCCTTAAAACTATCTACAACGCTTTCTTTAACGCTTGTCAACTTGTTAGTCAATTTTTTATCGATATCATCAAGCATTACGATCGATAAGTATCGTTTTTTATATTGCTCGTTGAAGGAATAACTTTTTAGAGCTGCAATATCTAGAGACTTCAAATGGCATGTAGGCTCTGTGAAAGGATGAAGTTAGTAGGTTTTCGAGGCATAAATCGATAACTATAAGAACTCTCTCTCTCTCTCTCTTTCTCTTTCACTCACTCGCTCTCTCTCACTCTTCTCTCTCTATCTATTTGTCTGTTGCAGTGCCATATGATCACATCAATGTGGGCGCAGCGCTGGTGCAGATGTGGTCCTATGTGAATGCGCCCAAGTGTCGTGCCGTGGTTGCAGTGGGAGCCACGGCTGGTCTCTCTGTGGCAATGTTCGGTTCGATGTTTCCGATGCCGCGCGTCATCTATGCCATGGCTCAGGATGGCTTGATATTCAGGTGAGTTGTCGCTAAGGTTTGGCTTGCATTGTTGGTTAACTTGTGCTTTATTTTAGGCAATTGTCGCATCTGTGGCAGCGCACAAATGTGCCCGGCTTGGCGACGCTGGGCAGCGGACTGGCCGCCGCGCTGGTTGCCCTAACCGTGCGCCTGGACATACTAGTGGAGATGATGTCGATTGGTACGCTGCTGGCCTACACCTTAGTGTCTACCTGTGTGCTGGTGTTGCGCTATCAGCCGCATAGTACGTCGCTGGTGGAGCTGTTGCCGGCACAGTTGCGCACGCCTTTGGCACCGGGCACCGCCACTGATCCGCATGCTCGTCCTTCGGAGGTCCTCGAGCCGACAAAGCTAACGATTAAGCGTGTGACGCGCGGCATGTCCGATTCGGATGATTCGTTCATCGATGACAGTCCGGAGGGCTATTTGGGTGGACGGGATGATCAGTTTTTGGTGTCGGATCGTTCCGAGAATAAGTTCTATGGCAGCGTCCATGGTGCCCCGACCGGACCCACTGGACAGGCCACAGCCTTTGATACGATGGGCCTTAATTTTATAACGCGCAAAATACATGACTATGCGTACCTGTGCCCCGGTTTCTTTCCCTGGGTGAATCCCGGTCAGGCGACCTCTGAAAGTGGTATGTTACAGGGTATACTCGCTCTGCTATCTACCCTATCTTCCTCTGTTCCTTTCTTCCTCTCTCTCTGTCTCTCTTCCTCTCTCTGTCTTCCTCTATCTTTTCGTATTCGATTTCGAAATTCAATGTTCAATATTCTCGTTGCTCTTTTGCTTTCTCTCATTTCGTTTTGATTTTTGCTCCCGATGACATCGCGACTTCGAAATTGTTTACGAATCTGAAATCCGTAATTTGAAATTCGACCGCATACCAGGCATGTATGTCACGAAACTAGTTGGAATCATGTTCGGTCTCATATTCTTCTTGGATTTGTTCGCGGCCATCGGTTGGTCCGGCGGCCTCGCCATCTTCATTTATATCATTTTATTTATCGGCATATTTGTGATATTATTGATTATATCGAGACAACCACAGAATAGGTAAAGCCAATAGTAAACAAAATATATCCTATCGATAACTTTGCAGAGATAACTTTTTGGTCAGGAAATCGTGCACTTTAAGAAGAAGAACTTTTTGCCCGGTTATTCATTTAGCTTTTCAATCGATAAATATCGATTATCAGCATACGTACATTTACTCTTACCCAAATTTGTCAGATTCCATGTGCATATGAGCATGTGTGTATCAGTCTCCATGCTTTGAATATCAACAAATAGCATGTCTACTATCGATAAATATCGGTTTTAAGATATGTTCTTTTGGCATAATCTGGAAATGATAAAAGAAAAAGATACCTCAGTTTAAACTTAGTTTTAAATATGATTCATTATGATTGTCATATAAGAATTAATCGATACTTATCGATTAAAAATGATTTGAAAGATATTTTTTCTAAACATAACTTTAAAGCGTTAATGGATTAAGACATTCAAATCTCAAATGTAATTATTTTGTAATAATAATCGATTTGTATCAAGCGATAATATACCACAAATCGATAAATATCAGTGTAAAAACTGTGAATACTATTTATAGTTAAAAATATAGTTTGAGCTATACGATTTCCGACCTCTAGTTGACATCTGCTGCAGAGATATTATTCGTATCTTCGGCTAGCCGAGTTTGAAATGCTTTTCACGTAATATCTCTGAAAATACAAAATTGTAATTGACATCTTCGATCTTTCACAGATATGCACTTGCGTTTTTAACGCCTGGACTTCCATTTATTCCGGCTATCGCAATAACTGTTAACATTTATTTAATATTTAAGCTAAGCATACTGACCCTCATTAGGTTCACTGTGTGGATGACTCTCGGCTTCATTATGTACTTCTACTACGGCATCACGCACAGCAGCATGGAGCAGACCAGCGATGAGCTGGAGCTTCATGTCGATAAGGATTATGTGAGTCTTCGAGAATTGTAAATCTTGCATCAATGATAACTCAACTCTATTCGTGCCTTTCCCCTTTCCAATGCAGAGCAAAAACGTTGATGATAAAGCCGTTTGGGATCAGCAATCCTATAACCAAACACATGAGCCCGTCTGGGCCAGCAAGGAGGTTAAGCAATCCACAAGTAAGTGACGCCCTGCACCTCAGCCATACAAGACTAGCCCAAAACACTCTATCTTCTATCGCTTGTAGAGCAACGTTATAGCTATGGCAAGAACGCCACAGCTGGCGGCCAGGCTGGCAATCGGAATACGTCCAATGCCAGTAAATCCGGGCCCGATGCGGCTGCGGCTCCAGCTACAGATGCGAGAGCTGCGCCCGTGCCGCCTGCGAATGCACGAAGCGCGGAGGGCCGAAGCCGTCCATTGGAGCATCAATATACCGGTCAGTTTAGCATGTTTGTGGACGAGGGCCAGTTTCCGACGTGGGATGACTAAATCATGCTGAGCGCCATCGTTATGTATCGATTTATCGATACCCAACATGAAATCGTACAGTTCAACTTCCATAAGTTCATTTCCGTTTCCGTTCGCGTTTGCGCCTCGCTGTGATCGTGTATCAGCCAGGCAGCTACCTTCGAGGGGCAAACTAAGAGCGGCACATACATATTTATATATACATGTATTTGTATGTATATATATAAATATATATATATATATATATATATGTATATATATTCCATTTACCTAGACGACCCAGCGCAAAGAGCTGGCAACCAAGACAACTGTAAATATGTTTAGATATACACATATACATATATACCATATATATACATGCATATATATACATATATATATATATGAGCGTCATATATATATACATATAATACATATACAGCAGCGCAGTCTCAATGGTTGTTGTTAGTGCCATTGAGGCTCCACTGTATCTTTCACTTTCACTTAAATATATATACATAAAGCAACCAACTCAGCATCAACTACCTACACACAATATATATATATATATATATATATATATATATATATAATACTAATTATACAAATATATATATAGCAAAACAAAAGTTGTTGTAGAGCCACGCTAGTGTGTTAATACTGTAACCAAATTCGATTGGCAGCTCGCAATTTCTCTCTCTCTCTCTCTTTCACCTTTTGTTATTGAATATCGAATTTTCGATTTGCCAATCGAAGTTGAGCAAGAGGAAGCACAAACTAAATTTAGAGAGAACAAATAAGAGAAAACTAAAAGAAAATAACTACATATTTTTGAGATTGTTGAGCACAGATAATTAGGGTGGCCATATATTTATGTGTGGCGAAAATATTTAAGCAAACTAGTTCAAAGTTTTGCGCGCACGTGCGTGTGTTCACTGTACAGTATGCACACACACTCACATATATATACACACACACAAACACGCACACACACACGCACGGCTATATAGTAAATGTAGTTGTAAGGGAAAGCCCCGACAGCCAACATTTCGGGCATATTAAGCGCATTTTGCGGTGTAAACTGAGCGAAAGTAAAGTAAAGTTATAATGGATATGTATATATATATGTATATAAATATATATAAATATATTTAAATATATAGATATATATATATAGATATATATCTATATATATGATATATATCTCTACTATATCTCTCTCCTATCTATCTTATATCTCTCTCTATCTCTCTCCTCTCTCTCTCTAATCCTCATCTCTCTCCTCTACTCTCTCTCTCTCTCTCTCTATCTCTATATATCTAATATACATATATATACCAATACCCTATCACTTCTATGTATATTTATGATTATTGACATTGCCATTATACAGTTATTGTTACTATATATATGAATTATATCGATACGGTTTATATGTATTACGAATACCTCTATATACATATTATACGAGTATATATATATGTATATATATATATACAAAATGTTATTGTTTCTCGACTATTCTAGAGGCTCGCGCTAAGCTCGATTCGGTATTTCTTGTTATTTGACAATTTAAACTATGCAAACACAAACGAAAAACAAAAAAAAAAGAAAAACAAATACAAAAAATAACGATAAAATACCAAAAATACCAATGAAGAGAGAGCATGGAGTAAACCATAAAATTTATCATATTTACTAATCGCAAGCAAAACTATTCGAAGTCAAACATTTATAAAACAAACAAACAAAATACCAACAAGGCAAAATCAAATATGCATAACAAAAACAAAAAAAAAAGCAAAAAATACTAACATTTATATACAATGCATACATTTTTCCACTTTATATACTAAAAGCAAGAAGGCAAGCAACATTTTTTAACTATATTATGGGTAACTACGATTTATAAACATACTTAATACTTAATTCATTTACATTTTAATTTAAACCTTTAAGAAATATATCAAAAATACTGTACAGACACACATACACACACACACAACATGCAAACAGCTTTACAAAGAGACTCTAACGATGACATAAAACTAACAATGAAAAATGATCTAGATGAAAAGTATATGAACAACCCCTAACAAGGTACAACTAAGCAAGCAAATACTAGCAAAAGACAAACAATAAAAAAAACTAAGCTAATACCAAAGATATGAACAACTAACAAAAACAACAACCGAACAAATACTACAATAAATATATATATATATATATAACACAAACACACATACATATATATATATATATATATATATATATATATATTACACTTAAGCTTAAGTTTAAGAAGCGTTAAATATTTATATTCCAATAGGAAAAGTTGTTTGGCCCCCTAAACAAAAAAAAAAAAAAAAAAAATACCCAACATCTAAAGCACTTGTATTTCGACTTATATTATATATACCATTAATTATCATATGATTATTATTCCTATGTATTCTTATAGCTAAATTCTACGTAAAAAAATACTTAAAGCAAAAAGAAAAGAAAAAATTGATAAAAATGACGAATCCTTCATTGATCTAAATGTACATAGATAATACCCAATATATTTATGCCCTAGTATTATGTAACTCAATATGATTTTGATTTCATGCCATTCTTTGATTGCGTACAACTCAATTCAATTTAAGTGCCAAATGCACGCATCTCCTATAAAAAAATACTAATTAGAAAATGCTTAAATCTATTCCTCGAATTTCAAAACATTTTCTAAAACTATTCGGCACATTCCTTGCATTCGGAGTGGGTTCTACGACCAAACTGTTGAGAGTCCTATTATCATTTATGTTAAAATATAATTTCTTTAATATTTTTTTCGGTTTTTTTACAATTTTTTTTTATTCTATAAGCTCAGCAAGCAGATTACATTAAATAACTTGTATAGACGCCACTACAAACTATATATAAATTTACTATATATATATATTTTTGTGAAACAAGAATACTACGAAAATACTAAAAATAATAATAACATATCCTAGAACACACGAAATTGAAAAACCGTTTTACCGCCAGACAGATCACATGTACAAGGTGTCTAGTAACACTAGACAAGCAACAGCCCAACTAAATACTAAATACGAAATACTAAATACTAAATACTAAATACTTAATACTAAACTAAATACTAAATGAAATGAAAAAAAAAACAAAAATACCAACTATAAGCGAACTCTCCAAGAAGTTTGTTTCTTCCACCATTTGGTTCTTCTGGTACCACCTGAAAAACGTTTATAACTGTTATTATATAAAACTGAACAAATAGGAAATATTGAATATTACTAGATTATCATCGATTTTCCACAGTTACAATTTATGTTTTGCCATATATATAACTCGATATATATATATACATATATACAAATTGCTTCCGTTAATAAACTTATGCATTTTTATATTATCTTTATTTATTTTATATTTTTTTTTGCTTTTAACAAACAAATTAACAAACTATTTATATTTATATATAGTTTTAAAATAGTTGATTGAACAATATGAAAGTGGGAACATTTCTTCAATAAACTTTACCATCACTCCATGAACTAGCTCATTTAACTCAATCCACTTGAAAAGGCATGAGAATAACAAGAAGAAGAAGTAGAGGAAGAAGTCACCAAATACCAAGCAATAGATGAAATAGATTGGGTCACATCTTTGATTGATTGATTTGGGTACTACTGAGCAAGCAAGACACTTTAAGCAAATGTAATTGAGCGATTGATTGATTGATTGATTTGAGTGCTACTGAACAAGCGATAGAATAAACTAAAACGGGTCACAGTTGCTTGCATGTTAGATAAAATATATAATTAGTTGATCAAAAAACATGGAAACACAATTTTAGAAGCAATTAATGAAGAAGCACTTCTTGATTGATTGATTGGTTAACGATTGACGATTGATGAATTATTAATTGGTTAATGATTGACTGATGATTGATTGATGTTTGATTGAATATTGTTTGATGATTAATTGATGATTGATTAATAATTGATTGAGAATTGATTGAGACTGATCGATGATTGATTGATGATTAATAAAGTATTGATTAATGACTGATCAATTATTGATTAATGATTGATTGATTGATGATTGATTGACGATTGATTGAGAATCTATTGAGGATTGATTAATGAGTGATCAATGATTGATTGAGGATTGATTAACGACTGAACGATGATTGATGGACGATTGATTAATTATAACTTTATTGATTGATGATTCAATAATAAGTGGTTGAATGATTATAGATTAATTGATGATTGATGATTGATTGATGACTAATTAATGATTGATTGTTAATTGAACCTTAACTAAAGAGCTCAAGACGAAGCCAAGTAACAAATGCAACAGAATAGAACACAACATTTTGATTGATAAGTTTGATTGATTAGTTCAATGATTGTTTCCATTTCCACACAAACACAAACACACACACACACACACACAAACACACTTACGAACGAGTATGATGTACCTAAGTTTTTATTTTTTAATAAGACTGAATTTCTGCATATGATTTATTTGAATATATTATATACATACATACATACATGCATGCATACATCCATAAATATATACATATACATATATGTGTAATGATTATTGTAAATAAATTTATAGCATTTAAAGGCGATATACATACATTATACATTATATAAATATAGACAAATATATATATACATATATATATATATACATACAGTTTGAATTATTTTTATGTATATATACATACTTAGCAACTTTACAACTTTAGCTAATAAAGCATCAAAATTTTAAGATATATATTCTCAACTCATTTAACAAAAAGAAAACAAACCAAAAAAAAAAAATCAAGAAGTTAAAGAAAAAGCTATTATACATAATAATATATATAAATATATATATATATATATATATATATATATATATATATATATATATATATATATATATCTATATATATATATATATATATATATATATATATATATGTATATATATATATAATAATAATAAAAGAATGGAACCTTAAAGATACAGTATATATATATATATGTACAGTATATATATATATATATATATATATTTCAATGGATCGATAACAGAACAAACCACAAGAAAAACCAACTAAAGAATGTTAAAATAATATAATGAAACAATTTTTTATTCAAATACTACTATTAATTTGATTTATGTGTTAACAACTTATTAAATGATATTTCATGAGAATATTATATAAAAAAAAGAAAATAAAAAACAAAAAAATAAATAAAAATTGTTAGGATATTCAAAATATTGATTGACTTGTTGTTTCTTATACTCTTATACTCTACTCTGAAAATGGAAATTAATTATATGCCATGGAGAGTGCTGCATAACATCTAGTTTCCGACTGTCAACAATGTTGACTAGCTATATATGTGGCCATGGAGGACATAGAGATTGTTCGATGTCTGGTTTCGAGTCACGCTTCAACTGGTTTTGACAGTCGACAAAAGTCGAATTTCGAAACTTTATTATTAAAGTGATCATGGAGGATGTTAGCCTATGATCAAATATAGTTAACGGAACTTGACTTTGCCTGAGTTGTTGTGCACAACTTGACCATGGCTGAGAGCCAGATGTGTCCATGCGATTAAGGTGATCCATAGAGAACATTTTATAAATTATAAATTATATATTTTAAGCATTTAATCCCATCTCACGCTTAGCATGCAAATTAACTGAATGTCAGCAAGAAGTGGATTCATAAAAATGTGGGTAAATGGTATCGTATAGGACTGTGGTCCATGAGGATAGCCATGAGATGACCATGGAGTACCGAGCTAATGAAAGTAAACGAGTAGGTATTTTTATACAATTTTCAACCCCAACAAATAAGCAAATGCAGTGATTAACAGGTAAGTAGGTAAGAGGCAAGGCAGTGACCCTAGAGGACCAGAAGTAAAACATTTAAGTAATTTAGAAACTACGACACATTTATTTTAATGCTAATTGTATTTACAAAAGCCGAGAAAATATAGCAAATCGAGAAAGATTGAGATACATAAAAAAAAAACAAAAAAAAGAAAGGAAATCACGCGGATCTCTTACTTTTAATAGTAACTGGAGTGTGGCAACCCTGGCGCTGTGTAGCTATTGATTGATTGATGATTGAAGCCCAGATTGACCGAGCCGAATGGCTTCAAATTGAAGCTTTGAGGCTGATTCAATGTATCATCGTCGGGATAGTTGACCAGAAAGCCATTGGGATTCGGATGGGAATTGTCGGGCTGCTCCAGGTAGGGATAGGGATTCGGATTGGGATTCACATTCGTATTGGTTTTGCCAGGCTCCTCCGTGTCGCCAATATCCTGCTCTGCCGCTGCGGAGCCGTCGCTAACGTCGCCATCATCAGTCGCTGCCTCTGCCTCTGTTGCTCCTTCTGCCGCTGGCGCTGTCTCTGCCTCAGCCGCAGCCTCAGCCGCAACCGCAGTCGCAGCGTTGCCCCCAAGAAATCTGGGCTTAGAGTAGATATCTGCAAAGTGTTGGAGAGAATCCAATTGTACGGCAATTAGTTAAAAGTTTGCGTATTTTACCAGCGGGTTGTGCATACTGATAGATCAGCTGATCCGTCAACTGGGGCGGAGGACGGCGTGCTGGCGGGGCTGGTGGTGCTGGCGGCGCTGGCGGCGCTGCTGGCTGCGGCTGTGGGCGTGGTCGCGCGCGCGGACGTGAACGTGCAAAAGGCGCTCCATAGTCGTAATCGTAGTCATAGTAAAATTGGCCCACAGGACGTGGTGCAGGACGCACGCGTTTTGGTGGTGGAGGTGGCGGTGGCGGTGGTGTTGGTGGTGTAGTTGGTGCTGGTGCTGCTGTTGTGGGTGCTGCTGTATTCGGTGCTGGTGGTGCGGGTGCGTCGCCATAGTCGTAATCGTAGTCGTAGGGGCGTGGCCACCAACCAGGTCCCGGATAGAAAGGATGAGGTCTGCGTCGCGGTGGCGGCGGTGGTGGCGGTGGCGGTGGCGGTGGTGCTGGTGGCGCTGCCGTGGTGGTGGTGCTCATCATGGCGGGTCGCCTGGTCGTCTTAGCATTGATTATATTTCGAGTAAGGTTCGCCTTGACGCTGGACAAGTCGGCGCTCTTCTGCAGGAGATTGCGCAACAGCAGGCCAAAGTCGAGGGTAATGGTGCCGCGTTTCGTCCTAGTCTCTCCTTGGCTGGGGCGCGGACAGACGGCCAGCAAGGCGAGCAGCATTACACAATAGCTGCACTGCATCCTGGCCAGCAATAGTCAAGTCGAGGCGTTGGATTTGTGAAAGCGCTCGCTAAACCGCGCTGTGTGGCGTTCCAATCAGAACTGGCGAACTGCCTGCTGGCTGCCTTGACTCGCGCCTGGGCGTTGCGGATTAAGTGGCCAAAAAGCCAACGAGTTAGACGGGTTCAACTGCCAGCCAGCCAGCCAGCCAGCCAGCTAGGCAGGCAGGCGAGCCAGCGAGCCAGCGAACTCTCTGTCAACGGGTTCTGTGCGTGGCAACAATTACTTTTGCACTACTTTTTTGTGGCACTCGAGTAATTCGTGCAAAAACCTCTAACTGCGACCCCACCAAAGCGCAGCGCAGCACAGTGGGTCACACATTGCCTATTGCTAACGGTAATTAGGCAAATTGTGGGGAGTGATCGACCGGCAGTTACCCAATGTGTACCCAGAATGTAGGATTCTCGCTGTGGCTCTCCTCTCTCTTTCTCTCTCTATCTCTCTCTCTCTCTCTCGCTCTCTCTCTCTCTCTCACTCTATCATTTTCTCTGTCGAATTTTACATCTATCTGACTCTGTCTCCTTTTCTAACTCCCAGTGTCTGACTTTCTCTCTCTCTCTCTCTCTCTCTCGTTATCTCTATCCCCTTGACTCTGATTTTGACTCTTTCTTTATCAGATTTTATCATTCTCTGATTCTCTCTCTCTTTCTATCTAACTCTCAGTGTCTGACTCTCCGTCTGTCTCACTCTAACTTTGGCTCTTTCTCTCTCTCTCCCTCTCTGACTTCGACTCTGTCTCCCACTCTCTTTCTCTCTGTTTCTATCGGTTGATCTGGTTAGATTATCTCTATTTGTTTCTCTCTCTCTCTCTCTCTCTCTCTGCGATTAACTCTCTCTTTCTTTCGCTCTGTCGCTCCTTCTCAGACTCCCCAACACTGCTGAACGCTTTCTCTCTCTGTCTCTCTCTCTCACTCTCTGTATCTCCTTATTCTCTCTTAAGCTACTCTCCCATACTTCCCTCCATCTGTTTTTTTCCACTTTTGGCCTAAGCTCTTAAGCTTTCTGGCCAGATACACCCAGATATCCATTTACAAACTGTCAATTGCTTCCGTCTCCATTTGCACTCGATTTCAATGGACTTGGTACCACTGTGCGCACGCTGATTATAATGATACATATGCATCAAATTTACTTGTAACTATTATGATTTTTTTTAAGTCCAACTTGTTGCACTTAGTTTTAATTTAGATGCCCTGTAAAATGTATGACAAGTGGCATGATCGACTAAGGAGTGGGTATGTCCCATAGATAAAGTGCAAAGCTAAAAACTTACCTTGACAGAATTTTCAGCTCATTTGATTCAATTTACCGTCTTCATCTTTGGGTTGGAGAGAGCAGACTCTATCTAGAGTTGAATGACTTTCTTATATTGCTTCATTGTTAGTGCAGGGTATTCGAGCAGTCGCGCTTGCATGCAATTAGAGCACGCTTAGACGTACAGGTTATGTTTATGCATTTGCTTAGCAATTAACGGCCTTTACTTTTAGTTGGGTGACTCGAATCGAACACAGATATGTATATATATATATATATATATATGTCTAACTATATATATACACATAACATACATAGATAATAGTGTCAAAAAGATCTTGTTTGTTTTCACAGCTGAATTCGAATTCAAAATGATTTGATGGAAAGGCATTCGTCCATATTCCGAGAGATAAATACATAAATAAATGGATGCATATAAATCTAATTTATAATATATGTACAAGAGGAAAAACTGTGTTTACATAAGCTTAAAAGGAAATGGAAAGTCGAGCAGAAGAGGTGGAAAAGTGCGGAAAACAGCAATGAAATGGAGAGTTAATCTGGTCTGGAATTTGGCTGGTCTGGCAATCGTGTGTGGAGCCCGTTTGCCACAGATATTTCTTCTCTTTGTTTCTTTTTGATCAATTTTCTTCAGCTTTTCCATTAACCCAGCGGAAAAATTGAAAATTCGTCAAGTGTTGCGTGCGAATCGCTAATAAACTGACTCCAGACTCCAGCCTCCAGCTCAGACTTGAGACTTGAGAGTCCCAGCGCAGCAATGGCTTCGACTGCTTCAAGGCTTACGCATAGCAAATGATTGGCAGACTCGAAAATGTGCTTGACTATGAAATACCCTGACTAAAAATTGATGTGCTAGCATTTACTTCGCTTTGCAGCAAACAAGACGAAAGCTATAGAAATGCGATTCATTGTGAAATAAAAATGAAGCAAAGTCGTCTAGACTATACAATACTCTACAAAAGCTTAGTAGGAACGTCGCAGTCAAGCGTAATCGACTACGTAATACTTGTTCAATGGTGGCTAAGCGAGCTGATAGTATATATATAAATGGAACGAGTATTGCAAACAGTAAAACATAACAAATATGCTCTACTTCCACAAGAAAACAGGGTATAGCGAGACAACAAAGCAAATAGCAATTGCAGATTTGAACGAGTTATGGAAGTTGCCTAAGATAAACATTTGAAATGCGAGACAGTAAAACAGTTTATTACCAAACATAAAAGTCTATATACAATATATATACATTTGCACACGCATACACACACATATATAGATGTATATATATATGTGTATATATGCGAGAGCAATTGAAATAACAAAGATTTGGCGCTATTTGGGTGTCATTGGACTAAGCTTCGACTAGATTTTGCTGTGAGATGCTCGTGGGCGTTGTGATTACAGCCAGCGAGACGGTGGGCGTAACCGGATGGGGCTTGGGCGCTGTGGGCGTGGCACGTGTTCGAAGCGAACGTATCAAATGCAGCTCAACTTGAACAAAAGGCGTCTCCACAAAGAGATACATGAGCAAAGAGACGAGCAGCGTGATGCCAAAGTCTGACCAAAAGTGCAGAATCTGCGAGAGAGAGAGAGAGAGAGAGAGAGAGAGAGAGAGTGAGAGTGAGTGAGAGTGTGTGAGTGAGCAGGCTAGCACTCACTGCATCATAGTTGGAGAAATGTTGACTGCTCTTGATGCGACCCGTGTTGGCCATCTCGACCAGCAGATGCCAGATGTAGAGGCAATAGGAGAGCTTCGATATCGGCTGCCAAAATGACCAGCTGAGCAGTGTGTTGACCACGCCGCCACGCCCACTCTGACACGCCCAGATGAGCCAGCAGATGGCCAGCGGCCAAGCAATGCGACTGCAGCACAAATAGAAAGCCCCAGCCAAGGGCGATATATCCGTCGCCTCTGGCCGCGTATACGGATAAACGCTCCAGATGACCGTCGCGATGAAGAGCAGCGCCAGCAGCCAGAGCAACAGCATCAGCCACTTGGAGAGCCGATGCCTGCGGCCCTGCTCACTGTGCAGAAAGTAGCCAAAGAGCAGGCCAATCAGCCAGGGCGTGGCACGAGCATGCGTCGTGTAGTAGATCATGCGCATCTCAATGCTATCCTCGCCCAGATTCCTGGCCAAGCATAGTCGAACAGTTAATTGACTTCAGTTTGATTTGGATCTTCGACTTGCTCACCCATTACGACTGAAGACGCTCAGCTTGTGCTCCATTATGATGCTGAAGACGCAGCTGAAGAGCAACACGATCAGCAACACGATTCCAGCCACAGCCCGCCGATGCCAGCGATAGAGCGGCCAGAGGAGCAGAGGGGAGAGCAGAAAGAGCTGCATGTCCACGGCTAGATACCAGGCGTGACCCAAACACTATAAGAAAAGGTAAAATTAACTGTTTGTTGATTGAATGACTGATTGATTGAGCAATTAGTTCTACTAAGGTTGGAAGTTAAAACTGGTATTATATAAAAGAAAATCAATCAAATGCTAGTCTAGCTGTCTGTCAGTCTTTTTGATTGATTGATTGATTGACTGACTGAAAATATCGACAGTTAAAGAGAAAGACATACACGGGCTAAAGTAATTACAAGTTAGTGTACCAAACTATGTGTATAATTTTGATTGATTGATTGGTTGATTGATTGATTGAGCAATTAGTTCTACTAAGATTGGAAGTTAAAACAGGTATTATATGAAAGAAAATCAATCAAATGCTAGTCTAGCTGTCTGTCAGTCTTTTTGATTGATTGATTGATTGACTGACTGAAAATATCGACAGGTAAAGAGAAAGACATACACAGGCTAAAGTAATTACAAGTTAGTGTACCAAACTATGTGTATAATTTTGATTGATTGATTGATTGGTTGATTGATTGATTGGTTGATTGATTGATTGAGCATATAGTTCTACTAAGATTGAGTGTTAAAACAGGTATTATATGGAAGAAAATCAATCAAATGCTAGTCTAGCTATCTGTCAGTCATTTTGATTGATTGATTGATTGACTGACTGAAAATATCGACAGTTAAAGAGAAAGACATACACGGGCTAAAGTAATTACAAGTTAGTGTACCAAACTATGTGTATAATTTTGATTGATTGATTGATTGATTGGTTGATTGATTGATTGAGCAATTAGTTCTACTAAGATTGGGAGTTAAAACAGGTATTATATGAAAGAAAATCAATCAATTGCTAGTCTAGCTATCTGTCAGTCAATTTGATTGATTGATTGATTGACTGCCTGATTGGCTGAACAATATTTGCTTGAGTTATATAGGTCTTATTAATAAGGAAATCAATCATTATCAATCTAACTATCTATGTCAATCATTTTGACTGATTGATTGACTGACCAACATCTTCTACTAAGAACATCTTATAGATAAGAAAGGTATTTTAATGTTGGTCTAGCTATATAAATTTGTCCTGAGTGCTTGATTGCTGGACTGCTTGATTGATTAATTGTTAGTCTATGCAGTCTTTTAATAGCTTTGATTGATTACCTACTAAATCTATAGCTTAATATCTCAAAAGCTGATGGATTAATGATGATTTGGGATTAGAGTCAATAAACATCTTTACATGATCACTTTAAGATGATCAAAAATGTTAAAGTCTTCCAAAGTCAAGTCAAATTTCAGGTCTTGTTTAAGTCTAATTACCATGCGACCTGCTGCAGCATAATTCTGGACGTAGAGCAGCGTAGCCCACCAGGTATCGTAGCACAGCTCTGCGGAGCTGGTGAATTGCTGCCAGAGAGGTCCGCTGTCCAGGCGAGGAAACAGAGTCATCAAGAAGAGCACAGCGATGGCCAGAACAGGCGTGAGGCGCACGATGCGATGCAGGTACATAAGCGGCACATTCAGGTGGCCCGATCGACTGTTTGCACAGACATATCAAATGGAAATGTCATGAAGCAATTCCTATATACTATTCCAACTCACCGTTCCAGCTCGCGTAGCGCGGACATCACGAGCAGCAAGCCGCTGAGCAAAAAGAAGGTATCCACAGCTATTGTGCCGCTCTGCAAAATCATCGAGAATGGGGTTTGTGCCCATTCGGCGACCTCGTAGCTGTTCACATTGGGCGCCAACAGCAGAAACATATAGTCGTGGCCCCAAATTATCCAAATGATGGTCAGACAGCGTATGCCATGCAAACAGGGTATTATATGAGGCCCAACAATGCTCGGCCTCGACACCTTCATCAGCTGTCGCAGATTCTGGCGCAACGAAAATGCAGCCACTAGCATTTGTGAACCTAAAAGGTAAAGGAATATAGATGTATAGAAATATATCACTAAAGAGAGTGAGAAAGAGAGTCGTATACTCAGATACCTATGGAGCTCAAAGAGTTGTTCTCTAGAAAATACCCTATAAACAAGTGAAAGGAGCTTGAGCGGTATAATTTTTTTATAAAATTTGAGTAGAAAGTGGGAAAGAGAGAGTGACAGAGAAAGAAGAAGAAAGGGGAGAGAAAGTAACACAAGAAGCCAGAGGGAGAGCGCGAGAGAGAGAAAGATAGAGAGGGAGAACAGTTAAAGGAGAGAGAGAGGAGCATATAGAGAGAGATGATGAGAGAGAGCGAGGCTTATAACAACCAAGAATACCCGACTTGCATATACCCTAAGGTTTTCATTAGTCTAGGCTACTCGAATACATACACATACATACACTCTCCTACGTTTTTAGTTCGCATGGGTATATTCTAAGTTCATAAGATCTGGATGTAACTGTAATGAAATCTTCAGCGCGTAAAGCCTTCACTCAGCTCATTTTTCTGATCAAGAATATATATATATATATATATATATAAATATATATATATATATATATATAAAGAACTCCTTCAGATACTATATATATATGTATACTATATAATATATGCGACTATATATCTCTCTTTCTTCCTATATATATATATATAGATTTGCTGTAGAAAACTCCTTGATCGACTAGCTTTATCAGCAAAGCTTTATCAGCAAAGCTTTATCAGACGCCTTACGTATGCTGGCACTCACCTTTGAAGTAGTCCAATAAGGTGCACAGCATGACGAGCAGGGCCAAAATGATGAGCAAAACACTGTGGAATAGTTCAAATGAATCGGGTTGCATAGACAGCTAAATATCTACTTACATGGCGAACCAATCGAGAGCGGACATTGGATCTCTGGCGGCCAGGGCGCAGTTGGATTCCTGCACCAATTGCAGCTGCGGCGCACCTGCAGCCTCGAAGATCAGCTGCAGATAGTTGTTGAGCCAGCGATTGAGCTGGGTGGCGCTGCAAGCAGCTGGCATACAGGTGCCAATGCTAATGCTCAAAGTGTCCTCGGAATCTGTCAAGAGCGTTGCGAATTGTATGTGGGCCAAGCAGTATTTGGTCTCAGCTAGGGCGGCAGTTGAGCTGCTCAGACTCTGGCTGAGGCTCGGGCTCAAGCAGGACTCGTAGTTGCCGAGATCACTGAAATGGCCATAGAGCAGGCCATGTGGAAATTTGCCCCAGGCATCGAGCACTGTAAGGAACATCGCAGAGTGATTAGATTACGAGCCTAGAGTCGATTCGAATCGCTTACCTCGCACGGCTGGCAAAACTCGCTGCTCGGCTGCCTGCAGCAGGTAGGACACCTGTGTGGCACAGAGCAGCTCATCGCTGGACTTGTTCGCCTGCTGCAACACCTGATAACCAAAGTTGCTCTGCTGCAGCCAAGTGAGCAGCTCCTGTTGACTGAAGGCACTCTCGGCCTGCTGCTGGCCAAATGTCGCTGCCAAACAGACGAACAGCAGACCCTGAATGGCGCCTAGACGTAGCCCTGAGCCGCGCAACCGAACTTTTTCTAATGCCATGGCCAATTGTGATTGTTGACGGCGATGCGATTCATATTTATACGGCCGTAACACAATTCAGCATTCGCCGTTGTTGTTGTTGTTGCTTTATTTTTACTACTACTGATATTTTGTATTTTTATTTTCTAATCGCCCGCTCTTGATAACCATCCTCGCCCCGCCACCCTGTTTATCTAAGACGCTCGCACTGCAGGTACTACAAACTGGAAACTAAGAGCTTTTTTCCTATAGTCTCCCGCCCCTACCCCAACGAAGTGCATTGACCGATAGTTAGAATAGCAACCAAAGCACGAACATTGCTCTGATGATCAGCCGCTCAGCGATTTATGTAGATGCTATATAATATATATATGCATATATTTAAATATAGTGGGATTTATCTAAGCAATTTTCAAGTGTCATACGCTATAATGAGGCAGTTAACTCAACCCGTTTCCCCCTTTTGCGAGCTGTTTTCATTATTTAAGCAAATTGCTACACGACAATTATCCAATATCCAATAGTTCAGCCACTTTTACTATCCACATCTGGTTGCACAAGCCGATTCGTCATATGATTATATTGAAATTTCGCTTAAATACCCTGTAGGGTTCCAGATTTAAACTTATTTGGGATCATGTCGGCTTGGTGTGAGAGCATGTAAAAGGTAACACTAGTCAAGGGATCGCTGGGCTATTTTTGATGCAGAGCAATTACTTATCGATCATTTCATCAATTTCTATTTATTATATGTATTATATATTATATTATATATATATATATGTCTAACAGCCAACTGAGAGCTTCAATTTTCATGTCAGTCTCTTAAATACACATCGATATTTTTATCTTTATTCAAATAATTCATAATTTTTTAAATGTATCGATCTAAGATTTTACATATATATCAAACTTATCAATAATTTTGATATATTATTTAGTTTCCACATAATCGATAAATATTGAAAACTATTTAACATTACATATACATGATTATCGATATATTTGTCTTGCTCATCCAACTCTCATCGGTTATTTTACATAATCATTTAGTAATAGGGTCACTAACCCTTGATCAAAATCGATCAATATCAATTTTTAAGCTAATCTTCAGATACCAAACTTTATGTACAGAGTTTTTTGAAGCAAGAAAAGTAAATGGAAAAAATTGGAAAATATATTTGAAATAGCTAATGTTTGGCCTAACCGAGAATTTAATAAGGTATATCCCATCCAGTCATTCCCGACAGAGCGCACCCCATATTTAGCTAGGGCAATAACCGATAAGTTAACAATTGTAAAAAAAGCAAAGCTCCAAACGTTAAGTGGGGAGAAGTACGAACAAAATCACGTTCGACATGGGGAAGGGGCGAGGGGGGAGGGAGGTGGGTGAGTCTTACTATATATTGTCATATGGATCATTCGACAGCTGCGACCTTGACGGCATTTATAACTGTTAATTGTGTTGCAAAAATGAGCTTTTAGCTCGGCTGCTCGACGAGCACCAAAAGCACAAAGCTTTGAGAGCTTTCACTCAAATCGCTTCAAGCTCAATTACGTAACAATCAACGAAACAACAATAGATGTCGCTGACGATAATGATGACGATGATGATACATATGCAGAGACTTGTACAACAACTAGTCAGATAGGTTCATTCAACTCGACCCTAACACAATTGAGGTGAACAACTTATTGAACGAGTTATTTCCATAACTAGTATTATTATATAGTAGTATTTCGTCAGAGTTGATTTCTATTTCCACAATATTACCTAAGATAAATGACTGAAATTTCACTCTTCAATACGATTTACGCATGAAAAATCGTAGCTCATTCATAGATTTATTTCTCTCATCGTAATTTTTAACATTTATTAAATAGATGCCTCCTCCAAATACCCTGCAACTTCATCCATTTATAATCAAATTATTTATTATTGAAAATTCATTAAGATTGTCAAATCAATTGGACTTTTAATATTCTAATATATATTCTCATATATATTCTACGTCAGACCGACGAGCTGAGTCGATATAGCCCTTGTCTGTCTGTTCGTCTCGTAAGGCACAAAAGCTAGAGTCTTGCAATGCCTTTTTTTGATAACTCATCCCATTTCTTAATTATCGATACAAATCGATAATTTGATTTCATTTCAATTTAGAATGGTTTGAATATCACAAAAGAAAAGCCTGAAATGTACTCTGGGTGTTTCTGAAATAAATAAACAGATTTCGTTGATTTTTGATACCTACCCCTTCCCTCCTCCTCCCTCTTGCTTTGGCCAACACATACGTATGAATGTTATTATCACACTGGGAAAATGTTATCAATAAAGTCTATCTCGAAAAAAAATATTTTTCAACAATTCAATAATTATGTTCAGATAGTAGAGTCGAAGGGCGCAGTCCGAACGCCGTCCAAGCGCTGCCTAAACTGTATGTGTGTGTGTACGTTTTTTTTTGTTACGTATATATAAAAGAATCGTGGAATGATAGAGTGTATCCTAGTCAGGTACTCCCGAGTAGATCATTCACTTGTCAGTTTTCAATATACACCTATCTTGACACATTCAACAATCCTGATTTCTGATCATTGATATATTACGTATACGTACATATATAAAGTATACCCACAGCAATCAAATATTTGCCGTATTTAGGTATACGTACATATATATATATATATATATATATATATATATATATATATATAAGTTTGTTCCATGAATTTGAATTTTATGTTTTACTTATTTATATTTTTACCAAGTCTCTTGACACTTGAATAAATCATTTATCCGCTTAATCGTAGAACATCTATATAATGTAATGTAAAAATAAAGGGTATATCAATAACATTGAAGCAATTTTATTAGCCAACATATATATACACATACCTGTGTCAAAGTCTTATCAATGAATGGATCAGTCTATAGCCCTCTAAGCCTAAGTGGACCTGTCGCTTGCCTTATCAGATGTAGTAGTTCTCAGTATACAGTGGTAAGGTAATTAACTACCCAAATAGTTATTTGGCTAGATAAAGAGTCATGGCTGCTGTAATGTTTTAGGCTAAGGCTACGATTTTATTGACCTTTAGGTTTCAGATAACACAATTATTATAAATGTTAAGGTGGGTTCACAAAAGATAGGAAAAATGTTAAGCATTATTCGTAATTAATATAGGTCAATGTCTTCGATTCAACTGAAGTAAGCCATAGTCTAAAGGAGCATTTTTTGACTTTCCTTCAAAACAATAACAAATCCGTTAGATACTTAGATCTTAAGTATTGCCGGTTCGTGACTAAGTCTTTCATTGGCTGAACAAAAATATTTATTTCTGAATCACTAGTGAAAGGCAACTTTGTGAGAACTCTAGTGCTTCATTTATTAAGTACCAGATGACTAATTCTACTTAATCTCAGTCAGTACATATAAGTATAAGTATAAGTATAAGTATAAGTATAAGTATAAGTATAAGTATAAGTATAAGTATAAGTATAAGTATAAGTATAAGTATAAGTATAAGTATAAGTATAAGTATAAGTATAAGTATAAGTATAAGTATAAGTATAAGTATAAGTATAAGTATAAGTATAAGTATAAGTATATGTATAAGTATAAGTATAAGTATAAGTATAAGTATAAGTATAAGTATAAGTATAAGTATAAGTATAAGTATAAGTATAAGTATAAGTATAAGTATAAGTATAAGTATAAGTATAAGTATAAGTATAAGTATAAGTATAAGTATAAGTATAAGTATAAGTATAAGTATAAGTATAAGTATAAGTATAAGTATAAGTATAAGTATAAGTATAAGTATAAGTATAAGTATAAGTATAAGTATAAGTATAAGTATAAGTATAAGTATAAGTATAAGTATAAGTATAAGTATAAGTATAAGTATAAGTATAAGTATAAGTATAAGTATAAGTATAAGTATAAGTATAAGTATAAGTATAAGTATAAGTATAAGTATAAGTATAAGTATAAGTATAAGTATAAGTATAAGTATAAGTATAAGTATAAGTATAAGTATAAGTATTAAGTATAAGTATAAGTATAAGTATAAGTATAAGTATAAGTATAAGTATAAGTATAAGTATAAGTATAAGTATAAGTATAAGTATAAGTATAAGTATAAGTATAAGTATAAGTATAAGTATAAGTATAAGTATAAGTATAAGTATAAGTATAAGTAATAAGTATAAGTATAAGTATAAGTATAAGTATAAGTATAAGTATAAGTATAAGTATAAGTATAAGTATAAGTATAAGTATAAGTATAAGTATAAGTATAAGTAAAGTATAAGTATAAGTATAAGTATAAGTATAGTAAGTATAAGTATAAGTATAAGTATAAGTATAAGTATAAGTATAAGTATAAGATAAGTATAAGTATAAGTATAAGTATAAGTATAAGATAAGTATAAGTATAAGTATAAGTATAAGTATAAGTATAAGTATAAGTATAAGTATAAGTAAGTATTAAGTATAAGTATAAGTATCAGTATAAGTATAAGTATAAGTATAAGTATAAGTATAAGTATAAGTATAAGTATAAGTATAAGTATAAGTATAAGTATAAGTATAAGTATAAGTATAAGTATAAGTATAGTATAAGCATAAGTATAAGTATAAGTATAAGTATAAGTATAAGTATAAGTATAAGTATAAGTATAAGTATAAGTATAAGTATAAGTATAAGTATAAGTATAAGTATAACTTAGTAGGGATAAGTCTAAATATAAGTAATAATAGGTATATAAATATTGGTAAACAATGACAACCACTTCAAATAGGAATCTTGATATCCGTGGCAGACTATTGCAATTCCTGAAAACCTTTTCCACTTATATACAGATTAAATTCGGGTAGCACTTAACAGCACGCACAAGATAAACGTATCGGTTATCGTCAGACAAAGGTTCAATGTGGCTATACCATATATAAAGGCGGTAGGTAGCGCCGCTGAACACAAATGGAAAAATGGTCAAAACAATCGCATCCTGGCTGTACCTG